ACTTTTTGTGCCTTCCGCCTCGCACTTGGCTCATTTCTCACCATGCAGTTGGCATTTAATGCAGTTGACCCTTTTCCCGTTTTTTCTGGGTTATTTATGTATCGCTCGTTAGTTTTCGGCGGACGCTTATTTATCGCCTGCCCCGGGGAGCTGGAGGTGGACAAGGTCGGATTTGGTTTAGCCAAGTCCAGCGTGGACAGTGCTCTGCGGGAGCACCCCCTGAACGCCTGACAAATGGCTGGCAACAAAGGGCCTTAATTGCCAGGGCGAATGTCTCCGGTTTGTCATAATTAACCCAGCTCCAGTACACTGCGAATGCATTCACTGGCCAAATGCGACTTTCGAATTCATTTGTGCTGCCCGCAGGAAGTGGCCTACTTTCCGCCCGATCCAAATCAATATTTTCCTGGTCGCCCTGCTGCCCATTAAAGTTGCATGTCTTCGGCTGTGGCGCAGCTCTCGAGCGCTCAATTACGTGTTGAAAAGGTCTGGCCCTCGACGGTTTACCTTAGTTCCAGTTCTAAGTTCTATTTTAAGGAACGGCCTTGGAAGGTGGCAATTGACCTATGCGATGAATGGTTTGCGGCTGGCTGGGAACGCTGATAAATGCACTTTGTTATGCCTGGCAATTGAAAATCGACTTGTTCTGCGTTCCACAACAGGCGTGCAAGTAGCTGTGTACTTGTTAAGTGGATTCCTATCCCACTAACTACCATGCAGCCAGCGAATAGCTTGAAAAAAGTATTTTTTGCATATACATGTAAACTTTTACGGCTTACAACTTTGAAGGGGATCAATAACTTTACAATAGCACTCTATAGACTATGCTTTCAATCAGCCCCTCACCCACAAATGTGTTGATTTTCGTATTTATCCAACGCAACATGATTTTGTCCTCGGCTTTAAAATTAAGCTAGGGACACTAATACTTGTAAAGAACTGGTTGTAAGGAAAGAAACTTGATCGATGAGCCTTAAACTATCCAAATAGTTTGCGGAACTACAAGAGAATTACAAACATGGTGCAAAGGCTTACAAATAAAAAACAGCCACTCTTGATAAGCTCCGAATTTATCCGCGGGGTCAAGAGGTCGGTACATTATTTAAAGAGAGCTCACAATAAATATGGTTTGAGCATTGAATAATGCGTTAACTAAGAACTGAATGCCAGCCAGTTTAATCGGAGTCCTGCCCGTTAAAGGTGAGAATAGATGGCCCTGGACAAAGTGGCTATTAAAGCTGAAGCCGTAATGAGCTTAAGCATTCAATGCTTTTGGTTCTGGGGCAGCGGCGTGCCTGTGTGCGTGGCTGCGTGTTTGTGAGAGTGCTTCAGTTCAAAAACCTCCAAACATTACGTCACAAGCTCAATCCACACAGACGGGGAGGCAGTGGCACACATTGAAAAGTGCTGCGGGCCAGACACCAACACACCAACACACCAGCACACCGACACGGTGGTGTGGCAAGGCATTCATGTTGCTCTCGTACATCCTTGCCGCGCCGGAGCTTTGGACAGGGGCAGCTGTGTGGGTTAAGAGCGGGAACAGGGGTTAAGGATGATGTCTCTGCGTCTAGCTCTGCTCTACTGGGGTTGGCTTGGCTGGCCAACTGGGAAAGTAGAAAAATGTGAAGACACCTGGACCCGGATCTGGGCAACACTTTTGTCTGTTGTTCTGCTTTTTGTTCGTTTTTTGCTCTTGCTGGCGGAAAAATCAATTTATGGATTTTAGTTTCCTTCACATTTGTTTTTATTTGCCTCAGCCCCATCTCTTTTGACACGTTCGCACCTCTCAAGTCTTTCAGAGCGTCTGGCAGCTTGTTGATGCCACGGCGCATAGGAATCCTTCAAACGCGAGGTCCCAGCACCACTCACCACTCACAACTCGCAATTACAGCAATTTCTTTTAATTGCAATCAAATCAGACGAAAACGCTCGCCGCATTACTTACCCCTCACCAGCCTCTCTACACGCCTTCACTCCACCTTGGCAGGATGCAGGCTATAAGCGGATATCTTCGGTTGGCGCGCCAAAATGAGTTCGTCGTTCTGCTGCAATTGTGCGTTTGCGTTAGTTTTAGTGCCAGGGACAGAAGGGCGAAACGGAATTAATTTGGGAGAGGGAAACTGGTACAATTCACGGCACTGTTGGCCCTGTTAGCACTGTTCGCTTCGAGCTAAACTGGGAACCACACGTACTTGGGCACTTTAAATATTTGCTCTGCACTGCAAAAGTTCCCTCCTTTTCTGCGGATACTGCTGCTGCTGCTGCCTCGGCCTTCGCTTCTCTAAGGACCAACACTTGGGGAGGAATAGTTGAACAGGACTACTGGAATCCTATTGCCTCGGTCCCTTTTATACCTCGTGCGCTTGCGATCCACTCGCAGCATCAGCTGGCGCGGATGCTGTGGATGCTGGTGGCTCTCCGGGATTGCCACTGCGCAAGTACAAACAAGAAGCGGTTGCAGGCAACTGACCGAATCATAATTAATATTTAGTGGTCATTTTGGTAACTAATGGAATTTAACTTTCAATAACAAACCCTCCCTTAATCAGGGGATACATCAGCTGCCGCCTGAAAGTGTGCAACGTTTTCAGTCTGCAGTTCCGCGCAATTAGGGTGGCCCGTGTTCAGCGGCGGGAAGTTCAGTCAGCCACTTGTTGCTTTTCTAAAGTTGCGTGCCAGAGTTTAACTGAAGTGTACAAAGCTTTAGCAGAATTATACGTTTATTGGCAAGCACCTTACAAAATATTTTGAGTAGTTGGTAAGGTCTGTATAAGTATTTTATATATTTAAATGTGTCCATGTTGTGGAAACATATGTTATTGCTAGAAAAAGTCAACAATCTTAATTCTGTATAATAATGTATTGATAACAATTATAATTAAAAGCCCTCTCAGTTCTAAGGAACTTTCAATTTATTGCCATTAATCTCCATTAATGTGTTTGGCAATTTTATTATAGTGAAAACTAAAATCGTAATTTTTGTCGTATCAATTCTCTAGACCTACTTCTCAGGGCTGAAAGTCTAAAAATTTGCATAAACTCATAAAATTAGCTGCCACTTTTGATTGATGAACATAAATTAATCAAAGTGGCCCTGGTCAACGAAAGTGATTGAAGAAATGCTTTCACCGATCGAAGCGCCAGCTAATTTAATTGGCCACTGAATAAACTTCTTTGACATGCCAGATTTGTCCCTCTTTTGGACCATAAAAAACTGAGTCCATGGGATACAAACAACGGAATGCGAGGTGTCAAGCTGTTTTATTCACTCACTCATTCACCCATTCGCGCATTCATTGATGATTATCTTAACGGTTTACAGAGGTTCTGCGCATTTTATCACTTGGGATGATGGCGAGGAATTTTGATGTGAATGTTGAGCAGAACGGAAAGTCATCTGGTAATGCTGCATTATTTCCCCTTCCTGTCCTCGCTGGCCCATCAATATCAGAGCTAAAAGGGTTGCGAAAAATGAGAAAAATAAACCCCGTGTTCAAAACGCTGAAGATAAGACTTACAGGTTTATTGTTATGTTATACACTGAAGAATAAATGTTTTACATATATCTAAATGTTTGTACCATTACTTATGTCTACCATACAATTTTGCCTATTTGCCAACCTATCGGCATGGATTGCAGAATTTTTATAATTATTTATTATAATAATTTATAATTATATATCCATTTGACATATGAAGCTCTTGAACCCATATTGTCCCACCCTGGGCCATTCCTTACTTACTGATAAGAGAAGCATTTTTCCAGTGCACAGCATGTTGTTCCTCCATCTCAGGTGAGTGTGTCAGGTGCAATGGGCTGCTTTGGATGGCATGGTGGCTTAGCGCGTTTTGTCGGCAAAAAGCACGTAAAGCGAAAAGAAAACGCAGACGAAAATAAACTCCGCGATTCCCGACTTGGCTATGTATCAAATGTCTTTCAAAGGTAGTTAAACGCTTCCTACTCCACGCAGAGCCAAGTACCGCGTTGAGTACCTAGTTGGGTCAGAGTGAGGCAATAAACATAAACCAGGCCCAGCCCTCCGTCTCTTTCGCACTTCTAAGCCCCCGAGGTAGGGTACCATCCAAACCGACTGGCCGGCCCATAAACTATTTATAGCTGTCGCTGTCCGTCGCTACTTTCGCGAGACTTCCTTCTAACTGAACTTGTGTAACCGAATCTTCAGTGGTCAGTCCCACTCCCAGTCCCAGTCTCCTCTATCTTCTGCCTCTTTTTCCAACTGTCACTCCCTCTCTTTCGCGCAATCTCCCACCTTCAATCGCTTCCCTATGCATACAATTAAAGTTTAGCACACGTCGCGCTAAGTGGAAAAGTTTGAGCGAGCAAAAAGGCTGACAGGAAGAAAGAATCAAAGAGCCGGAGAGCAGAAGACAAAACAAATGGAAAGAAAGCAGGCAAGAAAAGGTTAAGTACTTGGGACAACAATTCCAAGCAATGCAAATGGTTAGCCCATTTGGACCGGCAAAAATGGCTTAAAAATTAATATAGCGATTAGGAAAATGCTGTACTACAATTTGTAAATAAAATATTATCTTGTATACCTTTCGATATTGGCTATCCTTTGAGGATTCCTCGGAAAAGAACATTTGAACACTTTGCATATATTGATTGGAATATAGGTAATGTGTTATTTCAAAGAAATCAGAAACCCAGAAAGGGTTAACTGTGCACTATCCATGCCCTAGACTAAGCCCTAGGCCCTAGTCGAACTTGAAATCGGAACCCGTTTGCCAACCCCTCCCGAAAACAAGTTCTACCCCCAAAAGCCGATGCAAAATGTGGAAGATGACGACTGACGACTGGCGAAGAGTGCAGAACAAAACTTTGCCGCTAAATTTTCGTGACAGCTGTTGAGCAGCAACAATAAAGAGAGCAGCGAGAGATAATGCCAGTACACCAGTACGAGTACCGGAGAGAACCGACAACAAACGGTAAAGCCAAGGCAGCGCAACTTCGGCAAGCCAGACTCAAAGCGTGCGGCTCTCCTCTCATTCGCGTTTCAACCTTCTGCACAAACGGAGCGGCGCTCGAAATCGAGGAGTACGTGAACGTAGGCTATGTGGTGTACGATCTTACGAACGTCGGCTAAAAACTCGAACCCCGATCCCCGCTCTCCGATCTCCGAACCATGAACCCCGAACCCCGAACCCCGAATCACGAACCTCGAATCACAAATTACGAACCTCGAACCGTTGAAGCGGGACCTCGAAGGGCAGCCCTTTGAGCCTTGTCCAAAAAAGCAAAACATCTAGTGCGATTGCGTTGGTGGGAGCCCTGCACTCCTGCCATACTAAACAGATATTCGTGTGTACATAATGGGTCACTGGAGCGTGCGATATGCCCAAAGTGACAGCAGCAACAACAACGACGCCTAAACGTGCGACTCATGCGCAAAGCAACTGACAGAAGCACAAAGGCGGCAAACGAAAAACGGAAAGAACGAACGGCAGTGGGGACCAAAGGGGTGACCAGGTGCCCGGGTGCCCGGGTGCACAGGTGAACAGGTGTCAATGTCAGCCGAAAACTAAACAGGGCTGATGCAGTGCGAGACTCAGAAAGAGGCTATATTAAAAAACTAAATTCAAAATTCAGTTCATTGCTGTTGATAATACTGGAAGTTGCGGATATTTGTGATATTAAAAATTATGTAGCTTTGATAAAAATCAATAAACTTTAATCAGTGTAGAATTTGTAAGTAATTACTGAAACTATTTCTATTAATCAGCAATATATTGAGTGCAAATAACGAACTTTCGAGTATGTTCAAGTGAATCTTAAGAATATTTCAAACAATCAAAATCAAAAGGAAACAGCAAAAGAAATAAATAATGTTAAGTGCATCCGCCACTTACTACTTTCTAGTATGCATGTGGAATTATAGACTCGCACATTCACCTAAGTCCTCAGTCCGCTCTTTCGATTGAACACTGTAGTTACCGTGCACTTGGAATCGAACCCTGTGCAACCCCGATTGTGAGGAATGGCCACAGGTTGCACTTCCGCTGGCGTCCAACTGTTGCCATTGATGTGTGTGCTTTAATTTGTTTGTTCATTATTTTCTAGTTAGCCATGGCTGTGAAAACAACTTTTACAAACCAAAAAAAGTAAAAAATTGAAATAACAGCCATTTCGCCCGTAAATTGAAAACGAACAAAAGTGAGCAAGAAACAGCGGGAAAATGAGAAAACGGAGATAACTAAAACCAATCGGACAGCATCGGTTAACAGTATTAACCAGCGACTGGCGTCTCACTGCCGACTTCCGTTCGTTTAAGCAGATTGTTGTTGCACTCCCAAGGGGCAAGAGGCCCCCTTTCTCAGGGGGCAGCAACTCAGCTCACCACAAAAAGAAACTCCACAAAACGCATCATTGGCGTGGAATTGCTTTGACTAATTTCCCAATGAATCGGCAGTTGCGGTTGCGCCCTGTGGCTCCAATATATATGTACATACGAGTATGTGGGCCCATGTGTGTGGCATGGCTATTAAAGTTGGCCGGGAAGAGAGTGTGAAACCGTTAGTAAGAGCTACTCTGACTGCGGGTCACCCGCTCCTCACCCGCAGCTTGATAAATAGTTTCCCTTCAAATATTTGCAAGTGTGCACTGGGGGAAAATAATATCAGGCTTGCCCCACTTTCGGCCATAATACCAGTCAACTTGGCTTAATTTAGTGTCATATCATAGAAATGAATTGATGACACCCAAGTCTCACTCATGAAGATCTTCGAGGTTCAATGATACATTTTTACACTAGTCAAGCGATGCGATTACTTATAACATTAGTAGCCTAAATAAATAAATAAATTGAATGAACTTAACTCTGTCCTAACGCCAATATCAAATATGTACGTATTAATCAATATTTTGATGTATATTTATACTTTCGAGGTATTGCAAATATTAGTGTCAATGGGAAACGTATCACTATTTTTCCCTCTGTACAATCGCGCTGTCATAATTAATTGAGCCATCAGGCAGGCGAAGCTTGAGCACGGCCTTCTGGCCAGCTCTCCGGATGGAGTTGACCCATTTGCCGGCGACCCAATTGCATCTGAAATTGTTGTCTAATTAATCATCAGATTAGTTACTGTAACAACTTAATTCGACATGCCATGCGAATGCGGCAAACAATTGTGTGAAAATTGCACAAATCCAACTTGCAGATACAAAAACAGGCACACATGCATACATATTGCAGGTAAAACTGATGCATATTGGGTAACACACTTGGAATGGAAATCAATTTCAGTTGACCAACCTCAACGAAAATGATATGCAAAACGCCGGATTTAGTTTGGTATGCATGCAAATGCACTTTTAATTGCCGCATTGTTTGGGGAACTGCATATCACGCTGTTGCACAGCCTAAATTATCTTTCAAATCCCCAGAAAATCCTATTCAGAGAATTTCCACACATCCAGCTGAGTTTCACTCAAAACTCAAAAGAAATGACTTTCCGTTTCCCTTGTCCAAACCCATCAACAATCGCTGAACACTGAACAACGAACTCTGGAAACCGAACAACAAGTGCGTCGAATACGAAATCGCAGTCATCTTGTTGCCTTGGCCATCCATCCATCTATCCACGTATCTGTCCAACCATAGATACTTCGGCAGACGTACTGTCAGCGTTTCAAGTCTGCCATTTAACTGGCCAGAGAAGAAATGCTGGCGACCGAGAATTTCTCTTTTCCAATTTGTGCGCATTTCTGTTTCAGCCAGTTTCGCTTGGCCATATTTGCCAAATAGTTTTTTGGAGCCTGGGGCATTCGGCCTCTCCAAGATGAACTGCTGGGCCACTTAACCCATTGCCAGCCAAATGGGTTAACCGGCCCGAATCGAAGCACTCTGCGTAATTACGTGCCAGAAATTAACATATTTGGGCGTGCGAACTGCGGCTGTAAGTGCACATTTCACTTTGGGTGCAGCAACACCAAGAAACCAGACACAATCATTTATGTATCTTATGAATATATGAAGTCGAAGGTGACAGACCAACGCAGCGAAGTCTCAGCTTTTTAAGATGTGTAACGATGAGGCATCGCAAGATTCTGGTTATCTGGAGCTGGTCGGGGGTTCGTTATCTGCCGCCGCATTTGTTTATGGGTCTCTGCCGTAAAAATAAACCAAAATTCCTTTGATTGCAGTACGAAAGCAAACGCTCCCAGGCACCAACGCACCATAGCACCCCGCATAGGAAGTCTTGAATTTGTGTATCGCGCCGGCTGATAAGCTGCTCCGTAAGCAACTTTTATTTTCGGTGGCCCAAGTGGAGGCAGTGCGGCAGTGCCCGCTTCCAGTGCCAAAACAATGCTCGTAACTGGCGCGTAATTAACACACAAAAAGCTAAAAAGAAACCAAAAGCAAGCAGTAAGGCGGATTTGTTTGCCAAAAGTGTTTCATGTGCGTGAGAGCAAAACAGTGCCCGCATGAGACACTGAGTGCGGAAATGGAAATGGCCTAGGGCCGCTCCCGATTCACAAGCAAATTACACACACCGCCCATCGGCCACTCGGCGACAGCAGCAACATGGCAGGTGAAGTGCCAGCAGCAACATCGCCAGCAGGACGCAACACCAGCAACATCGACAACAACAACCAGGAGAGCAGTCCCGATCCCGTCCAGCAGCAGCTGAACTCCAGCGCGGACAGCGGGATTGCGGTGCTCGAGGCGGAGTCCCCGACCTTGAGGAGGCGCCAGCGACTGCACCAGTGCCAGCGGATCCTCCAGGTGTTGCAGCGGGACCAGCTCACCCACCAGCAGCTGCGCGATAGATTAAGGTGAGTGCAGCTAAAAAGTCATGTACATAAAAGTCTCAACATATTAGTTGACCCATATTACCACTTTTAAAGCCAGATTCTCTCACCAATGCGATATGAAAGTACGGGGGAACACCCATATTTCGATCTTTTAATTCAATGGGCTTAGTTTTATTGACAACAACTTAATGCTTGGGAAGTTTGACAGTATATGGAAGTTGATTTTACCATGTGGCCAGAACGGAAGCCACTGGCAGCTGGGATTGGCCTGAGCCGACTTGGGTGCGCATGGAGCCCACAATCTTACGGCAAACTGCACCGGGCACATGCATCTGCATCTCCCAGACTGCGGGCGGATATCAATTTATGCAAATTTGCCGACCTCAAAATGGAAATGACAATATCTCGGGCGCAGTCAGTCATGTCATTCGTACAGCCAGAAGTCACTCCGTGAGCAGTCTGAGTCTTCTGGGAATTCTTTTCGACAATTGTCATAGAGGAACCCGCTGCTTCTGACCACGGAGCTTTTGAATGAGTTCGCAATTTGGTTGGGAAAATATGGCGGGGAAGTTCCATTAGAATGATAATGACGGCCAACCCAGTTCGGCGATCGTAATTGGAAAACCTATTTGAACTATATGGTTGTCTGTGCAGTGTGAGGAAAGGTACACTTTATAGGGGGATAATTGTAGTACATAAAAGTATGTAATTACATTTTTGATTGAGAAACATGTTTAGTCGTCTTCTTTCTTTCATAATAATAATTCTTGATACAGTTTTATAGAACCGAAATAACCGTTCGATTTCGACACACTTAGTTGCCAATAGAGCATTCCGGATTCGAATCGTTATTGAGCCCCCAAATCTGTAACCTATTCCACGATAATTTCGTTATTCCACACAAGCTTCGTCGCCTGGGGAGTGGAGTGGCAATCTTATCGAATATTTCATAATTAACTTGATTAATGCCAATTAATTGCCGTGAGCTTTGCTTGGCCAATGGCAGGGCCAATCGATTTCGGAGGTCTTTTCTTTTTGCCACAAACTCTTGCAACCAAGCGGCGGACATGTGACTGGCAGCTGCCAAGTGGCATTTGCAATTGCATTTGCATAAGGTCCGTTGGACAATGCGGAATGCCAGAGAATATTGGACGGGGTGGGGTCATAAGTGTCCATATTTCTGCGGCTCAATGGGGATTTGCCTTCCACCCTCTAGTTGCATGGCCAACAAAGCTCTGACCCACTGCGCCACTAGGGGCCAGTTCCATTTTGGTTACTCGCCCGCAACGCACACAAATCCTAAAACAAAAAAATATTAATATCAAAAGCCCCTTTAAATATTTGGCCGTAGATTCAACCCAATTGGAAAGAGTGTACACCCGTTGGTGACCTAACATCCGAAATAGTCTTGACACTTATCTGCGAAGTTTTCGTCGCAGACCGAGATATATATTTATATATTACTGGACGCGAGCGGAACTCTTATCAAATCAACGGTCGGTCGGCTATATATGCGATCCGCCATAACGAAGTGGGCAAACAAAATCCAATATAATGCCCATATACCCCAGTTATATATTGTGCAAAAAAGTAAACAAAACCGAATACAACTTGGCTAAAACAAACCTGTCGGCGCTCCAGTCGGAGTCAGCTGCTCCATTCGTTAAGTTAACTTAACTTGAAGATCGTTGGCATTGGAGGCCCTTATCCACGTGATCTTAATCAGTTCTGTTGTATACTTGCCGCGATTTGTTTCAATTTGTGCGTCATGCATTCCGGATTGTTTTCGGTGTCGACGGTTTGGGCTTTTTGAAGATGGAGTAAGGTGATCGGCTGTGCGGCGATGGCAATTAGCGGGCTCAGTTCGTGCGGCAGACACCTCAGAAGCATATTGCCCGAAAAGTGATTGATAATCGTCGTTCGTAACTGCAAACAGAAATAACAAGCCAAACGAAAAATCAAATTTTGTGGTAATTATTTATTCAGATATTCCGCCAGTGAAGTTCACTTCGGTTCAGAGGAAAGATTCCACAAGCACTAAAAATTTAGAAATCAAACCCACACCTTTAATGCCGACTGAAGTGAATAGCACGATAATTAATACATCCTTCTTAGAACCACACACACACAACTGAAGCTACATTTTTTGTAAATAATAACTGCAAAACCAATGGAAATTATGCAACTCTCAACTTGTATTGACGATATCGCTAAAAAAGCAATACTGTCGATAAGAGTTTCGCAAAAAGCACATACTGACATTTATCAAGTTTAATTAGTGCTAATCGCAATGTGCAAAAATAAACACAAAGGAAAACACTTAAGCAAATAAATTAACGAATAAATAACTGCTACTACGTGGTTCGACCTGTAGACAAAGTTTTTCTAAACTTTTCTAAAGTGATTGCATCTAAGCACGAGATTTGCATACCTAAATGAATAATGTTCTTTAAGTGATTTATGACAACAATTTCAGTTGTTGTTCTTTGCATTATGTTGGAAATTATTTACCTCTAATAGTCACGAATTCAAATGTGACCAATTGCATTAAGTTGTACCTAAAAATATTTGCTTACGTGATGTTTTCTCTGGGAAATAATTGTATTACAGGCTTAGCTATTTCCAACTGAAAATTCGAAACTTAAATGCCCTGCAAATGATTTTTACCCATACAACTTCATGTCAAATCTAGGCAATTTAAACCGAACAAACAAAAACTTTCTGATAAGGCTAAGGCCAAAGTATGTATTGGCCGAAACCACGTAAAATACCCACAAATAGGTGATAGCCGCAAATGGAGAATTTTTGGTTCTGATAAGTAGTAAAAAATAGTTCAGTGGAGTATTGTTCCGGCGATTTCTTTGATTCAGTCTAGTTAGGGGTTTCACCTGAGGTGGAATTAAATCATAGGTGCTTCCGATAGGTGTGTGTGTGTGCTTCTAATGCAAATGCCACGAAATTAAAAGCGAAATCGAAATCGATATCGATATCGTATTTGAATTTAATGCGAACTCCGCAGTGCCTGAAGCGCTGGATGCGCCCGTACATCTGCCTCATGGAGCTGCCAATCAACCGACCTGGAAGCGGGAACCTGCTGCTGGGACTCACCTCCGTGGTGGCTCTTATTGGAGGGGCCTATCTGCTGCAGTGTGGCGCCCAGCAGCTCTTGGGGTGAGTTAATCAAATGGAGATAAATCAAAATATGGCATCCGATGGATACAAGTTCGGGTACGTGAGCTAAGCTCCGGAGCCGCACGTGCAGATGCACTTACGTGTGTATGCCGCAGTTGCAGATACAAATGCAGCGCGAGATAAATCCGAATAGAAACTGAAACCAAACTTTCTTGACTGCAACTTCAATCCGGTTACGTGGCCATCGTTTCGCATGACTTGATTGCGTTTGCGTGTGGGAAATGGCCAAGCTGAGGAGATTTGACATAATTGTTGCCATTTCTCCAGTCGCCGTTTTCCACCAGCTACTTGCCACTTGCTACTTGCCCCGGCGATGGTAATGGCGATGGCGATGCAGTTACTAACTTTGGGCATCGAGTGCGTAGCTTCGCCTTAATTAAGAATTGCGCAATCTCCGCCACCTGCCTCCAATTTATGCGGCACCTGTTGTGCTCCGCCGATGGCCTGCCGGTCCGATGGTCCGTTAGACGTTTCATAACATTGCCAAGCTGTCATTGACTTATCGCGAATCCGGACACAAGAACCATAGAGTCTCAAAGAATGGTTAGCGGAAGTCGTTGGCCAACAAAGGGAACAACTTTCCACCGCCCCCTCCATCTGCTTTTTCCTTAAAAAGCGTCACAAATTGGCAGTAACAATTGGCCATGACTAAGAACGCCCCTCAATTGTTCTTCTTTCGTCACCTTTTCAATGGAAACTTAATTAGCCGCTGTGTTGACAAAATTATTGTTATTATTACTGTGGCGGCAGTTACACATCATTTTTTAGTGTATTAGGGTACTTTTGTATCGAAACTATAAGGCTTTAAGTAATGTATCGTTAATGAAGAAACAAAAACAATTTCCTTATATTTATATTTAGAAAATCTCCTTACATATTGCATTACATTTAAGCAAAGAAAACCGCAAAACAAAAACACAACAATCAAGTTAATAGTTTTAATTCATGTGTGCCAATTTCTAAATACATATTTCAGTTCGCTTTTAATTCACTTATTAATTTCCGGGTCTGAAATACGACTTTTTTTTAGCGTCTTTTAAAAGCCAAACAAGTTGTGGAACTGTGGAAAGTCGCTAAATGCAATTAACTCTGGCCGATGCCACAGCTCAGATATGCACAGAAATTCTGGGTTTTATTCGCTATTAAAGTGAGAACAAACCAGTTATGTTGGCCTTGTGGCAAGTGAAAAGCCGCAAAAAGTTATGACCGAAGTATTTTCAGTGTTTAAAAGTGCGGTTCAAAGGCGATTGTGGGAACAATATCAAGTTGTGAAACATTTTTAAACAAACATGATGTGCAGCATTGTTTGGGGAATTTTCGAATTTATAGCTGTTCAATTACCTCGAATATCCCCTTAATAAAGCATGCTTTTAGGCTTGCGTTTTATTGAAGAAATTGAATATTTTGCACGGTGAATCAAGACATTCGAGACAATACAAAAATCCGCTTAGATACGGTTAGTGATGATCTCACAAAAGTCGGATAGTAAGCTCGGAGATAATCAGAAGATTATTACTCCCATATCAATAAAACAATTTACGATGCCACTCGTTTACTCGGTTCTACCAAGAATTTATTAATCTCCGGCTTGAAGTTCTGGGAAATTCTCGAGATTATGTTATCAAAAGAGCGTTTGTGAAAGCTTGTGGCCCTGCTGGGATATTAATAACGACGGAACCTGAGGGCTCGGCGCTTTCTTGTGCGGGAATATGCTAATGGGACACATGATGCTCACTTACATACATATATTAACCCAGATTCTCAGCACAGATTTCTAGCGAATCTCGCCACCTCGAGGCATGGGATCGCTGCTTTAAAAGTTCCCCTCGCATTATGCCGATGAAAGTGTGGCCGCTTTGTGGCGCCTTTTGTTGCCAAAACTGTGATTAAAACTCGAATCCAGCCAGCAGTCGATTGATTAGTCAATAGAGCGCTCACAGCATGCATACATTATATTTTGCCAGACAAGAACCAAGCTAACTCGTTTGCGGAATGTTTCTCACAATTATCATTTGGAAATTAATGAAGTTCTGGCCAAGACGGCGAGCGGGAAAAATATTGCCAAAATAAATTAGTCGACAAATGAATGCAGCAGACAGCCGATGATGCGGACTGATGACTGCTGATTTTCGACCACATATCTCCCCTAAAACGGTTCCTGCTCGGCCAGGTTTCCAGATCTCGGAGCTCGGATCACACAGATCGCAGAAGAAAGGCGATAAATCTGCATGGAAATGTGCGCAGTCATGATTCCCATTCCGCTATATACATATGTAGACCTGTTCGACGGGATCGTGTGCAGGGGGACTCCACTTACGTCATTAACGAGTTTGTTCAGCGCAGAGAGAGCCAGTGGACGACTCCCGCTCTCCACGATCGAAACCGGCATGGGATACGGCTATGGAGAGGCCTTAGCTCTATAGCTGTGGACCCATAGATACCCGATCTCAGCTGTTGACCGCCGACTCTCAAAGCCAACTGCGCATAACAAAGGCGAACCTTGTGCGAGAAAGTTGTCAGTGTCGTGGGACGCGGATCGCGATTTGATAGCGAATTGGCATTAAGTGCTTCCATTGGCGAAATCGGTTCAACGCGAGTGCCATGCCAAATCCCAGCAAGCCCAACGGCGCTAATCAGTCGACAAACATTTCGAATACCTGAAAACCCGATCCCACCTGGAGCCAGCCCAACAGCCAGCAAGGAAGCCACCACAGATCCAGCTCTAGATCGAGATCAAGGGAGAATGCTGTTCTCCGCGGTGGTGTTGTGCCAGGTGGAGCGGCTGATGTGCCTGCCCATCAGCTTCGCGGTGCTGGGCTTCCTCTTCATGGCCTGCACCATGGAGGTGGTGCTGCTCAAGCTGACTACCACTGATCCGGTCCTCGGACCGCCCGCCGAGGATTGGGAGGAGAACGGAGGCCCGGATGGGGAGGAGCAGATCTACTACGAGAATCTGGAGAACAACTACGAGTACTGGGCGCGCAGGAGGATGCGATTCCACAGACAGCGACAGCAGCAGCAGCAGCAGCAGCAGCAACAGCAGCAACAGCAGCACCATCTGCCCACTTAGACATAGGCTAGAATATATGTATATTTTTAATTAGATTGGTTTAAAGCGGGTATTCTGACTGAGCTTCTCCTACACCTTTTGTTTTCAATTGTTTTCGACGGCCTGTGCAGGGTTTTTGAATCTTTCGCAAGCGTAATGTTTTCGATCGCTGTTTAAGGTTGGCTTTTTCCTTAAATTATATTTGTTTGTTTGTAAGCGAAATCGCGAATTTTGCCATTTGAATAAGTTGAGCAGCAATCCGCTGGGCGATTTCTCATTTCGAGCACGTACAAGACACCTAGGAATTCCCTTCTTCTCTCTTGTGTAAGAACTGTGACTGACATAATCCGAATGCATATCGAGGCAGTGCGTCTCTTAGGTTGTAAGATGATGTGTGATAGAGCTACATGTAGACTTTAAGCAGGCCATTTCGCCTAAGTTGATTAAACTCGGCTTCGAAACCCCATTGCCTTTTTGTTTGCCTGGTCCAACGGGTTTGCGTTGTTATGCAATTTGCGGGATTTAACAGCCGGGAGAAAGTCAATTGCCCCATACAATTGCGTTTGGGTGGACTGCCCACTATTTGCTGGGAGAATTGCTGGTCGGTCCAAAAGTTGGCAGCACGATCAATGGCTACCGACTAATTGAGTTGAGTTTCAGCCAACGACCTTCTGGCCGTTGAATAACCCCATCTAGTCGGCAGAGCCGACCTAACTAATCGTCTGGTTTTCACCATCCAACATTCTCGAAATAACGCGCGATTCCTTCCGCCTTGCCTCTTCCAGCAAACTAGCCAATAAGAAGTGGAGGAAGGAGGAGTCCAGCGAGGATCACGCCTGCAACGTCTGCTGTGCGGACCTGGATCTGAGCAGTGCCAAAAAGTGAGTAAAAGAAGTGTCTGCGAGACAGAGGATTATTCGAAATACCTGTTTTACATTGTTCGTATGCTGAATAGCAGTTTTGCCTCTTCATAGACATATGATAAACTAATCAAACAAACACCTATGCAAAATATTATTTGGAAAGAATTTTTGTAATTTCTCCGGCATCGATTCCTTTCTATCGAACTAAAAAGAAATAATGTATCAATAATTTATTTAACAAGCAAGTATCATTTATGTTTTATAAGTAACTGATTATTTCAATGTCACGGGAACATGTCATTCAAAATAATAAATAGTATATGAAGTTTCATAATTGGCTTAATGGTCCAAGATTTACGTTTTAGACAGTTTACTGAAAATGTTTTTAAGGGACCTACAAAGCATCGCCGAGTATATTATAAAAGTAATGATCTGGGAAAACCTCTTCCAGCTACGTGACATGTTGCACCTGCGGAAAATCGGTTTGCCGCGGTTTAAAATGCGCCGACTGGCGGCCCAAGGACGCCAAGTGGGAGTGCCAGCTATGCCAAAGCTCCAAGGAGTCGCTCGCCCACACCTCCTCGTGGGTGGCCGAGCAAATGTCCTTCAACCAGCACAAGTTTGTCTATCCGATGAGGGCCAGGAGTGAGGTGTACATACCGATTGTGGGCGATGGCAACGACAGCAGCATGCGTGAGTGCAGTTCCAGGAAAGGAGTACTTGGAATATCGAGTCTATATTTGCAGAATTCGAGAGCGTTAGCCAGATTGGTCATACCGCCCACATGGACGAACGGGCCAAGATCCGCGAATACGTGGAGGAGATTGTGGCCGAAATGCTGGGCGGCAATTTGGACCACGTCAAAGTGGGTCAGCTGTCCAAAAGTGAGAACTGTAAGTACCCAGATTGCCTGAGATTCGATTAGGGCAAATGCAATTCATGCAATTTGTGCAAATCAAATTCAATTGGTGCGGCAACATTTTTCGAATTCTTTTCACATATGTATGTTGCCAAGGGCTTAGCAACATTTGTTGCTGGCTAGTGAACCCGAAGTCGAAGCATACTTTTAGGCAAGCTTTCAGGTGAGAGCTTGCCGAAAAGACTTTCTGTCTATTTTGTTTTGTTTGCTCATTAACCGATATTTGCACCCCACACACACATGACACACAATCAGACTTGCAACTCTTTGATAAATTCCATGCGAAGCTGAGTAACCTGCTTATGAATGTGGAAAACAGTTTGTGCGCGCGTGCGCTCAGGGGAGGTAAGTAATCGGTAATCGATAGCCACTAATCGATCGAGCACGCACGCTGTAATCGTCTGTTCTGTACGCTAACCTTTGTAACGTCGATTACTAGTTTTTATAGGCAGTATTTTGAAGGATTGTTTAATAGTTTGTATTATATACATATACGTATTTTATTTTAATAGGAGTCACTGTACCATTCGAACATTTATTTTGATGAACTTTTAACACAAGCTTAAGTTGGAGGCATTACAATGTAAAAGTAAATCTTTCTGACTTCCATGCCTATTAAAATAAATAAAAATTAATTATTAATATTTAAAAAAAGTTTCACCAACTTTAACCTGGATTATTTTCCACTTTGAGCACAACAGAACATATTTTAAAACTTGTATGCCCTTAAAAAATAAACTCTTGTTAATAATTATATATGTATGTATAGTACCTGCTAATCGTTTAACTTATTAAGTAGTTTCCGTCTAAAAAACTTATATTATTCACAACCCAGTAATGTGTATTTCCTCCCCTTGGCATTCATCGATACGGCTGTTTGTATGTTGAGGCACTCCACCAAAAGCCCTATAACAAATCTATGACTGCGGCTGTAGTAAAGCTATCTCCTATCAGTGGGCCATAACCAGGGAGTCCAATTAAAATGGCAAAATCAACAACCTGCGCGCTCTGCCTCCTTACAATCTGTGCCCCTCTGTTCAACTCACTGAAATCGCGGTCAATGCTGGCTGATAGGAGGCAGCAGAGAGTCACTTTGTGGGTGATAAGAGCGTAATGCTTTGATAAGACTTTTTAGCTATTGAAGTGCCGATGTCAGCGAGAACATTATGATACTCCGCCGAGCAGGTACTTTTTCGAGTTGGCCAAAGTCCCAGCCTCAGCGCAGTTGACAGATAGCGACAGGCATTAATCATACGCACCGTTGGTGGGTTGCTCACCAACAGGTTTCGTGATTGGAAAATTGGCGTAAATGTCTTACTTACAAGACCACTCAAGCTGTTGTGTCTGAACAGTCGATTGATTTGGTCACGCTCCCAGCTTAGTTCGGCGATTTGGGCTGAAAAACGGCTGAAAATTGCAAAGCCAAACTGCGCCACTCGACCAGATCTCACAACCAGGCCCACTGTGCCCATACAAAATATGAACTTGAGTGTGTGAGTGAGCGTTTAGACGCTCGCCGCTCGCCGCTTACCGCTCGGCAATCGCACGGAACGTAACTTCAGTTGCCAGAAGCGACGCGTCGCGATCGTAACGCCAATTCCGCTCCGGCCCAAAAATTCCGTCCGAAACGCGTGTGATAACACATGTTGGTATAATCCAACATACCTTGCGTACTCGTCAAAAAACAAGAATTCCGCGCAGCAGATAGAGGAACTTTTCCAGCTGCCAGATAAGGCCCTAAGTCAAACAGACCAAGAGACCGCATTAGTGACGAGTTATCAGCAACCTTGACCCGACCCTAAGTTGGCAAAAAACATTAATGAGCAAACATTGAAATCAATAATCGTGAGGTAAAACAAAGCGGCAGACGAGGAAGGGGTCTTAATCAACGCTAATAAATGTTAATGATCCCATCCCCGAGATTAACAGCGAATTATGATCGTGAAAATATGATTGCGGACTTTCAACACGCTTCCGTAACCCAAATCCCTCTGCAGTTTATCATTGACCTCAACTAAACAAAGTAGCTCTGGACCAAGTAACCCTTGCGACCCAACTTATCGCGGGTCAGTCCACCGATTGAAGTCGGAGCAGTCTGAAGGGCCACAATCGAGCACTTGAACCCACTGGCTGGGCGGGGAAATTAAAAATACGAGAGTGGAAAACAGCGAGTGATAATTGCCCGAGTGATTTCGCCTGAACCCTGAACTTTGGAGTCGCACAATAGACTCGGAGATCGGCAGTGTTCCGATCCGGTTGGTTCTGTCTGTCCTAGGGGCCAGTTTCTGGGTCTATTTCCATTGATGACTCGTTTTGGATACAGAAGTGCGGGTCTGTGACAGTTTTGCACACCTTTTTGCAATGACTAACGGGGGACAAGCTGTTCGGGCAGCTAGACATAAGTAGATAAAGAATTCGGGCGGCATTGTAACGCAAAATAGATAACTCGGGGTTATTCATTATGATAGTGGTATTTACCGTAATACGTCAATAGACTTAGCATGTCAAAGGAAAATGATAAATATGCGAACCGAAGTCGCGATTTTCAGCCTGACTGGAGTCGCTCGAAGCTCGGGGAGCTCCGGTTGTTCAAGCGTTTAGGGGAGGCGGTGACAAATTTATGTTTTCAGCTCAATTAGGGTAACAAAGCCAACAAAAAACCAAACTCAAATATGTGCTCAATATAATTAGCAGTCCAGCCGACCGTTATATCAATGAATGCTCCAAACAAAACCGAAACACAAAAGTAAATAAACAAACAGGCGAGATATAAACGGTTCAGCGATACCAGACGCATACGATATTTGCGAGTAAATCTACGTATATATGCATGCAGCATGGACTTTACTTTGGGCCTAGTCACTGGCATGTATGCCGTTTTGGCCGTAATTGTCTTTTACGTGGTTTACGTCATTGAGGTGAAATTAGGTATGGCTAAAACACTCACACACTCACTCAGTCACTTACTTTCTTCGCCTTTCACACACTCATAATCGCTAGTCTAGAAGTAACCGAGTTTTCACTTTTATTGTATCGATCTCTGCTAACCAAGCATATCTTGTACTATGTGGTTTCGGCTGGCATTCCGGGTCTTGTAAATTCTGCTCACAAAGCTCACAAAGACACTTGCTTTCAGATCTTCCGGCCATCGTAAATGGCCATACCAACAATAATAATAACAACAACAATGCGGACTCCGAGCTGACCGACCTCTCGCAGACCCGACTACGCAGTCTCATCGAGACCATCATAGCGGAGACCTTGCGGAGCTCCTCCCTGAGCGCCAGCGGAGCCGTCTCGGAGATCAGCCTGGACACCAGATCCCACGTCTCCGAGCTGGCCAACGGAAACGGGCTGAAGCGGCGCCATCGCACCGAGCACTACTTCGAGCCGAAGGTCTACCAGGATCTGCTGGCCACAGCGGTGCTAAATAAGGTAAGCTATCCGGAACCCTACACCCATCACCACCTGTGGAAGTACCCAACACCCCTCCCCTGTGGAGAGCTGTGCAGAGTCCATTTCCACCATTTTAACTGGCCCATTTCGCCCAGTTTTCGCTTTCATTCGACCTGCACTTGGACGGCTTCGCTATTCCAGTTGGCACATCGCCGAAACGGACCAGGCTAATTAGTTGCAGTCCATTGTCTTGCCCGTGCAGACGTTTTAGTCAACCACCTGGTGTACATAGCGGAAGAAAAGCAGAATCAATTCCAAAGCTAATTGGATAAATCAATTTGCTGGAAAGTCGCATAGGTTTCATCAGCCCACCCAGGATTATGGCTGATCCAGGCGATCAAGTAAATATGTGTGATTGCTGAAGCTATAAACGTGGGCAGCTGGTGAAATGATTCAGCGAGCCATATCAGCAGTGCTATTTCGATCTTATCACAGCGTCACTAATCCGTCAGCGTTAAACTGCCCAATTGCCTTATCAAATTCCGCTTCTGCAACTTCGCCAGTAATTGACTTCGTCCAGGCACTCAATCAATAGGGACTGGTAATCGATGACGAAACGAGGGACTGGTCGTCAAGTGTCGTAGTAGCTAATATTGCCGGGTATAATCAGCTTAGGGGCTTTTTCCTCACAAGCAGTTGACCCACAACAAGTCGGTAGATCGGGAAATCGGGAACTCTGGGGTTCAACAACACTCATATTGCTGTTGCACAATGCCAAGGCCGATGGGCTAAAATTTCGCTATTTTTCCATTGCGGTTTCTTTGCCAGATTGCGGACAAGGAAGGAAATACAAGGCTGGCGGCGGAGAGCACGCCGGACTTGAGTGGTCGCCACATTGACGAGAATTTCAATGCCGAAGCGCTGAGCACCACGTCCGGAAGCTCCATTGAACCACGAAGTGATTGCAGCCTCACCGACCATGAAATCGGACTGGATGTAAGTGACTTTTAGTTTAAACCCACTGGCCAAACTTTAATTGTGGAGGATTACAGAATGGCAAGTCCCAGTCCCTGAAGACGGACTTGGAAAGGGAATCTGTGCTCAGTGACTATATAGCCGCACACATGGTGCCACTGCCAGACTTTTCAGCATCCGTCACCGAATCCGAGGATGGTAAGTGACTACACCTGCCTCAAATACAACTCCCTGGGCTTACAAAGGTACCCTCACTTCCCTTCTAGATATTGGATCCATCTCCTCGGGCATGATCGGTGATGGAAACTGGGAGGACAACTGGCTCTTCAAGAAGAAACGCAGCTCGGCCACTCCGAGCAGCATTGGCATGCTAGTGCCGGCACCAAGGGAGAACGTACGTGCCCAGATTGGGGATAAGACCACCGACGAGGTGAGCGATCTGTCGGAGATGGGCTCGGACATCGAGGAGAGCTCTCTGGATTTGCTGCGATGCAACGATCTTAACGATCGCCTCCTGAGCAAGCATCTTATTGGCGGCCAAAACACCAAGCTGGTCCTCGACGAGCTCGTGGATCGCACCAGTCTCACGTCCCACACATTGCTGGAGGAGAATGAGCCGGCATTCACAGAGACCACCAATGAGTTCGTGGTGTCCCCGATGGCAGTGCCTTCTGATATTAAGGCGCCATCTCCAACGCCACCTCCTCCACCCATGATATTCCAGGATGACTTGTTGCACGAGGAGCCAGAGCACACTCCCATTGCAGGTAACTTTCATGAACTCACCTTATGTACCTCCAACTATAGAATCTCATATTTATTGCTAAGAGTTAACTAACCCCTTACCTAGATAACTAGCTCGCTTGATCGTTGATAGCTTCTTAGGTGTAGACAGCCCGGAACCCCTCCTTTAGTAACTCAGTCCACTTGTGCGTGATCTTAAAGCACCGGCATTTAGCAGTCGTTTGTGTTACAGCCCACGGCGAATCCGAGGAGCTGTCCAGCCTCGATGGCTGCACTGGCTTTAGCACCGTCGAGTACATCGATGAGGGGCAGATGCACGATACTGTGCCATCGGTGATCGAGATCCTGGCAGCCATGGCGCTGGGACCCATGCTAGCTGTTCCGGCATCTGAACAGCCTGCTGGAATGACGCCCAGTGAGATGCACACCCTCAAAGAGCTGAGTGACTTGGCCCTCGCCGAGATCAACGCTCGCACAGTGGACCTGGTGCACGCTCACTCACTGGACATCATTGAAGAGGAGTACACAGAGCCTTCAGAAGCTGGCCCAGAGCAAAACGTCGACTTCGTGCAACATCCACCGCTCGAAGGGATTACTTCTACTGAGCAATTATCCCCAGGAGACCAGGAGGGCGTTGTTCAAATGGATGTGCTACCACCTCCTCCACAATTAAACCTTATACCTGAGATTGAACCGCCGCCGCCGCCAATAGAACTGCCCCAAGATATCAAATCCACTGCTTCGGATCCTCAGAATCCTGCAGAAGCTGTTCCCGAATTAGCGACAGTAGAAGTTGTTTCGGAGATGAATACCGATGATATTACTCCTCTAGAGAACGTGCAGAATGTGCCAGAACTAACATCTTCTTCGGATATTGTCCCGGAAGTCCAATCTTACGTGGAAACAATTAAAGTAGATCCAACACCAGAATCTGTTTCATTGCCTGTGGAAACTGGACCAGAAATACCAGTGATTTGTGACGTTCCAGATCCCGTTGTAATTGATTATTCCGAGCTACACTCAGTGGATCCACCAGAAGTTATAAATTTGGTTTCGCTGGACTTGGAACCGCCAAAGCCTTTGGAATGCGTTCCTGAAACTGTGCAAACTCAAGAACATCAGTGTGAGGATCTACAAGCACCTATGGAGTTCAATCCTGGAGCAGAATCCATCGGAGTGAATCACGGCCTGGAAACCAACTTCGACACAGGGGATCCGACAGCAAATTTACCAGACCCAATTCCGGAAATGATTGCAGACCCCATAGCAGCGGCACTCCCTGAGCCTAGTCTCATACCTGTTCCTGTAGACAGTGGAACAGAAGTGGATAAACTAGGAACTATTGAAGTTGATTCACAGAGCACATCAGTCCCAATCGAAACCGTTTCAGAACCAAAAATAGTGGACCCGCAATTGCCTGTAGACGCTGATGACCTAACTCAATCTGCTCCCGTGAACTCACCCGAGCCTCAAAACATTGCAATCGATTCATCGCTACCTTTAGAAGAAGCGGCACCCGTGCAATCAACTCCTATAGAAGGTGCTACAGTGGATTCGCCACAATCTGTGGACACGGAACTCCCAGCAGCCGTGGAAAATTCGGTCTCTGTAGGGATTCTTAGAGAGAATGTCGATGTGAATGTCTGCGAAACTGTAGATGTCCCAATTGAGACAGACTCCATCGCAGGAACCCAGCCACAAGCTGAAGAAACTGTTGTCCCACCAGCTTCTGTGGAAATAGATTCAGAAAATCAGCCAGTTGCATTAGATGTCAATGCTGCAGAATCGCAAGCCATTTCAGAAGAAGGTATATTGACAATTGAAACGATAAGCCCACCATTTCCTACTGAAGTTGCCCTACAAGTGAAGTTTGTTGGCGCGGAGACTTCAGTGTCTGAAGGAGTTACAGAATCTGCCCCAGTTGAACCATCAAATCCCGTAGAGCCAGATAGCTCATCTGATTTCCGTGAATCAGATCCTCAAACAAAAATTGCGAATCTGATTACACCATCTTCAGAAATAGTTCAACTCGAAAATAACCCGTCAATTGAACTTCAAGATGAACTTCAAGAACTTACAGCGTCTCAATCGATTCCAGAGTCGGAATCTTGTGCAGTGGATCCCCAAGCAGAACAGCCCGTTGCAGTTAATCCCCTACCGGACATAGAAGTTGTTTCGGACGTAGTTGCTTTGGAACCCCCATCGCTTGAGGAAACTGACCCAGAAACACAAGCCATGGCAATAGAAAACCCTGAGCCTATGGAAATGATACCAACAAGATTAGCTGAAGCGGAGTCCATCGATACGGAAAACGAAATTAATCCGGAAAATCTTATTGAGCAGCCAGCCATGTCAGTAGAACCACAACCGACGGTTCCAATGGATGCTACACACGCTATAGAAAACGTTCAAGAAATACCGTGCAATACCTTAGATTCGGAAGCCACCACTGAATTACCAATAGAATTGGTCGACATGGGACTCCCAGTATCTGTAGAATTCCCTGCACAATCTGAATCTGTTGGTGCTGTTTCCCTATCCGGGTTTGTATTGGATACCCAGTCACAATCACTGGAACAACCAGAGCACGTGGAAAATGCAGCTCATATAGAAATTGAGGAAATGGTATCTCAAGCACATGTGGAGATTGTTCCTACTACAACAGAAGATTTTCTCCAAGCTGAATCCGTAGTGGAATCCGTTGAACCTATCCCAGCAGGAGATGAAGTGCAACCCATAGTATATGCAACAGCAGCTCTACAGATAGCACCTATTCAACATTCGGATACTTATTCTGAGCAAGCGGAAAAAGATACCGCCGAGCCAGTGGAAGTGGGTTTGGACACACAAAATGTGGCTGTCCAAAGAACAACGTCTGTTGAAAAAACTCCTACGGCTACGGATGGAGCATCAACAGAACTGCCTGTTCCTCCCGAAACGGATTATGTAACTGCATCTCTCGCAGCTGAAGAAATTGAAGCAAATGAAGCTATACAGATGCAATCGGTCACTGATGCCACACTCCCTGAAGAAACTGTAACGGTCGAAGTAAAAGTGCCAGAGCCGGTGGACCTTATTCAAGAATCAATATCTGCGGAAAAAGGTGAAAATCCACCAGAGACCCAGTCCGAATTTCTTGATGTTGAACATACACCACATGAGGAAGTACTAACCGAATCCTTAGAAAAAGATTCACAAAAAAGCGCTGATGCAGTGGATCTGCAAGAAGATAGTACGGAAGCCGAAGAAAATGTGGATCCTCTACCCACTACGGAAGTGGCCCCAGACATAATTGCATCGAACCCCTCATCGCATGTGGAACTTAGCACAGAGATACCACCAATCCACGTTCCTTTGGATATTGTTCCGGAAGCAGAGTCAACCGTAGAAGAACAACAACCACCTGTGGAAAAACTAGAGTCCAACGTTGTGGACAGCGATCCTGTAGTTATTGATCAGCCAGTTTCTGCAGAAGTTCTTCTCCAAGATAAAGTTGCATCAGCACCGCAACAAATTCCAGAGAACAAATCCGTCGAGGAGGATTTACTAAACGTTAGTATAGGAGCAGAATCCGTTGCAATGGAACCTATTACGACTGCAGATGGAGTGCCTGAGCAGAATTCTCGCGCTGTGGAACCAAACCCTTCTACTCCAGCCACCCCAGTCGAAGTAATAGCTTCTGAACCACTCGATACCGTAGTTGAACCAGTTGCAGTGGTCCAGTCACCAACTATAGAAGATACAATGCCGCAGGAAACAACACAATCTGATGCATTGGATTCAACTGGATCCTTGGAAATTATCCAAGCTGATCCAAAGGAACCATCTGCTCATGTAGAAATCGTTTCCCAAAGCGAAGCTAGCGCTTGGGATCCAGAAGAATCAGCAAAAGATACGACGCCGCTTGAACAGGATTCAGTGGGTCAGGCAACTCAAGTCTCAGTGACTGATTCTATCGCAGTGGAATCATCTGTTCCTGTCAAGCGAAGCGAAGATTCCCTGCCATATGTACTACCTGCTGAAGTGAATCAACCCGCCCCTGAGGAAATTCCTCTGAATGATTCTGTCGCAGTGGAACTATCTGACCCTGTGGAGCGAGCCCTAGATTCCTTAGAGAACACGGATTTTGTGGCAGAGGCAGAATCTGCAGGTGCAGATAATGAAATCGGTGTGGACCCTGAAATCAATCAACTGGAAAAAGAAACTTCAGAGTTGAACTTTACTGCGTTAACGGTGGAAGAATCGACGAGCATCGATGGGAAACCATCAGTAGTTTTGGAGCCCTTAGAAACGATTTGCCAAGCGGAATCTACCAATCTGGATCGTGCATTACCAGAAATTCTTGTTGCTCAAGATCAATCAGTTCCTAAATCGTTACCAACCAATGTAACCATACAAACACAACCTTCGGACTTGGAGACCCAACCGTCTACGAAACCTATGCTAGAAACTGAAAATGTGGATGTAGTTGAGGTGAACCCAGTTGCCGTGGATACTTCAGCGGTGGAGAGCTCGCTGGAAACTGAAAAAAGGGTTTTGAAAGCAGAGAGCAGCGATGGAGAACCTTTAGCAGCTGCTGAGTCTGTCGCTTTGGAACCACCTATTCCCGTAGCTGAATATACCAGTGTGGATTCCGCTAACTCTGTTCCTCAACTGGAATCAGTTCCTTTGTCGGTACCAGCCGCGTTGAGGATTCAAAATGAATCAGAGGATTTTGACCCGGAAGCTCTTGAGAACCCTCTTCCAGAACCAGTTTCATGCACTGAGGATTTACTAGAACCTGCACAAGTTCTTCTACAAGAAGATCCTGTTGATATGGAAGACCGATCGGGCATGCTGACTGAACCCTCTTCTGTGGAAATCGTTCCGGAATCTGCAGATAAAAACGCCATAGCTTCTTTGGAAACTAATTCGAAACCAGAAACGGAAGCCCCATCACCTATGGATGCTGAAAGTACTCCAGATGTGCAAGTCGTAGCTTCGGAAGCTCAAGAGCTTGTGCCTGCCGCACCAGTAATGCCATTGGAATTTGTTCCAGAAATAGAAACCTCTGATCTCACAGAGGAAACCAAGAATGAGACGGCAGAAATTGTTTCAGAGCCACGTAGTGCTGAAGTTGCTAGGGGCACACCACCAATCCCAGTGGAATGTATTCAAGAAGAACAACCTCTATCATTAGGAAATAATGATCCGGTGGATAAAGATATTACATCCGCACCTGTTGAAGCTCCTTCCGATACAGCATCTACAGAGAGCAACGCTAATGAAGAAGCGCAATGCGGTGAAGATAATTTAAAGAAGGATGATGTAGTATTAAAATCAGTAACTGCGAATTCGGACTTATCAAGCGATGCCCAGCTAGCCAGTATAGACCAGGAATCACAGGAAATCGCAGCGGATCCTGCAACAGAAGGTATACACCAAAATACATCGGTAGACTCCGCCAATGGCGATTGTTTCGCTCTAGGGAAAGCCACCCACAAGTATCTGCGAAGACAGCCGAACATCCTAGACACACCACCGAGCGATGCAGACTCACCCAGAAGATCCGAGCCAGTCAACCTCTTCGGGACCATTTGCAAGTTTTACATAAAAGACAAGCGACTGCAGGCCACAATCGAACGAAGGCGCCGCCGCTCCTTGATCATGCACAAGTACCTTAGCTCCTTTGACTCCCTGGATGACAGCATAGACGAAGTTGCGTATGATTCCCATTCTAGCCTGTTTGAGGAACTGAATGAAGTCAGCTTAGATTGCACCCCGGACACTCAACCCCCAACAGGCAGGGCGGCAACTCCAATCTCTGAAGTTGACCCTATTCACCTTGTAGACAATTGCTTTGCATTTGAGACGGATAAGACTGAAACTGATGTGGTAGATGATCTTAGCGTACATACTGATAGGTCCGAATTTATATTAAGCATACAAAATATGCATAAGTGTGATTTAGATTCCCAAATTGAGTGTGATAATTTGGATAGTATAGATACATTGGCGTCTCCGTGTATTGTTAGTACAGAAAACAACGATAAGTCGCTAGACTTCCAAAGTGAAACTTGTATCGCGCATGACGCTTGTTCAGATATACACGCTTCAGATAGGCTTGACGATCATTTAAAGCATTTAGAAGACCATGCCACTGTAGGTGATAATGTAATCTTAAGACTAGATATGGCCAGCCAAACTTCCTGTGATATGGCTGATGAACTAGAAGTAGAAGCTGACTCCACCATTGCGTTTAGTTTGAGCGAAATCACATATAACTTTATCAACGAAATTCTTTTCTCAGATCAATTAAGTTCAGAGTCCATTCAAAGCGATGAGAGTGAACCCTCCACTGCCTGCGAGACTTTCAATGCAGATGGTGACTCCGAACAGGAATTTGTTAGCCAAAGGGTCTTAGTCCTAGACGATCAGCGAGCCCTTAATACTAACACAAGCTCTAACAACACAGTGCACACCCACCTGCTTCTTCCTCTAACCCAAACTAACAACCCCACATCGGGAAGTAGACGCACCAATGGAAAACTAACAAATGGTTCCCTTCGATGGTCCGGTAGCTATGCTATCGAGCTCTCAAACGGCGGATCCTCGGGTGCCCAACCAGACGATGTTGCCGATGACGATGTGGTACTCTTGCGGCGCTTCGTGCCAGGTAACACTCGGTTGTGGCCATAACTGTCGTCTCTCGGTGTTTGTCCTCCCTCTTCGTTTGCTTGAATATGTGTTTATGTTAGCCCAGCTCTACTGTACTGTGTGTGGTGATCCTTGGCTTTCGGATCAGCCGACCTATTTACCATTGAAACGTAAGGAACTGAAAGTAATTACTAGCTGTCTATGGAAATCTCTTAATTTCTGCAGTCCCCATTAATCTCTAATCAAATGAAAAACTTAGTGCTATGACATTAGCAATAGGTTCTTGAAAGTCAATATGCCTAATTTTATTTTCAAGGTTTTGTTTGATTTCAAAGACTTTGCCATATAAATTCACACTTCCTTGTAATCATAATAGTGTAACATAAATATTTACCCTTCTTAAATGTTGTAATAAAGAAGTTAATTGCGAATTTCAATAGAAATCAAACAAAACGCGTTTTACTGGAGAACATTTTTTTTCTTTTGTAATTGGGACGATCAAAATTATTTACTAAACTACAACTTTTCAGAGAGAATAGCTTAGCCCTAGATAGTTAATTACTTTCCGTTCACTCTGATTTTCCAAGCTCGTTCAAGTTCGGTTGATCTCACCCTTTAGGAGCAAACCAATAACCTCCAAAACAATGTTGATCCTAACCATTTCCAGGTTCCATTGCGGAGCGCGAGGTGAAGAAGTGGTACAACGCCGTCGAGATGCCCAATAATCCCTACTCCCCGGAGGCCCTGAAGCAACGCATCAGTGGCACCCAGGAGCGCTACATGGATGTGCCCAACATCAGTCCGAGTGCTGAGCAAAAAGCACTTGCATCCGCGCTGACGGAAAATCCGGATCCGCCAGCGGATCCGCCGAAAACGGATTACAAGCGGTGAGTTTGGGAGACAGACAAGACACCTACAAGTATGCCAAGTCTAAGTAACTACTGTGAATCTCTAATCCACAGCTATAGCCGCGACTACTACATTAACAATGCTCCCACGGCCACCGACAGCACGGGGAGTGGAAACGCCGCTACGACCAGCGCACCCGAGGATGTGGAGGACATCGTGATCAACGAGGTAAATCAAGAACCAGAACCACATCCACCGCATGGCCGCATTTCAAATAAAGCTCAGAGCACCGCTGCCGACCTCTCTCATTGGACCCTATCCACGCCAGTGCGCCGCAGTAGTTCACTTAAGTTCATTAACAGTCGCCCCTTCCACTGCCCCTCCCACTCGTTGGGCTACGAGAGATCGGTGCCCCTAGAAAGACCTGCGACCTCGGCGTCCCATTACCGCGAATCGAGTTTGGGGTTGGGTGACGACGACGACTTCGACCTGAGATCCCAGCGCTCTTGGCGCAGCAGCTACAGTTCACTGCCCAAGCGACACACACAGTCCTCGTTGAGCCTGCACAGTAATGGCAGCGGCATGTCCTTCGGCTCGTCCGTGTCCAAGAGACGTCCAGCAGCAGGTGGGCCCTCCGCCGGCGTCCTCACCCAGTTTGAAAAGCAGCTGCTGCACAAGGACCTCAAGCGCAATAGCTTCCGGGCGGTGTCCGCCACCTCGAAGGACTTTGTCATGAATCCGCTCTTCGAGAGCGAGTCGCTGGGCGGGAAGCCGGCCCTGCGGCCGGAGACGGAGGACCAGGGCGACTCGGGGGTGGACAGCTGCCTGAACGGCTTCAGCGGTGCGGACGCCAAGTACAGCAACAGTCTGCTATTCTAGGATCTGGGGACTCTGGGGATCTTTTGGGTCTAACCCCCATGTATATTTGCCAAATTATGCATAGCTTAGTCAGATGTTAAACACTAGTCAGTATAGCAAAGCCAAGTTCTCTGTACATAGAATAGGGTGGGCATCGAAGGGAATACCAATTACAAAAATAACATAATATCGAAAAGCGGGAAAGGAGGCAGGCATCTCTCAGCGAATCTCTCGCATTGGATGGGCATCCGATGACCTTTCCACTGCACCGCCACCTGTTGCACCAACCACGAATGAGAGGGTCGAGCTAGTGTTCTGATCGTACCTTTAGTTAATACCACTTACGTAATGCTAATGCCCTAGAGTATGCAACGTTTGTTTTTAATCATTATACTTGCTGTTAATTTTATGAAATAATATGATAAATCCTGTACCGTATCTGTATGCACACCGCTAACGCTCTTTCTTACGAAACACCATACACATATGCCTAGCAATATCTAGAGATCTATAATGCAGTAATTCCAAATAAAGCCACACAATAAACCAACCAACAAACAAAGCAAATACTGAACCACTGAAACAAATGTTTTTAGTACCAGTATCCCAATAATCACTGCGAATTGGTGAGTACCAAACCGAGAACTAGCCGAATTAGTCATTTAGATCTGACTAACAGCATTTGTTTCGAAGTCAAGTGAATGTAACGACCTGTAAACGATAATCTTGCCTGCATGCTGCTGCCTTAGCGTTCTCACCCAAAAACTCCACCACATCAGCTAAACTCTAGATCCAACCCACGCCTACACTAATATTCAATACTAAAACGCCCACACTTCTTATTTCCATCGAATCCTAAACACGTACACTAACCACAAACCAAACAACACGAACCTACAAAAACCAACTGTCAACTACCAACCGATAATGTTTTACCAAAAGGCTCAAAAGGCAAGCAAACCTGCCACTGAGCAGGATCCGCCGCAGGAATCGGTGTACAAAGCCACGCCCGTCCAAGTCCTGGATGAGTCCCTGGATTCGCAATCGAATCCCTCGCTGTACTCCCTGCAAACCACGACCACAAACACAAGCGATGAATCCGATACGGTTCGCATTTACGACTTTAACAAGCAGGAAACAACGGTCATCAGGGCTGCTCCAGCAGAGCAGCAGCCTAGCGACTCCACCACTTCATCCATGGAGTCCGCCCAGTGTGCTTTACCTTCGGTATCTTCATCTATTGACTCGTCAGTGTCCAATAAGCGGGAGCGTCCTGTGGTTCTTCAGTTCGGTCCTGGCGATTCGGTGCCCACAATAGGATCACCTGCTAGTACACCCACGCGGGGATCCACTCCTCCTGCTTTTAGATTTTTGCAGCCTAAGCGGCGCCTCATCGATCCCAGTCAGGTGCTATCCGTCGACGAAGATGATGTGGTAAGAGTAACTCGGTAGATGGTTTATTTGGTAATGTTTGCTAACGCACTGCCCTATCGTTAGCCGGAAACAACAACTCCCGCGGCTGAGAAGCCCGTCATCGAAGATGAGGTGGCCCATTCCATGCCATCTGTTAAGGCTCTGGCGCAGGCGTTCCTCCTGACCAGCAAGCACACACAACCCCAACGAAGATGGCGGGCCAAGGTAAGAAAATTGAAATGAACCTCACATTAATAGGTAGTTTAATCAAGTAAAATTATCATCTTTGTAGGTTAGAATAGCAGCCCCGCCAGACACACCAGATAAGCCAAACACGTCTCTGGCCAAGCGGCACAAACTGGAGCACGCTGTCTCCATGGCAGAAGTAGCCGATGAGTCTACGATCGCCTCAGACTTGTCATCACTCGAAACGTTAGATCTTTAGAGAACCTTACTCGAGTTATTACTATTCTACATTGCCTTTAATTTCAGGGATCCTTCCATACATTCCGAGGCCAATCCACCTGTGGCCTCTCCGGCGAGTCCTGTGCCCGTTCGCCACGGCTTTCTCCGGAGCAATATTGCTTTCTTTGAGAATTTAAAGTTCAAGTGAATATACGAATGCAGTTTTGTTGGTGTGCGACCATTGGTTGATCTTCCCGGAGGGGAAAATGCACGACAATGGCAAAGCACCCAGCCCATGATCCAAACCAAATCCCCGCCAAATATCATGTGCCATGGCCTCCATTTCCCAGTCGAAACATCACGGAAACAAAGTACTTAACTTCAATTGGCCCTTAGCATGCGCCATTGTTAATTGTAGTTCGTATATACTATTACATAATTCTTTTATCCATGGATACTATTTATTTAGCTCTAAGATATGTATTATGTACTTTTTAGGCGTAAGATAAACTATTCCCAACTTCAGCTGAATAATGTTTCACTTTACCCGTACTAGTTTAAATGTTACATACTTGTAATCAATTAAACATATATAAAAGCAAAAATATCGGGGTTATGATTAATATTCACATCACAATCGGATCCTAGGATTCTTGAATTCGTACTGCCAGAAATGATTCGGAGCATAGACAAGCCTATGCATCTTGGAAGCACCCAAATCGTGGTAATCTAAAAGTTCTGTCCACAAAGACCTTATTATTTTTAACAAGAGTCAATACAAAGATACGCGCATAGGTATAAAAATAAATTCCGTCGCCTGGGGTTGCATTTTAAATACGCCAGGCTCATCTGAGAGAGTGAGAGTGCCAGGGGAGGAGGTGCCGTTTGGAATGATGATCACCCAACTACTGGGCACTATGGTTGTGATGTGGGTGCTCGGCCAGGTAGATGACGTAGACCAACGGTATGACGACACACAAGGCGAGTATGAAGATCAGTAGACATATCCAAGACAAGTCGCAATCTGATCCAGACCAGTCGATGGCACTCAAAGAGGGTCCAGGAATGGGACGCACCAGCGGAGCGTGTCTGTCCACCATGTGGTTAAGTAGAGCTGCACTTTCCTCGTAGGGTTGCTCCATGTTGGCTGCAGACAAAGTTAAGAGATCATGATTTATTACAGAATTAAAAGACATTGCTTAGAATAGTTTTAAAATATATAATAAACCTCAGCTTTCAGTTCGTGGAGGTATAGATTTCGCTTTATTTTATAAATTGCCAGCTGCAGAATGTGTTACAGTTTGCAGAGGATACAAAATAGTGCTAATAAATGTAACTTAGTTGTAGGTCATATAGCGGGGAGTGGCGCTGAACTTGGCGTAGCTCTTGATAACCTTGTTGACGGCTTCGAGGAAGTCCTTCTCTGTGGCCACCTTGCGACGTGCCCGAATTGCGAACATGCCTGCCTCCGTGCACACTGACCGGATCTCAGCACCCGTTGAGTTGGGACACAGACGCGCCAGCAGATCGAAGCGAATATCGCGCTCCACGGACATGGAGCGGGCGTGAATCTTAAAGATGTGCGACCGACCGTCCTGATCAGGCAGACCGAACTCAACCTTTCGGTCCAGACGTCCGGGTCGCATAAGCGCCGGATCCAGGGTGTCAGGTCGGTTGGTAGCCATCAGCACCTTGATATTTCCGCGTGGATCAAAACCATCTAGTTGGTTAATAAGCTCCAACATGGTGCGCTGCACCTCGTTGTCGCCGCCAGCACCATCGTCGAAACGGGCTCCACCGATAGCATCTATTTCGTCGAAAAAGATGAGACAAGCCTTCTTGGATCGCGCCATTTCGAAGAGTTCGCGCACCATGCGGGCGCCCTCACCTACGTACTTTTGCACCAGCTCGGAGCCAATAACGCGGATGAAGCAGGCGTCAGTGCGGTTGGCAACGGCGCGGGCACAGAGGGTCTTTCCCGTTCCAGGTGGGCCAAATAGAAGCACACCCTTGGGCGGTTCAATACCCAGATTGACGAACTTTTCCGGGTGCAGCAGCGGCGTCTCCACCACCTCGCGCAGCTTTTCAATCTGTTCCTTGCAGCCGCCCACATCGCTGTAGGTTACGTCTGGCTTGTCCTCAACCTGCATCATGGTCACCGTAGGATCAATCTTGGGAGGTAGAGGAATGTGGATCTGGTACTTGTTGCGGTCGACGCCTACACGCATTCCCTCTTCTATGTCGGTGGGGGCCACCGAGTCGGCCAGGTCCACCACGAACTTGGCGAACTGCTTTACGTTGATGATATACTTGGGGTCGTCGGAATCCGCGTTGATTATCTTGGTGCAGCGGGCCACCTGGAGGGGTTGCTCGTTTTGCAGGATCTGCTTGTCGGCGGCCAAATCCCAGAGGGCTGGTGGCGCCAGACCCGTGTCGCTTTCCTTGATTCCAGTCAGCTCGTTCACTTGCTTCACAGCCTTCTGAATATCCTCCTCAATGCTCTTGATGGATTTGTGATACTGGCTCTGGCCATAAGTCTTGAGCAGCTCAATGTCGCCTTCATCCAGGGACTTGATCTCCTTGTCCTCCTTCTCATCGTGCTTCACCTTACGCTGGTCGTCGCCCAGATAATCCGGCATCTTGTATGATTGCAATTGTACGGTTTTAAGGCAAAAAATGAATTTAGGCGATGTTTTTCTTTTGTTTTACGACGAGAATGACTGAACAATTTGGCATAGAGATGGGAGAAGCATCAGTGGAGCTATCGACGTATCGATACATATTTTTTCAACACTGACATTTATACTGCAAACTATCGATATTTAGTCACTCTTAACCTGGTCTGTTAAAATACAAACCTTTAACTTTTCAAATAAGAATATTTCTATGTTACAATTGGAAATAAACTTATTAGAGACAGAAGCTTAAATATTTAATACACAAAATTTCTAAATGTAGGTTTATTTTCTTTCTTAGCTTATAGCATGCGAATGTGTTGTTTTTACTTGGAATTGGTAGATAATAGATAAAAAAACATTTTTAAGCACTGATATCTTTTCAGTAATCATGGAAAGCTCCCATCATATTAGTAATATCATTGATACATTTGCGCACCCTTTACACTACTGGAATTTTTATTTAATTTAATTTAGATGTATGTATATAAACACGTACTTGTATAAACTCAGCACTAACCTTTCTTCATCAGCAGTGGTATTTTAAGTAAAATTGAAAACCGCGGCGAACTGCGAAATATTCTTTCCCAACTACAGTTTCTAAACTCACCTTCGTCATTGGGCGCACCCTGGGCTCCCTCATAGAATTGTCCAGCCGCTCTGCTCGTCGATGCTTGGTCGTGCTCCACGGCGCCTGAGGCGTTTACCGCCGCCACCAGGAGTCGCTCATCCAGCATTTGGCGCGCATCTTCGAGGGGATTGCGTTCAGGAGCTGGTTCACGCTCAATGTTGTGCCTAGGACTGTTGTTCCCGCTACGGTGGACGGCGGGCAGAGCTTCAAGGCCCCCGTTGCCCAGCAGGACGTTGTGCACTGTGACCGGAATGCGAATGACCCGATGTGCGTGGATCTCGTTTTCGCGGTCGATCTTATTCAGCCGCTTGATGTCCGCCACAGAGGAGTGGAAGCGCAGGGCCAGCGCCTGGAGTGTGTCTCCCTCTTGGACCTTCACCTCCAGCGTGTTCTCGTAGCGCCCGAGGCGTGCGTGGCCATTGGGCCTCCTGGCCAGGGGGAGCAGGTCTTCGAACTCGTCGTCATCGTAGGCGGGACGGGCGAAGATGTCTTCCACGTCGTCGGGGTCGATTTCTTCCTGATTGTGATGTTGCTGGCGCCTGCAGATGAGGTGAGAACACCGATCACACTCGGATCTCTTGGAAAGACAACAGTCGAGTTGGCGCTGACTTACGCATTGCGTCGCATTGTTGTCCTGCTTGCCTTGGCGGGATTTCCTGGCCCAGATCTCGGCTATGTTCCTTCTCTCGATCAAATCACACCTTTTTGTTTAGCTCAAGCCAATTAATTAACGCAATTAGATTATTTACGTGTAAAGTTTATTCTCAACAGCAGCCCACGAGCAACAACAATGGGAAAGCTCCGTCACAGATGACCGAAGATATCGATAACTCTCTGTTAACAAGCGCTGTTAGTTTTAACAGAGTAAACACAGCTGTTTTCGTTTAATCTAATTTTTATATTTTTTGTGTTCCTAAAATGTCACTATTTGCGTTTTTGAAGAGCCGCACTGCGTTCTGGCTGAGCCTCACCGGTACGACGACGGGACTGGCCTTCTTTGTCAAGTGGGTGCTCTGCTTCTCCCACAGAATTCCCTAGTTTTGATCACACATTCTATACCGCCTTACAGGGACCTTATGCAAGGCGGTCAGTTCACCAAAGAAACAAATGAAACCGGCAAGGTGTTCATTGTCACCGGTGCCAACACGGGGATCGGCAAGGAAACGGTGAGAGAGATTGCAAAGCGGGGAGGCACCGTTTACATGGCATGCAGAAACTTAAAGAAATGTGAGGAGGTACGAACTTCATTGAGATTATTCCTCAAAACACGGCTAAATACTTCTCCCATACAGGCTCGCGAGGAAATTGTATTAGAAACGAAGAACAAATATGTGTACTGCCGGCAATGTGACCTGGCTTCCCAGGAGTCCATCCGCCACTTTGTTGCTGCGTAAGTCTCCCTAAGGAAAAAGTTGTGTTTATTTCGCATTCCATATTCGCAGCTTCAAGAGGGAACAGGAACACCTGCACGTACTGATCAATAACGCCGGTGTTATGCGCTGTCCTAGATCTCTCACCTCAGATGGCATCGAACTTCAGCTGGGGGTGAATCATATGGGTCACTTCCTGCTTACCAATTTGCTGTTGGATCTGCTCAAGGTACCACACAGCTTTTCTAGATCTTAAATCTAATTAATATCAATTTTATTCGTAGAAATCCACACCCAGTCGGATTGTAAATGTATCCAGCTTGGCGCACACTCGAGGAGAAATTAATACTGGCGATCTGAACAGCGACAAATCCTACGATGAAGGAAAGGCTTACAGCCAGAGCAAATTGGCCAATGTACTCTTTACAAGAGAGTTGGCCAAAAGATTAGAGGGCACCAACGTAACGGCGAATGCCCTGCATCCAGGAGTGGTGGACACAGAAATAATCAGGCATATGGCATTCTTTAATAATTTTTTTTCTGGGTAGATAATAATGTGAAGCCATTAAAAAACTTTTTACGAAATATCTATATTTTCAGACTCTTCGTTAAGCCATTGTTTTGGCCTTTTGTTAAGACTCCGAAGAACGGAGCTCAGACCTCGTTGTATGTGGCTCTAGATCCCGAACTAGAAAAAGTGACAGGACAATATTTCAGCGACTGCAAGCTAAAGGAGATGTCGCCGGCTGCCACCGACACCCAAACGGCAAAATGGCTATGGGCAGTCAGTGAAAAGTGGACGAAGCCAGCAATGATTAAAATACAATAGTTCGTATTGTACAAAATGTTTCTGACAAGCCCTCTGTTACTTCGCATAAATTTTCAGTTTCTTACAGTCTACAAATCTTCCATTTATCTTGTCTTAGTTATTTTAACGTGGCCGACTAATAAGAGTTGAAAGCTCAAGACATGTATGCGTTCGAACTTACGTACCCCGAAACCGGTTAGGGGCAATTTCTACATCATTTGTTTAAAATAGATACGTATATCCATTACATTTTAGCCCGAGCCTTCGGTCCAAAAGTTTAGGTTCATTTCAGCAGTATGAAACAATTTCGCTCTCTGGAAAGTAAAACAGTTTTCGGCTTCTTGTCGCTATAAGCTATTGTAAGTGTGTTGGGTGGAGGTTCCGTGATTAAAGAACACTCTCAGAAGCCTTTACTATCAATTTTATCAGTTGTCGTTCGGTAATCGCTGCGGCGATCACTTAAAAACCCGCAAAATTACGCCCGCGGTGGCACTTTGGAATATACCACGAAAAGGGGCGGACCGCTTGCCAGTATGGAAATTGTTATAAGGTTTCTGCAAGGCATAGCACCTGTTTTCTTGGCCCATGGGATTGTCGGCATTATCGCCTTCTGTGTGAGGTAAGTGAGGGGCCAATTTAAAATGCAACGCTGAGAAGCGTTATCGACGACGTATGAAAGTGACGACAAAATAGTTATCACAGATTAACTTGTAGTATTTTAACCCGAATTAGGCTGTATATGCAGGGCGGAAAGTTCAGGAAGCAGACCGATGAGACGGGAAAAGTGGCCATCGTTACTGGCGGAAACACGGGCCTGGGCAAGGAGACAGTGCTGGAGTTGGCCAGGAGAGGAGCCACCGTCTACATGGCCTGCCGCAATAAAGAAAAGGGGGAAAGAGCTCGAAGGGAAATCGTCAAGGTGACTGGAAACTCGAACGTCTTCTCACGGGAGTGTGACTTGTCGTCTCTGGATTCCATTCGTAAGTTTGCAGAAAAGTGAGTCATTCCATTACCTATTGCCTTTCCTTTGAACTAATAATTTATTCACAAACAGCTTCAAGAAAGAGCAGCGAGAGCTGCACATTCTTATCAACAATGCTGGAGTATTCTGGGAACCGCATAGATTGACGAAAGATGGCTTTGAAATGCACCTGGGGGTAAACCACATCGGTCACTTCCTACTAACCAACCTATTGCTCGATGTGATGGAGAGGTCAGCTCCTAGTCGGGTGGTGGTGGTCGCCAGCAGGGCCCACGCACGGGGTCGGATTAATGTGGATGACATAAACAGCTCCTATTTTTACGACGAGGGAGTAGCCTACTGCCAAAGTAAGCTGGCCAACATACTATTCACGCGTGAATTGGCCAAGCGGCTGGAAGGAACGCGTGTGACGGTCAACGCCCTTAATCCTGGAATAGCAGACACGGAGATAGCCAGGAACATGATATTTTTCCAAACGAAGTTTGCTCAGTATGTGGTAGAGTGTGTCCTCTTTCAATACACTTGTTATACAATTGTTAATTTGTTGCCCTTTTTTAGAACAGTTTTGAGGCCGATCCTTTGGTCCTTGATGAAGACACCTAAGAACGGGGCCCAGACCACATTGTATGCGGCCTTGGATCCTGACCTCGAAAAAGTATCGGGTCAATACTTCAGCGACTGCACTCTGGCTCCTGTAGCGCCCGCTGCCCTCGACGACCAGATGGCCCAGTGGTTGTGGGCGCAGTCCGAGAAGTGGGCGGCAATTGCGCTGTAGGTCACTAGGATATTGTGATTTGGCTAGCCACTTTAATGTCACAACAGCCATGGTTATTGCACAATGCACTCTTAGAATAATAGGGTATACTAGATTCAAAGGCTTGTAACAAGTAATAATAACTATTATAGGATTTGCGAGTCGAGGTACACGGTATCCTGATTGATGTATCCCGAATGATGTAGGTAATATGTATGTTAGGTAGGCACAAGTGTCATATTCAAATCAATAGATGCAAAGGGAGAATCTTGCGTTGTTGAGTCGCAGAGCTCAAAAACATCTGTACAAAGAAATACAACCATTTCTAGCGCATTAATATATATTATTAACCATTTAGATCTTTATGGTTTCGAGTATACATCCTTCGTATGAGTATTATTGGGTTCTGATTTGAAAAGACACAACAACTGTTGTGTTCTACCAGCTCCACAGTTATTAATAGTAATAAAATTTTCGTCCAAAAATGTATGGTTCGGATGGGTAGCTATTTGTGGGTCTCGCATTCGCTAACATTTCCGCCAGTTGATATGGTATACTGCACAAGCGATAATGCTGTAAGAATCACCGTAACTATGTAGTCCATGACGAACTCCCTGTCGCAAGTGATGCCCAGAATGATCATATTTTGGAGCGGCTTCAGCTTCTGGTGAATTATCAAGGAGGTGTGCTGCGGAAAGGCAATCGGGCAATGAATTGAGGAAATCGGGCAGTTGGAAGCAGATCTCACCTCGTTGTCGAGAACCATTGCGATTAGCAGGAGTGGCTTAACCTTCCTCATAAACAAGCTATGAACTATTACGAACAGTTGCTGTAGCTGTATCTCGGCATCGCGAAATCGATCGGTGCACATGCCCAGGATCAGCACATACAGTATCGGAATGCAGACGGGTCCCAAGCAACCATCCGCAATGATGTAGAGCTTGTTCTCCAGCTCGTCTCCGGCGAACAGACTGCATTCAATGAGCAGTTCGGCGTTAAAGACGCAGGTAAAGATCATCATGTAAACAGAGGTCGTCAGCCAGGAGACGTTGTCCCGCACGTATTTGTGCAGATTGTTGATGCGCAGATGTAGCTCGAAGAGCAGGATCAAGCGCCGATTGTAGCGACCCTCAATGTCCGCCCGATTCTCATGGTCCTCGATAAGGCGCTGCAGGAACAAAATAATGGTGTGGTACCAGCTGAGCAGGATAAGTTGGTAAACGAAGTAGGCAGCAAAGCAGTACTCCATCAGCACCCAGTAGAGAAAGATGGACGAGAGGAAGTGGGGCTTGTGCCATAAGGAATCCAGGAAAGCGGCGAGTATCCACAGCTTAACCAAGTATACCACTAGCAATATGAAGTCGCACTTATATTCCATACCGAACTTCTGCTCGAGCGCCCTGGTGATTTGCAGGATCTCGTTCACTATATGCTTCACGAACCTGCGATCCCGTTTCAGGTGCAGAAAGATTAGAAGGCGCCGAAGGACGCCTGCCACGATGCTGAGCACGATAACACTCATCAGGAAGTTCTGGGCCTTGCTATTCTGCACCAGTGTACTATGGATATATATGAACAGTCCGAGTACGAAGTACTGCAGATAGGGATTGACCAGCAATACCACCTTGAGGGCAACCACGATCTTGGACCATGTTCGATGGTACTGGGTCTCCTCCACTTGATTGGTTCGCTCATTGTAGTGCAGCTTGAAGAAGTGGAGTCCGCAGGCGATTGCGTAAATGGTCCAGGCACTGCCCTTAAAAAACCAACGATGGAGAACTTGGCTTGGCTTCCTATGAAGCCGGCGGAAATCGGTCACGCACAACATGACTCCGGTTGAATGGCTCATTGGCTCATTGCACATGGCCAGTGGGTTACGGCCAGTATGCTAACCGAATCGAATTAAGGTGTTAGTATTATTCCCATTAACGAAAATGGCCCAATTAAAGTAAAAGGCGCAAACAAAACAAATGGAGAGATACAAGCCGAAAATAATGAACAAATTACGTGACATTAATTAAGTATTGCTTAATCCAAAAATACACCACACCCATAATATATGTACATATATCCATATTATATATTCATATTTACAGAAAAGCTGTCGAGAGATGAACCTTTCAATTAAATTATGCAAGGGTATTAAATTGAAGACTAACTACTTCCCCTCGTATTCGCATTAGTTGGTCGTAAAATGTAATTTTCATAAATCGATATAAGTATAAGTTAGGCTTATTCATTGAAGCTTTTCAAGGGAATCTGAAATTTATTCTAGTTAGCATTTGTACTAGCCATTTCTACAACACCCTATGGTCGATGGTTACTACAATTTTATATACTCTACAGATCAAACTTTGGCCATACGATAAAAACTTACTGAAGCGTCCATTTCTCTCGGCGAGTCGCCAGTCGTAAACCCTCCAACCTTAAACTGAAACAATTTTTATACCGGTCCACGTTAATGTTTCAAGTATGGACATTCCAAGATGTTGATATTGCTCGTATAAAAAAATGGGTAAGGGGGCCTGATCTTGCCAGTCGCCACTTGAAGCTGGTTGAATCCAGATCCAGCGGAGAGATGAGTGCACCTACGGATTACCTGTTTAGCACGCTGGCATATGGGTCAGCGTCAGCTCTTTCGGTCATTGGAATATATTTTATCCGGTGAGTTTTCCCGACTTTCGGTGATGGCCATATAACCCCAGCCCGTCAGACAATACATGCAGGGGGGTCAGTTCACCACGAAGACGGATGAGACCGGCAGAGTGGCGATTGTGACCGGCTGTAACCAGGGGATTGGGAAGGAGACCGTACTGGAGCTGGCTCGCAGGGGAGCTACTGTATACATGGCATGTCGGGACTTGAAAAAGTGCGAGGATGCTCGTCGAGAAATCATCGAAGCGACCAACAATGAAAACATCCATGCACGCGAATTGGACCTGGGCTCCATGAAGTCTATTCGGAACTTTGCAGCTGGGTAAACATTTCCCTTTTCAGCTCTATGAATATCTTAAAGGTACTCAATGTAATACGTTTAGCTTTAAGAAAGAGCAAAACAAGCTCCATATTCTTATCAACAACGCCGGCATTATGGACTGCCCCAAAATGCTGACGGAGGACGGCTTTGAAATGCAAATCGGAGTTAATCACATGGGCCACTTCCTGCTCACGCTTCTTCTCCTCGACCTCCTGAAGAGTTCTGCTCCCAGTCGCGTTGTGGTCCTATCCAGCATAGCCCACCGGTTCGGAAGAATCAAGCGTGATGATCTGAATAGCGAAAAGTCATACGACAGAAAGATGGCCTACTGTCAGAGCAAACTGGCCAACATCCTCTTCACAAGGGAGTTGGCCAAACGCCTGCGGGGAACTGGGGTCACGGTTAATGCCCTACATCCCGGAGTAGTGAACACGGAGCTGTTCCGCAACACACCGTTTTTGGGATCGAGGTTTGGAAAGTAAGTTTGCTAATTGATTCACCCATCAGCTATTAACTTTTGGATCACTTTCAGGTTACTCCTAGCCCCTTTTATATGGATTTTTATAAAGACGGTTAGGAATGGCGCACAGACGACCCTGTATGCTGCTCTGGATCCCAGTTTGGAAAACGTGTCCGGAAGATACTTCAGCGACTGCAAGCCGAAGCACGTGGGCTCGGCCCCCCAATATGATGAAGATGCTGAGTTTCTATGGGCAGAGAGTGAAAAGTGGACAGGAGTAAATATTTGAACTCTTAACCTGCATCGCATAATGTACATTTATGGAGTAATCTAAATGAGTTCAGCTTTTGTACAAACATTAAACATTTTGAAAACATTTGGCTCGGAGTCTTTTGAAACCATTTTTCTGATAAGTCTTAAATAGACTATGTACAACTTTAAAGACCTCTCACTGCCTAGGCGTCACTAGAATTAGCATTGTTTGACATATGTAATGTAATACACGTATGTAATTTATGGAGCAGGTGAAAAATTAAACGGAAATACATTTGGTTTATTCATAAAGTTTTCTTATTCGGTATACACCTCCTATTTTCACTGCGTCCTCAGACTCCGTTTAGCTGAATAACGGGTATCTGATAGCCGACTAGTGCAGTTTCTCTTGCTTATATAAGCATAAGGGTTAATATTATGTATTTAAAAGTTAACTTCAAATAATATTTTGCAGCTATTTACTTCACTTTTCTCGCATTGGCTGAACTTGCAATAATAACTGAAGAGATTTATGAACTAGAACCATTGTTCATCAGTCCGCGTGGTGGATGAGATGGATATTTCACGATCGGAATTATACGTGGACGCGGATTAAGGCAATAAGTAAGATGCTGTATAAATGTTTTTTTTTTTTTTTTTTAAATACATTTTGAATTAGATTATGCTACGTTAGTTACATCATTAGACGAACATAAATATTTATTTACAAGGTAGCTTAGTGTGTAATAATGCGATTTTAATGTTATACAATTACAATTACAATTGTAATACCCCGATTTTGTAGATTTATTTTTTTTTATTTATTTTTACATTTCGGATTATATTAAATTATGTGTCACAATTATGTTTATTTAAGAGAAGAGCACTAATTTCGTATTTCGATATTCAATTTCAATTAAATTTAAACGTTTTCTCTTTATGGTTAAAAAAAAAACTTTTTTCGTTAGGTTCTCACTGTTAGTTCTTTCGTTAGGCTACTATATCTGTAGTAGTATCAGAATTATTTTAACAGTAACAGCTGTGCTGTTCGTATCATAACGCACTTAACGATTGAACAAAAATCTGACAACATTCTAAACGCAAAAAATGGTACAAAGTTTTTCAAAATGTGCATTTTGATCGATTGTTTACTGAGCCCCTTAATTGTGTGGCCAGCTATTATCGGCGTGGGCGTCTACTTCTTGAAGTGAGTTGCTCAAATTTGTTCATGTAATTGTGAAATATACCACTGTGACGAGTCCATGACTCGCAACTATGATTGCCGGTAAGAGATAACAGCTTTTCAGGTAATTCCTCTTGATAATTTCAGGGAGTACATGCAAGGTGGAAAGTTTACGAAGGACACTGATGAGACCGGAAAGGTATTCATTGTCACCGGTGCCAACACTGGGATTGGCAAGGAGACGGCTCTGGAGATCGCCAGGCGTGGGGGAACTGTGTACATGGCCTGCAGGGATATGAACCGATGTGAAAAAGCCCGCAAGGACATCATTAAGGAGACGAATAATCAAAATATATTCTCTCGAGAGCTGGACTTGAGTTCTCTGGACTCCATTCGCAAATTTGTAGATGGGTGAGCTCAGCGACAGTGAACTTTCCTAATCTTTGTAAGATTTAAAACCTTCTCCTATCCATAAGCTTCAAGAAGGAGCAACCCAAGCTTCATGTCCTAATCAACAATGCCGGCGTCATGCGCTGTCCCAAGACCTTGACCAAGGATGGCTACGAACTGCAGTTGGGAGTAAATCACATTGGCCACTTTTTGCTGACCAACTTGTTGCTCGACGTGCTGAAGGTAAGTGCGCGATATATAACAGTCAAGTGCGTCAGATAATGGTCTTAAAAATTTCAGAACTCCACTCCCAGTCGCATTGTCGTAGTTTCCAGTCTGGCACATACGCGTGGCTCTATTAACGTGGCCGACCTGAACAGTGAGAAGTCGTATGATGAGGGCCTAGCCTACAGCCAGAGCAAGCTGGCCAACGTCCTGTTCACCCGGGAATTAGCCAAGCGTTTGGAGGGTAGCGGCGTCACTGTAAATGCCCTTCACCCTGGTGTGGTTGACACTGAGCTGGCGCGGAACTGGGCCTTTTTTCAGACAAACTTTGTGAAGTAAGTGATGGATAAGTGATTAAGGATTTTCCTAGTAATACCTGATCTAACCTTTAGGTACTTTTTTAAGCCTATGATTTGGCCGCTTTTAAAGACACCGAAAAGTGGAGCACAGACCTCGATCTATGCTGCTCTCGACCCGGAATTGAAGGACATCTCCGGCTTGTACTTCAGCGACTGCAAGCCAAAGAATGTGGCTCCTGGTGCATTGGACGATAAGGTTGGCAACTTCCTGTGGGCCGAGAGTGAGAAATTTACCGGCTTAAATAAGCCGGAAGCTAAATAAGTAAAGAAGACCGAGTAGTGTTAGAACAAGCGGTTTAATATACTTTAATACTAGCTGCTGTTTCACGAATGGATTAATAAATAAGTACATAAATTTCTAGCTTTCATAAAGCATGATTCTCGTAAGTCGATTAGTATGCCTGTTGGCTAAATAGTTTCCAATTCAGTTGGCTTCCTGCTCAGTTGCCCCAGCCGTGATAAACACTCTGGAGTGGAGCGCGTGGGTTGTGGGCTCCCTCTTCTCTGGCGTATTGTTTACGGTGTTGACGTATGTGTACTGCATATAGAAGCCCAGAACGACTTGCGTTGATCCGGGCAGCTCCTCTGCCGGGGTAAACTGTAGCCGCAAAAGCACCTTGTTGCCCTTTCGCCAGACAATAAACTTGGGCTCCTCGGTGGGCAGCTGCACGTCCTCGTCAAACTCTTTGGAGTCATCGCGCTGGCTCAGAACGAAATCGGTCTCCAACGGGACAATCTCGGCATTAGATACGTCAATCACATCTCTCTTTACCTCCCGTGTTGAGTTTTGACGCGACAAGGTGATGCCCACAGCTTTTAGAAGTGGGGAGGAAGAAATGGGTTCCTCCTTTACAACACGAGTGGCTTCCGTGGACAGCTGCGGATCCTCAGGAGGAGGTGTAGTCAACAGTCGAATTGTCATATCGTACATAGTTGGATTTGTGAGCTTCAGCAAAATGGCGTTGCTTTTTCCCGCCACCAGTGGCTGCTCGCAGCGCACCATCACCACTTCAGGTACATGGTAGCTGGCAAAGAGCTGGATGCGGTACTTTATGGACGTGGGATGGTACTCCGGCTTGATTAAGTTGTGCTCGCACTGGCGGCAGCGGAGCGACCGCTTGATCCACAACGACCTGCGCTGCGGATAAAGACTTACAACGGCCGTGGGCTGGTCCGCCGGCTGACTATGTCGCTGGGTGATGGTTGTGACATTCCGCAAATTCAATGGTTCCGTGAAAATGTTCGCTGGTAGGCCCTCCACCTCCGCCGTGGCCTCTGCCGGAGCTATCACGGCTTTGGCCTTGGGAGCCTTGTCGTTCCAGCCGATCTGGCGGCGAATAAGTGATACGGTTAGACCAGTGCGATCCGTCAGGCTGGGAAACTTGTGCTGCTTCGGCGCCTTACGCCGGATGAACTCCAGTTTCTCCTGCTTTTCCTGCAGCACCACCGCCTGGAAGTACTCGACCAGAGCATTGAATCGCGCCTGATACAAGCACTCGTTATCCGGCCAGGTGCCCGTGGCCACGCCTTGATCGGGAATACCCACATCTCGTGTTGTCCATCGGCAAGACAAGCACGACAGATAGTACATCTTCTTGGTGGTGGGCACCGCAGAAGGCTTGCTGCTCGCCGGAACTGGGGGCGTGGCGTCGCCCTTGGAGTCGCCATCCTTTGCTTCCTTCGCCTCCTCCGACTTGCGCACCACCGGAACGGTGGAGGCTCTGGCGGAAAGAGTGTGCTGGCAGCAGGGACAGTCGAAGCAGTTCGCACAGCAGTTCTTCTTGTGGCGCGCCTCTGTGGATGGAATGTTTTCCAGGCAGTTGGAGCAGAAGTGAGACTCGATCTCGTGCGTCACGCAGAAGCCACAACGCAATTTGGGGCAGTGGCGGCAAAAGAAGAGCTTATTGATCGGGTTCAGAATGCCGCAGGAGCACGCGTACTTAACAGGACTCGGTTGCATGAAGCTCATCTTGGCGACGCTGGTTTTCTCCTGATTTCTTTGGAAATTTGCAAATTGCTCCTCTTCTTTCAGAAATGACGACAGCTGTTATATCGATAGGTCTATGACTATGCCATCATTCATCGATAAATGTAACTAAGCTGGGCCGCACTGGTGGATTGGCGGTCAATTTTTGACGTTCGCAATTTACGGCGTCTCGCCGTTTGGCAACACAAATAATAATAATAAAGAAAAAAAATTTTTAACTTGTTGTCTTTAGAGGGCGCGGAATCTGCATGTCTAACCTCAAATTTCTAGATTTTATAGTTCCTGAGATCACGAGGTTCATACGGATGGACAGACGGACAGAGCCAGACCGACTCGACTAGTGATCATGGTCAAGAATATACATATATAGGGTATATACATTTGTAGGGTCGGAATACTACGAGTAACGGGTATAAAATATATTCACAAACAAAACTGGTTAAGCACTTCATAATCATAAACAACGAAGACACATATTTTTTCTCTTTTTCTGGGAATTTTTCATGCAGGTAGCTTCAAAACGGAGAGAATCGTTTGCGTAGAAACGGAAAGAAAGATTACTAATCAAAAATAAATTAATTTATTTGAATTTATTTGTGTCTTTACTGCGTTTCAAAATCCTGACTGAAATCTATATATCTTCTTCTTCTTATTATTCGTTGTTTTTGATTATTAAGTGTAATGCAATGTTAATAGCTGCCAAGGAACATTCGGAAAATGATTAATATAGTAAATAAAGATAATCATAGTTTCGTTGTATTTCACCATAAGTTGTTGTCATTCAGTTTTTTTTTCTTTAAATATATAACTATTGCAAGTTACGTTTTGTTTTGGTTAGATATGTGTAGATAAGTGCCAAACAAAATATTTTTTTTAATACCTCCGAGTATAAGCCACAAGTTGTTGTTCAAAACACATTTAAACTTATTGGGATTTCCAAGGAGAGCCAATATGTTTTCCGTTCACATGTTTTTTTTTTTACTATCACATCATCGGAAAAAGTTTATTGGACGTCATAGCAACAATCATTAAATCACATAAATGGCCAATTAGCACCAAATCGTCAAACTAAATATCTACACATTTTACGGTTCATAAAATTCTTTACGGGGCTCTTAATTTAAAAGTGGGGGCGTTATCAGCGAAAGCGTTTACCAGATGCTAAAATTTTAAATATTTTATGTATTTTTACGAATGGTACGCAATATAATTGTTAGCGGACTAATAAAACTTTATATTTTGAAGTAAATTTAAGTCCCGACTTCCGTGTCGTCATGTTTTCTAAAAATAAAATTAGTTTTCATTTCACGACTCCCATAAGTTTTTAAAGCAAGTCAGTTAGCAACCGCAAAAGAAGATTATCGAAAGATTTATTTTGGATATTTTTATTTGTGAGCATTACTTATATAAATATAATTTGGTCATATATGTGACCGCGTATAAAATAGGTAAACGTACATGTAGGTATTAGGTACTTTTTGGTGTGGGAGCCACGCGAATAATGCTAATTCTAGAGCCTATGCTATCATCCTCAGTCTGTAGTCTCAGTCCCGGCAGGAGGAGAGCGGGGAAAAGCTCCTCTAGCCAAAGAAGTTGGGCACGAAGAGCTTCTTGTGATGGGTCTTGGTCTGCCGGACGCGCACGATGGGAGTGAACTTGACATTGTGGGGCAAGGAGTCACTGTCGGAGGCTGAGACGCCCTCGCGGCGGGTGTAGTCGGCACTGGAGGACACCGGGGCGATGTATCCATCGTCCACGTAGTAGTAGCCCGGACTCAGCTTCTTGAGGCGGTTGTCCGTGAGCGGTTTCCCATAGGCCAGGGCGTACGAGGAGCCGCCGTAGCCGTCGTAGCGATCGGTGTCGTAGGTCTCATAGCTATCCGGGTCGTAGTAGGTGGGCTTGGCTTCGCACACTTTGCAGACGATGATGCTGACCAGCAGGCAGATCCACGAGTACAATTGCTGAGGAGGAGGAGGGGGAGGAGTGAGGTGAGCTGGATTCCCTTTGGGACCGTGCTATAATGATGCTTACCTTAAGATCCATTGTGCTGCGATTGGTTCGGTTTGAACTGGTTATGATATGGTTAATCCTGGTTGGGCTGTTGGGGAATATCCTTTGATTTCTTTCTGGCTGCTCCGATTGCTCTGATCGTCTGGCAAGTTCTGTATGCTTTGGTGTGAAGAACTCTTCCCTTATATACGCACCGGCCACCACATTCGCACCCAAATGTGAAAATTTGCTTTCGGCCGAGACGACGCTCCGGCTGTGACGCAAGTCCGGAGGAAACGCAGCGACACTTTCGGCGTATGCGAATGTAGCCAAACTCTCTTCGGTTGACGGCCGGGATTTTTTTTAAGCATGCGCGGCGGCTGTGACTTGAACCCGGTCTCATCTCCATGGGATTGGGCGAAGACAAAGGCTCTAATTGCTGGGTGCACTGTTTCGCTTAGCGGGAATCCAGTTTGGTTCGGAAAAGTTTTTACAATGCGGAAAGATACGGTCCCCCGGAATTCTGCCATTGTCTGCGACTATTTTGTTTGGAATCGGATCAGCTAAAGTGAATAATCTAGACTTCGATGCTTGGCGCTCTGACGTCGGCGTGCGATCGGAGGAAAGTAATTAGGGGCTTTCTGGTTGGCACTCTGGTTGCGGCTGCAAGGGTTCGCGGCCCACTGAGCGTATGAGTAATATGTGTACCAGGCGCTGTGGTCGTCGGGTGGTAATTTTTGTGTGGTCACACGCTAAGTTTGAGTCCAGACCTCGAATGTCGTTGTAACGAAACTCGGCGATTTTATTATTTTATCATAAATCAGCATAGACACGCAAATAGGACGGCATCTAAAAATACGGATCAGCCTTTATAAATATCCAACCGCAGTGGCTCATGCGGCGCCTAATCAATTTGTCGTGAAAATGTGGCCGGCTGACTCAGGAAGTGTTAAACACCGCGATTTTCTAAGAGCAATACAAAGCAATTAACAAACAAAACTCGACCCTACTGCGGAATACGCTTTGGGTTTGAATCAGACTTCAAAAAGGGGCATGACTTCGGTTTTCGGGGCCTGCATTCCAAGAAATGATGAATCAGAGCCAGCTAAACACATGTAACCGATAGTTGGACAGACGGAATTGGGGAATGGACTTAAGTTGCGACCCAGACTAATTCGCGCTTCATTATCGCCGGCTGTTTCGAAAAGATTCGGCTGTAAATATAAACCCGCTAATTTAATAAATTTATACAATTATATAAATATAAATTGCTGGCTGCGCGGGGCTATAACAAAATTCTGTTGTTTTCCACAACTTCGCGGTCTTTAATGCCACCCAACTGGAGGTAAATATTTTTGCACACCCAAGTCGTCGTCAACAACAACAGAAAGGTGCGACATTTGCACGCGATAAAGGAAACATAAACATCCAGTTGAATTTAGATCTCATTTCGTACACGCACGATTGGCTGCATCGGAGCCAAGCGCAGCGACTTCTGTCTCTTGATTAAGAGCTCCGCAGCAGGCCCGGCTATATTTGTCACACCCTTACTGGACCTCAAACCTGAAAGACGGTGCAAAATTTCATACGCCTCGGCTAATTTCCGCAAGACGTGGGACAAACTTCTGCTCTTCAAGTCGTCTCCAAGTCGTCTCTGCTGCTTAGAAAATTTCCTCGGACTTGATTTCTTTGTTAACCGAATGTGCGAACGTAAATAGCTAAATTTGCACCCTGCAATATTTAATTATTTACAGTGGCACATTGTCCGCTTAATAAATTTACTTTTACCGATTTTGCCCTGGTGCGAGTTACTATTAACAAAGGGCTATGGAAATTTTATGTCTGCCACCTAGGGGAATCAGTGGATCTTCCGTTTTGATGTTGATGTTTTTCGCGAAGTGTGAGACCAGCCAAGTCGGGTGTTTTCTATAACAATATAAATCCAGAATGATACATTTATTGCTATTAAATCGGTTCAACGGGCTCTGCAAAAAACATGCCAAAGTGGAGCACGTTCCTGTGGGTGCGTTTTATGATGAAGGTGCTCGGTTTATTGGAAACCGATCAACCAAATCAAAAACAAACACTGCCGGCCGTGCAAAATTCTTGATATCCTAACCGAAAAGTCAAACACTGGAGAAACAAGGGAACCGCACTGGCAAGGTGTGCAAATATTTGGATGGGAAACGATGGTATTTACCGAGAAAGGCAAACAGTAGGGATCATATTTGTTATGCTTGGTTGGCTTTGCCCGCACGATCGATCTGTTATCTCTCCAGGCTGCTCCATCGCGATCTGGAGCACATTGCGCAGGCCGGAAGAATAGATTGCGCTTGTAACTGGCCCTGGGCAACCCCTTACTAATAAACAATAAGGGAGAAGGCGACTTCCTTGTTGACAATAATAGTTTGAACAGATACTCGAATGCGCGAGCGTAAGCCCCCTATTAGCAGCTAATGTGTGAATGGCAGCCCACTCCCTCGTCAAGGGCTGCTCTTGGAGCACTCGGAAAAGTGGGCAGCACTTTCATCTCGCCTAAATGCCAGGACACGCAACTCCGGCGAGTGCGTCACTGTCGTTTTAACACTTAATTAAGATGCGGCAGGCGTGTCGCCCAGCTGCAATTAAATGGTCATTAGCGGCACGTCTAATGAACCATCGACTGCGCCACGCTTGCTGTTTGGGAACGTTTTTGAAACGTGTTTTGGGCAAACATGTGTCCACATCACAAGACCATCGTATAATTTCATTTCCATTCACTAAGTAACTTTTGATAGCTTATACTGTCTAAGATTAGGACGCTATTTTTTCAGAAGCAAATGGCCCTTCGGCTTCAGTTTGCTTTGGATGAGGCGCTGTTTCTCGGACTCGGCATTCTCCTTAAGGCGTTCATGTCGCTGCTTGGCAAACTCCAGCTCCCCACTTAGTTCCACGATCCTGGTGGCTATGTCCTGCTGCTTAAGCAGGCGTTTCTTCTGGTTCGCCTAGAATATGGGGAACAATTAATGATTAGGTTAATGCTTGAGGCGTTTTAGTGGAACACATACACCCAGCGGTGTGGGCCTGCCATCTAAGTACGTGTAGTCGGGCAGATTCGTGAGTGGGCCAAAGGCATTTGGGTTTTCCGGCAATCCCTTGGCTGCACGCCACTTCTGATCTATGGCACGGGTGGCCGTAAGAGCAATGCCTCGCTGCGCTGTGTAAGTACAGACAGTTAATGAACTATAAAAGGCTTGTAATAAAGCGTACTGCTTACCTGTAATTGTGGCGGATGTGGCCCAGCAGATCTTTGTTATTTTCAGCATTATTTATCGAAAACTAAACAGTAGTTATGAAAAAACCTAATTCACATAACCAAACAGCTGATTGCAGGGTTGTCACCATTAAGTAAATAAGCCTAACACTTATGGCCTCAGTATTTTGTTATCGGAAACACAGGCGCTTGGGATTTTCATACGCCAAAACGCGTTAGTCATTTGATAGTGAAAAAATTAATTAACAAAATAATTTAAAGTGATTTGGGTCAGATCTGAATTAAGTTATGGCCACGAAAACAAGTACCATTGAGCGCAACGGCCACTCGGCCAAAACCTCCACATTGCGGGAAGTTTGCGCGCGCGCCATCACAAAATCGGAGTGGGAGGACAAGGTGAGCAAAGTTCCCGGCGCGGAATCTCGCATGCTAATCCAATTCTCCGCAACTTCCACAGGAGGAGTTCCTTGACGTCATATACTGGTCGCGCCAGGTGTTTGGCATCTTTCTGGGCGTCATCTGGGGCATTGTTCCGCTAAAGGGCTTTCTGGGCCTCGTACTGTGAGTAGCCACCGATAACCTATAAATAGTCGGAGTCACTCCACTTGATCCATCCAATGTGCACCCAGATTCGCCGGCATCAGTTGCGGGATTGTCTATCTGTACGCCATCAACTTTCAAAACGTTGACGAGGACGCCTACGGAGGAGTTTGGGAGCTGATTAAGGAAGGGTTCATGACGTCGTTCGCCGGATTTCTGGTCACGTGGATCATCTTCTACACCGGCTTGCACTACGACGACATAATGGCGGCGAAAGGATCTTAATAACAGTCCCCAGCAATACTAGAATCCAGGAGCCAGGTCCACGCCACGCCACTTTCTCCACATAACACAGTAGCTCCACTCGTTTTTGTCCCCTTTGTACTCGCTGTAGATTGTTAAACTTGTAGCCAATTACGTTCATGTAAATGCATTTCTGCTGTGGCCGATTGTCCCAAATCTTTCCGTGAAAGATCTTTCGGCCTGCGGTCTTAGTTGAGAACAGAAGTTTCTATATGTATTTGAGTGTCCGAAATGCAGAATGCGATGAATCAACTTTTGGCGTTTTATTACAAAATATTGGTCTACGGTTATAAGGTAGCTGACAGATGAGCGGATGATTCTTATCCTAGTAATCCATGGCCACGGCCCCCGAGCCGTTATGCCCCGCCCCGTTCTGCGCCACCGCCTCCTTCTCGTGCTGAAACTTATCCGGCAGCTGCCCGCTTTGCAGGATCTGCGATAGGCGCTCTACCTCTGCCAGCGAGCTGGCCCGCTTTATGGCCTCGCGGATGCGCTGCATGTCCTCCGGATTGGCCAGTCGCCCGCCTTCCGATCCTCTTCCCTTGCCATTCCCCGCCTCTGCAGCTGTGGCGGCTGCGGCGCTCATCTTGGACTTACGACCGATTTCTTTCAGCATGTCCTTGCCCTGCTTGGTGCGGAAGAATTCCTGCGCCGCCTGGCGATCCTTCTGCTTGATCTTCCTGAAATCGAGCAGCCTCAGCTGCGGGAACTTGTAGGCCATGTACTCGCGGTAGTTGGGCTTCGTGGATACCGGATTGATAAGCAGGCAGATGGTGTCCAGTTTAGTGAATCCGGCCAGGGGCTCCAAGTCGCTCAGTTCCTGCAGGTTGTTGCCGGTGAGGATGATGGAGCCAAGGTTGGGCACCGACTCCTCCAGTCCCTCGCTGATGCGCAGGATCCGGTTGTTGTTCAGCAGCAGGCACTTGAGGCGCGGCAGATGCGGCAGGTTGTCCAGCTTGCGCAGATCGTTGTCGGACAGGTCGATGGTGTCGAACTGGTCCAGAGTGGCGCCCAAGTTCTCGATCTGTGGAATCTTGTAGCCGCGCAAATCCAGCTCGCGCTCCCGACATGGGTTTATGTATTGCATCGACTGGTTTATCAGCTCCGGCGTTAGTTTCACCATCTTGGCAATTGCAGTGTTCTAACAATTGGTCTGGTACCGGTTTTTTTATAATCCTAAGGTTTATTTTCCAAAATGCAGAAAAACAATTCGCTGCCGACGCGAGTTGGAGATGAACACTTTTCCGATAGCATGCAAGCCGGCTTCGATATCGATAACTGTAATGGAAACAGTGTTTCGGTATTTCTTGCGACTACCGGATGCCTGTCGACCAGTACTGGAAAATATACTGGAAAAACTACAATATTGCCATTAGGGCGCCCAACGTTTTAATATTTCAAAATAAATAACACGGTTGTCCAATATCGTTTTCGTTTAATTTGAATTTCAATAGATTACAATGAAGTTTTAATTGCTTAACATTAATGAACACGTTAAGTTTTTCTTATTTCGTTTCAAGGACTTGAATTTGAATGAGAACGGGATACACTCAAAACTCGAAGTGTGTGGTCGGTGGTGGACTGGTTTAAAGATTAAACGCTTCTCTGAACATTTCCTGTGTCGTTGGTGCAAACTACTAGATCTTCAAAGTTTAAATTGATCGTTTTGGGATAAGGGGAATTAGTTTTCTGTGGTTTTCGGTTTTCTGTCGTTTAATGGTTCAGTAATTTTATATCGGTTTCGTTTTCGCCTAGTTTCTTAGCGTAAATTGTTAACTTTTAGAAAATAATCAATAAGATCGTCGGTCTCCGCTTTGTTTCTAAATAAATGCATTTGTTTCTGGCGGCATAACGCGCTTTAAAATTTGAAAACGGATTGTCGCTTAAATACTATAAATATGTGTATAGGCAAGGTAAATAAAAAGGGGGAAATAATAAACCATATAGTTTGTATTTGGAAGCAGTTATAAAAAATAGTATATTTCATTTAGATTTGTTTGGGTTTAGGCCATTAAAATAGTTCTTATACACGCAATCGAATTACATAATATGTATAGTGTATCATATTCATTGCGTTATCTTCGTTAGTTTTATTGAAATTGTTGTATAGCACACGCTAAAAATATATGTAGATTAATTCTGTATATAATTGGCACTTAACTCATTTAAATACATAAAAATATAAAATATAGTACACAAAACATTTTTAAAAATATGCAAAAGTTAATTTGGATAAAAGTATCAGGGTTTATATCAATAAATAAATCACGTTCATTCTAAATTGCCAAATAAAAACAACACACACGTGGCATTGCACATAAATTAATGGTTCAGTACGATAAGTTGCAACCTTGTTTCCATCTATCCTTCTGTCTCCATCATCTCATCTCCTCATTGTCATCACTTAACGTTATCATCAACCCTACTATCTATCACGTGAAAACTGTGAAAGGTTGGGAGAAGGACTAGGGGTCGATGTGAGGGAATGTTGAGCATATAACTAGAACACTTATAAATCAACGACATCCTCCTTGGTGTAGGGCGAGTCCCTAAAACCACGTCTGGTCGCCATGCTCTGCTGCAGTTCTTCAACTAATGTCTCCTGTGGGAAGCGGAAGAGTAATTCCATTAGACGGCTCGATTAAATAGGAGCTAAACAGGCAAACACAAACTAGATGGAATTACAGTCAAAATGCGGCATACTGGCTAATATACAGAACTTAAGGACTATGCAACAAATGCGAATGTTAGACGCACAGGATGAGCACCGAAATCAACGAAGCGAAGTAGCCACCAAATTTTGATCGGTGATGAATACATGTTATCGCATTGCAGCTCCGGCGTCGAAAATCAAACCTCAAATAGCGTGGAGATCTCTTTGCCGGCGATCCGCTTCACGCCACCACTTTCCGCGCAGCTACCAGACTTGGCGCCCAACTGCCCATTGCGCATACTGAGGATTTCGTTGCTGATTAAATTGGCACAGGCCTTGGCATGTTGCTTCTCGTGGTCGCTGGTGGTGCTGTGCGCTGTGATGGTCTCGGTGCTGCTGGTCGACCCCACGATCCTTGGTCGTGCCTGGCTCTGGTTTAATACTGTCATCGATATGTTGGTCGTCGTGGATGAGTCAGATACACTATTGGAGGTGGAGCCTGTGGAGGACGTGCTCGTGCGGGCACTCGCCACGTTCAGCAAGGTTCTTGGCATAACGGGCGGCTTTAGGGGGAGTTCTTTACGGGTAACGAGTACAACAAATCAAAATATGAAAATAAATAAGATACAAAACAACGGAAGTCAAAAGAGGTTGCATCACTTCTACTAACAGATGAGGTAGGTGCTGGGCAGGCATTTTCAAGCTACTACTCATGCGCATGCATAGTGAACAACTTACCCATTCTGTTGAGACCCGCTGCTAGTTCTCGCACAGACTTCTTTTCAAGGGCACCTCCTGAAAGAAAGCCAAATTTAATTAATTTTATGGAATATTTATACAATGAAATTACCTACCTGGTGTAATGCCAACAATGCTTCCACCGCCACTCGTGGATAAAGCTATTCCCGGCGTGATGCCAACAATTGAGCTACTGCAGGTAGATCCAAATGTCACTACCTCGACGTCATCTAAGCGGAAAGAGAAACATTAACTTCTTATTCCTTATTCCTTTCCAATTTCTTCACCCACCTTCTTCTAGTTTTTCCGGCGTAGTCTTACTGGAGTCGGCATTACCATTGCCTGTTATAAGCTCTCCGCTTGCCTTTGGTTCGCTTCCCACAACTGACCATGGTCGCGGTTTCTGCAGAACTATGGGCGTTCGCAGGATGCCGTTGCCAGTCTTCACAATCACACTTCCCTCGCCTGTGGCATGGCTTTTGATCGAATCGCTGCTGGGCGAACGCGTTTTGTCCTCTCGAGTGGTTGCTTTAAGTAGATTAGAACTGGGCGAGTTAGTCTCCTCAGCGCCGGCAGATCCCGAGCCGGGACCACCTTCTGTTCGCATCTTGACCAGCGGGGACTTACGACCCACCAGTGGCGAATACTTCTCTAGGTTGTCCGTAGATCGGGAGCGGGTTGCCCATGACGCACCTTTAATTTTTTTAAAATAACGAATTTAGAGCTGTTGCTCATATCCGATGGTAGTTTGCAACTTACTTTTGAGCAATGGCGACTGGCGCTCCAATTTAATTGGTCGGCGCTCCTCCAGAATGGGAGTGGTCTCCTCGGAGGTCATGTGTCCATTCCCATCGCGGCTCATTGTGGGGCTGTCCACAAACGACAGGGAGCTGCATTCCTCTGACGTAGGAGAAACTAGCGGAGTCAGGGTAGTGGGTGTAACAGAACCGGGCCGGAAGAAGTGTTCCAAGCCTTCGCCGATTTCTCTGCTGCCCCCGGCACACTCGGTGGTGACCAACGGTCGAGTGGGCGCACGCGTTTTGGCCCGCTTTGGCCGACCTTTGACCAGGTGTTGCAGCTGGAACGAGGCGCTGGGCAACTCCGTGATGGAGTCGCAACACTCATCCACTCCTCCGTCGTCCACAGCGATGCTGTCGGTCATGTTGGCGGCTCCCAAGGCAGCGGCACCAGCAGCTGCACGGGCAGACAACTGGGAGCTGGAGCGGTGTGAGGAGGGTGACTCCAGGAGGTCAGGGAAGTGGCCCAGGCTGAGATTTTCCACCACGGACTGGGGACGCACCTTCTTGGCCAGACTGCGTCGCTTGGTGGGTAAATGCGGTGTGGCCTGTGGTATATCGAATAGGATTAAGATGTGTGTGGTTTGGATGTATGTATATTATGAGATGCTTATGCTTCATTGAGTGTATGAAATAATGAAGATTGTTTTAGGTTTTTTGAGGGACTCTACAAGGACTACAAATCAAAACGAATAAAGAGATACGATAGATAGTCTACAGAATCGAGCAGTCTACAGTGGGATAGTAAAAAGGAATTCTTTATTGCCTTTCCCAAAACAGTGACCAAATCTACCAAAGAATTCTTTCGGATTCTTTCCATTTAAAAAAAACACTGCCTTAGGGAAGAATTTATAGATTAATAGATAGGCTAAGAACAAGACAAAAACTACTTACAAGGTTGAGATATTCCAATTTCTTTTTGTGTTTGTTTGGTTTTTGAAATGCAATTATGTAAATGAGTTGGAGACAAGGTTTAATTATAGTATGTTTAGAGAACGAGTACGAGTACGAGTATTTGCGATTTTGTACAATTGATTTTGGTTCGTTTTCGGTTTTGGTTGACAGTGATGGTGATGATGATGTTCAGATCAGGGCAGGAAGACACGAGAAAAATAATGAGCATGAGCATTTGGTGTACACATTTAAGCAATTTATTCATGAGATTCAATGTATGTATGTTGGGAAGTATGTGATGCAAGTGAGGTTCTTTCATTTAGCATTTGTCAACTACATCCAGCTATTTGGGTATAGAATAAGTGTTCTGTTTTACACATGAATGTACTAAGCATATATGTATGTATGTGGTAGCGTGTGATTGAATAATTGTGGAGTGTGAATGGTATAGCTCTTCTTATAAGTATTGGCACTCTACTGTTCGCATATACTCTTTGATATAAGATGTGATTATGGACTAATTCGTTTTATTTGGCTGATTTCGGAGGCGTCTATTGCATCCACTTGGGTAGCGACAGATTTTCAACACTTACAGTGGGCGATTCCAAGCCCAGTTTGGGCAATATCGAGCCTCGTCCACCCGGTCGTATGATCAAACCATCCGCATCCTGGAACAGAAGCGTACAATATATTCGTTAGTGTCTAGGTCCACTCTAAATAGTTCTTTGATTCGGCAACTCCTAAAAGTGGGGAAAATATTTGTAATCGAATGCGCTGATAAGCAGAGCCAAAGCAGCAGCACCGACGATCCAAATAACAACTGCCTCACTTTTGTGGGTCGAAGCGAAAGTGAACCCAGCCGAGGGGCTTAGGGCCATGACATCACATTTCCCATTAGCGGGGCTGATAAAAGCCACCCACTCGATATGTTCGCTAGCAAGCCGTATCGAACATATAACTTACATGACTGGAGCGACTGCGCACGATGTCCGGCGTCTGCGGTTCGTCCAGCAGCACCGATGGCGACTCTGCGATGCCCATGCCACGGCGGTAGCGGGTCAGGGCCTCCAGCACCTCATCTGTAGCCCGATCTGAGATGGCGGCTGCCAGGGATTGTTCGATCTCACTGTGGGCATAGAGGAAATAAACAATTAGTTAATTAGTTAAACAAGGTTTTGGACAATCTACTTCTTATGTGAACAATGAGATCTTTTTGGATCTGCGGCCAACTCCTCCAAAGGCTCCTCGTCAGGACACTCTTTATAAGCTGAACTTGCGCCAGAAGACTGGCTGTTCTGCCCGCCGAAGCAGCAGCACAAAGTCCGCATGAGACCCATTTCTTCGCGACACTTTTTCCCAACAGCTGGGAGAAAACTGAAGGAATGAGCGCTGGTCCGATTTAATAAACGCAGATAAACCTATGTATTTTTGGCAAATCCCGCAACAGAAGTGTATGGCTTCGAAATCCCGACGACAGTGGAAATGCATTCAGCTGTTTCTGGTTTTCGGTGTGTAGTTTTTAATCTTATCTAAGCGGTAGCTCTCCCACTCATGTGTATATGGGAATACGTAAACAAACAGACATTTTTCAACTTTTGTTGGAGCGAAAAGAGCGGGCAGAGAGTTCCACATGGAGCTGGTTTTGGAATCATGTGTTTTTATTTTGTTGCTTCTCATTGGCGAATAGCCAGAAGTAACATGTTTACTTTTCCGCGAATATTACTCACAACTTACACATGTAATATATTTATTTGTGTATTTCTATACTCTACCGATTTTTTCTAACGATTTTTCAACCATAAAATAATATTTTAGGTCACGTATTACGCATATTTCGCTATCGAGGTTTAGTTATTAAATATAAATATTAATAATCTAAATTTCTTTATCTCGGTTAGCATATGTATGTATATAATTGCTTACGAACTTTTCTAATCGACATTCGCATTGATAGGTTAGAAACTCGATTTCTCTCTTATCTCACCTATTACGTTTTTTTATAGTTTGTTAATAATGCTCATGTAAATAAGAATACCTTTCTCTTGAATATATTGCTCTTTAATCTACTCTCTTAATTTGTTAACTTGGTCGAAACTCACCCAACTTTGTTCATAATCTCGCTGCCGGCATTGTTGAGCAGACAAATCTGCAGGAATTCTTCGGGGACCACCAAACGCTCGGCAAGAGCCTTTCTAAGATCCTGAACGACGATCTGGTTGCCCAGAGTTTTGGGGCACTGCTCGATTCCAGTGCGCATCATCGTTTCCAGGGTCTCCTCCAGATAACTTTTAATCGTGTAGCTCAGTTCACTGGCCACTCGGGTCAGCTTCATTTCGATGGGATGACTGTCGTTGCGAACGGCCTCTTGCAGCTTTGGCATCAGTTGCTTGCAGTTTTCGGCGTCGGTAATCAGGCGCTGCACCGCCGAGGCGGATTCACTGCCTCCCTTAGCCAGCGAAATTGTGTCCTGAGTCTCGGCCACCAACTTATCCACCAGCTGGTGTGTGGAGGAGAGCATGAAGCCGTGCTGCAGCCGGAATCCATGCCCGGTGGCCCGCTTTAATCCATTGCAGTTGCGCTGCAGTAGCTCTTGCATCTTACGCATTACTGCATCCGTCTTATCCGGGTGGCTTTTCAGATGCGGAGCAATATCGAAAACAGGAAAGGGAATGGTGCGCATGCTGTGGTTGTGCTCCAATGCGTAAACGATGTCCGCATAACCCTGCAAGGTCACTCCGTTCTTATCCATATATATGGTACGCAGGCGGTTGTTAATCTGCAACGCTTTAGCCAGGAGTCGGGCGCCTACATCCCCCATGAAGTTGCCACTGATGTCTAGCTTCTGAAGGCTTTGGTTGCTGCCCAGAGCGTTGATAAAGTCGTGCAGGTCGTGCTTCAGTTTATTCTCCGATAGTACCAGCTCGACCAGCGGGAAGTCGTCCTTCTGGATGAGGTTCACTAGGGCGTCCATAACGGGCGGAATGTGCTTCGGCTTCATGCCCGTAAGGCTGCGGGTCAGGTGAAGCGTCCGAATAGAGGGGTTCTTGGAAATGGCTGTAAGCACGGGCGCCAGCTCAGCATCAAGATCTGAGGAAGATTCAAGAAATTACATTTTGATCACAATGGTTATCCTCATGTCCGCTCACTGTTATCGCTTATATCTAGGCTTTGCAGAACTCGCACTCCATGGATGCAGGATTCAAGCACATGGGCACCTTGGGCGCCCAGCGTGTTACTGCTGAGATCCAGATAAAGTCCGGCTGTAGACTCGTTGCAGGCCAGGCCAAGCAGCAGGTTTTTCAGTGCCTCCATGGGAAGTTTGCATCCGGCGATGTTGAGGTGCTTTAAACTGAAGGTGCTGGTGAAGAACTGCTTGAACGAGGGCGGGATCTCCTTGCCCTTCTTGGTGCTGAAAGAGTTGTGCGACACGTTCAGGTGTGCCAAATGCGTGGCGCAGCCGCGCAACAGAGCTCCAAACAACTGCAACGCATATAGACCAAAATTGAGTTCTGGGACTTCTATGGACCTGAAATAGCTTACATTTTCCAGTGTGATGTCAGTCGAGGCCAGATCCAAGTGCTCCAGTACATTGGGTTGAGCCAGGAAATTGTGCAAATTCTGCAAAAAATTAAATATTTTATTGACATTTAGTATTTCGCTTTGCAACGAACTACTTACGGTTATATCATCTTTGAGACTATTACCACTTAGGTCTAGATGCGTGAGCGAGTTGGAAATACTTTGATTAAGCGTCAGCGAGTGCGACATTTGATTGACTCCCTTCGAAGTTAGTCCACAGTGGGCCAAGGCCAGTTTGCACAGACCCTTGGATACCTTGGCTATGGGCCCAGCCAAATGAATGGCACCTTGTTCACAGAAAAACGATATACTATTAGTTACAGAGCAAAATGTGGACCTCACACGTACAACGACTGTGGGATAAATGAAAAGCATGATGTTTGTTGCCAATTCAAATAATTACAGATTTGTTTGTCTAATTGATCAATTTGGTTTACATAGAGCAGACGGCTTGATGACCAGAATGAAGAAATATTATGGGAAAACCTGTGTGGCAATCGTCAATGACAATGGGAGACATAGTCTCAAGAATCAATTTGGCGGCTCAACAATGGCCACACATGTCGCCAAAATAATTTGCAAACTTAGGGAAAACAAGAAGAATGCTAACAGCAATATAGCAGTAACACAACAACAATACAATGTCTATGTTTTGTTTAGATGGCTGTGTTGCTATGGTGTCTAATGGTGGCTGCAAACCTTGTACAATCTTTCCAAATAGGGCGCACAATGAACTTGCTCCTACACAAATCGCAAATCAAAATGGAAAACCGACAAACGAGAATACATGGAAACGGCGGGGAAGAGAAACGATAGCAGAGAGGTAGACAAGAATTGGATTAATTGGATTACACGAGGTGGGTCTCGATTACAATTCGATGGTAGTTTAGGGGCACCGGGTGCAGGGCAGTTGATTGGCATCCGGGGATTTGAGTACGAACCTTTATCCTCAATTATATTGTGGCTTAGATCGATGGTGCGAATGGCGGGATTGCTATTCGTTATCACAGAAATCGATAACTTGTTCAGGAAATCCCATCTGCAAGAAAGATCACCAAAAAATGATCAAAGCTATCCTACAAAAATATTACAATCCCTACCTTAAGCCCAATGCTTCCAGGTGCAGCTCTTCCAGCCACATCGAACGCTTAAGGACGTGCAGGATGCGTTCCAGGGTCTCGTGGGACAATCGCATGTGGGCTGCCTTCAGGCCACGAAAGAACGTGTTGTATTCGAGCGCCGAAACGATGGCCATCAAGTCTCTGAAATCAATTATCAATGAAATTAGACATCAATTACCTAGAACACTTCTGTGTGTCATCTTACTTTGGCTCCAGGTGGTCAAAATCGCGCAAGTTGAGGACTCGCGTGTCGTGGGACAGATAGATGGTGTCCACATCCCAAGCCACCTCCTCGCGATAGGGAACGCCATGGAAATCGCACATGCAGGCGTACTGGGCACTGAATCCCCCACAGGGACCCACATTTCGGGGATCGGAGGGTCTGAATTCCTCGGAGAATATGGTCTCCCGCTCCGGTGGCTGTATATCAATCTGAAAGAGGGAGAGCACAAAAACCAAAAGGAAGTTCATTGACCTGATGCAAAATTTAGTTTTAAAAGTTCTAGGAGGGCGTTTAAAGGTCTCAAGAGTCCGTCTTTGTTGAGTTGCTGAAGTTGACCAACTTGAAGAACAATGCGAAGTGTCGGACTGCCTGCTAAACTCCTCGAAAACTATTTCTCTGTGCCCCTTTCCTTTGCCATCTGCTTAAACATAATCTCGCATTTAACACTCTTGTTGAATGTGAGTTTTGATAGCTGCACTTCCAGGCGTAAACCCGATGACGTCTGGGTCGCGTGCCCTGCGGCAATTATCCCAGCCATGTAGCTTCAATTGTTTTTACTAGACAAATCGCTAGATAAAAGTCGCTAAACAACAACATCTATGGGTTGGGCGTGCGACGGAACCGTGGTCGTGGTGTCTCGTGGGCGAATCTCAGGCGATTTGCATAAACATACCGGGCATAATTTACGTCGAACTGGGGCCAGGAGCATTACAAATGCATTGAATTCCTAACCCCATCATCTTGCGCTGCTGACGACGTTTATGCACTTAAGGCCTAATTGGGCAGTGGGCGGGGGTGGCATGCTGACACAGTGGGTGACATAGCACATACATACATGTACCCTCGCAGATACACACAGTTGCTCACTAAGTATTTAATTAAACATTAATTAAAGCCAGACGTGAGTCAGAAGCGGTCGGTACTCAACCGGCCAACCGCACAGAGTGTGTTTAAGCGATGGGTAAACTTTTTATGGATACATACAACTTGCAACAAGAATCTTTGCAAAAGTTAACTGCATTGATTACTGTCCACTAATGGAAGCATATTAACAGTAATATCCAAATAGACTCGTATTCTAATAAATAATTAAGTAGTACATCCTGTTCCGAACTTAAAGAAGTTAATGAATACCTATATTATCCTTCAAAATTGCCATTACTTACCTTTCTAATGATGTACTTTAGAGGAACTGTTGGGAATATCTGCTTGATGGCCGAGGCTAGATCGGTTAGAATGACATCAGCGTTCTGCAGAATGAACACCATCAAATTGAAGTAATTACATATAGAACACTGCGCATAATGACCAGTAAGTGGTTTTGCCTTACCGAGCTGAAATTGCCCGCATCGCCGGTGGTAACGAACGAGTAGGGCCGATCGCTGGTCACAATGGCGAAGTGGGTGGACTTCTTGCTCTCGACCCCCACAATATCCAGGTAGTGGAAATGGCATTCGATCTGTTGGGGGAAATGAATATGAATGAATGTTTAAGTTATGATAATAGAGAATAACAGATGGCTAACTCACTTTGGTGGGCACTTTGGCACTGAGCAAATAGACCCTCACGGGAGTGAAGACCTGCGAAAAGAAAGGAGGTGCAAGACATGGGGAAAAGTGTTGTAATTGGCAAAGAAAACACACACCAGACATGCGTGCCAACATGCCTGGCTAAAAATGCACGGGACGGGGGCAGATGGAGGCCAATCCTCAGGCATTCAGTGGAGTGTAACTCCATTATCACGAGAACCAGAGACTCAAAACTCAATTTGGCCGGCCTTTGTCTAGCGAGAATTGATTGAGAAAAGTTCGCTGCTTTTAATGGCAAATCAAAGTGCGTCGGGTAATTCGTTTAACTCTTCAAATGCAGAAGCTCAGAGCTCCTGGAGTCGGAGATAATGGGGAAGAGTTGGCCCCATCGACTTTGGTAATTGGACACTTTGTCTCTGCCACCTTGTAAGCCGCTTGCACAAATCAATTTTCCAGCTGTGTGCGCTCTCCAAGCGGCCGTACAAGTGGCCACGAATGAAATTAGCATAGTCCGGCCCACAAGGATTGCCCAGGTGGCAGAAGTCGTGCCCCTGCGCCGCTAAGTATGCTATAAAATATCAATTACGGTTCTGGGCCACTTACATGCCTACGGGCAGCTACAAATCGGATCCCCCATAGGAATGTTCAAGAGCTTTAGCTAAGTGAGCAGTTTGACAGACTGATTAGACTCTGTAGTACCGCGTACTAATATATGTACTAGCTGGTTTCATAGATATATATTTCCTATTATTTTATGGTAGATCTAAACATAAAGAAAAGAAGCAGCTCAGATTTCTACTAGACACAAATAACTTTAAGCAAATATTTAAATGTTTAGCATTAAATTCGTCCAGTTTCCAAAAACAAATAAGTACTTTGAAATAATTTATTATTATGTCACGTTAATTTTTAGCATGAGCACAGTGACCCTCAAATATGAGAATTCACGAAACGATTTTCAGTTTAAGCTGATAATAGTTATTTTTGCGTTATTTTTAAGCTACATTTTAATAGTTTAGTTATGTTATATTTTCTCATTGCAACTACTGGAAAGTCCAACTTGACGTGAGTCAAGGGAATGCTCAATTCGCGGGCTATATCTGCAGATATTCATTACATTAATGGCACTTCAGCCGAAACGGTAGCCTCCTTCGAATTTGAGGCAATTTGGCTGGGGGATGCAATTTGCTAGCACAAATTGGACCGCTGACTGCCCGTAGATGCGGCAATTTGAATCTGGGCCGCTGACAGACGGCGTCTGCTGGCCGTCATCGGATCTGGAGGCCAAAAGATCTGAAGTAGCTGGCCTGGCAGCAGGCCGATAGCCAGGCCAATTAACCAGCTAGCCAAGGAGGCTCTTCACTTACCAGAACACGATTCTCCGTCTTATCGCCTTTCGTCTCCAATTTGACCATATACTTGACGAGTATCTTTGTGTGGCGACCCAGAATGGACTTGACGCTTTCTGCAATGAGATAATGGAGAGGAGATGCTTGAGAATCGGAATAAGAACGTAGATCGCTTGGTGACCAAACGGAAATGCAATTAAAAGCCCCAGTGGCAGTTTAGTTCGCCAATGAAATAGTCACATCCGAGGCCGCTCAAGTCGCTGTCGTAAACGCGACTTGCGATAACAAAACGATCTGATTACTCATTAAATGTAATTAAAAACAATGTATATGTGTTAAATGCCTATGTTTTATGTTATTCATTTGCTGAGAATAGATTTTATATTTTGGGGATAAGCAATTTTCTTTGTTACTGTAATTACAGATACAAAGACCATCGTTCTTTCATCTCTTCTCAGTTTCAGTTTCGTTTTATTAAAATAAAAAGGTGAGCCACATTTCTCCCTGTGCACAATTGCATACATTATACAGATATCTGTATGGATGAATGACATTATTATATACCCAAGTTTGGGGCTTTGTTGTGCATGCCAAACTCGAGTATTATATCACTGTCCGCCAGTAAAACGAATTGATTCAAACGTATTCAAACGAAACACGTAGATATAGCAATTTTCAGGCGATAACACCCTTGAAGCCTCCTTCTCCTAACCTCCCACCCGACTCCCCGATTCCCCGATTCGTAGCGACAGCTACTTAGCATATAACCCAACAACAAAGTGAACTCTCTTTTCTTTGTGCACACGCGCCAGCGATGACGAATTATTTAGAGGGAAAAATGCGAGTGTATGGGAAGCCGATGGAACCCTCCACTGGGGGTGACCATATTATGTCATGCCAGCGGCATGTGAGATTCCCAAGCACCTCCGACATAAAGCCGGGAGTTATGACTCCCCGTCTGGGCACGCCACCATAAAGGAATGGGAAAGGACCAGCAGCACCAGAAATAACAGGCATGTGCCAACGGGGAAAAGGAATTGAGATGTCGAAAATGCCTGCATAACTGCCGCGCCCACCACTCACAAGCTCCCCAAACAAAGCTAATGCTCATACCCTAGGAGAGGGTATTTTGCCCATGGGTAAGTTCTTATCTGCTGAGGTAATGCAGATCAATGTGGTGTCTATTTCCTAGGGGTCTGTAGTTAATTTACAGCAAAGTGACAAGAATCGTTGTATTGTGCCAAATATATCGTTCAAAGATCATACAAGGATCAAGGACCAACAAGAGTATGTCGAAAAGCATATACTTTCAAGGCATACACAACAAAATGAATCAGAACGTGGAATTTCTCGAGCAATTACCAAACTGCTTTGAGGGTGAAAAGATAGACGGAGAAATACGCCCATTAGCTTTACAATGGATTTGCATAAAGTGGGCCATAAACAGAGCTGCGGGGCTCCCTCGATCCTGACCACACTCAAGCGACGGAAACCCAGAGTGGGGCCAAAATAAATAAAGTGACAGTTTGTCTTTATGGCCCACCACACCAGGCAGCGATGCTCAAGGAGTGGGCGCGGGTGTGGGTGCCTATGATAATGAGTGCCAATTGCGCGTTATGGCCGAAATAGATTGTTAAGACGGTTCGGCACGCACGATACACACACGCACACCAAGTGGGTGATACAAATCAAGCGGGCATAATCAACAACAGCTCACTGATTCTCTCTTAATTATGGAGCTCAAGCGCGTCGAATGCCAACGAACTCGGGCAGAGAAAACGCCACCAGAAATGGCTTTTTGTGGGCTATGAACTTCGGGTGCCACTGTATCAATATCATGTGGAATAGGAAGAGCTCGCAGTGAAGTTGTGCACCCAAACGGAAATTACTGAAGGTTCCATGCTCTTCTCCTTCGGGGTTTCAACTATATTTGCTTTGTTATCTGATTACAAAGTCCGCTGCATAAACCCTCAATCCGAATTTTCCTTCTGATATAAAACCACAATCCACACACAAATGAGGTCAGAGTCTTGTTATAAGAAACCTATGAATTCAAGGTTCTCCAGAAAGTATTCGAGTATTCTCTGACATAGGGCATTTCTATCAGAGAGATATTTTGGTTGCATTTCTTTTAAATTGAAAGATTCGATCTTCAAATATGTATATTTATTAGATGTTCCCAACAACAAATTTGAAAAATATTCGGAGAATTGAATGAATTATTCTGGGAATAATTGACATGGGTCAAATTCAGATAAGTCAAATTCAGTCATCGTTTCGGAAAGCCCTGCTTTATGAATAACACGATAGAATCCTATAGCCTAGTTCCCCGACTATCAGATACCCGTTACTCAGCTAGTGGAAGTGCGAACGCAAATGTCATAATTTTCTGGAAAAACTGTCAAAAATTGCGATAAAAAAATTAAAAAATACAAAAAATATAAAAAACCGTTTTGGGCGGTAGAGTGGACATGGCAAACTTGCGCTGCGCTTATGTCTCTGGTACCTGCATGCTTAATCTCAACATTCTAGCTTTTGTAGTTCCTGAGATCGAGGCGTTCATACGGACAGACGGACGGACAGGCGGACATGGCCGGCAATTGATCCTGATCAAGAATATATATACCTTATATGGTCGGAAACTCTTCCTTCTGCTTGTTACATACTTTTCCTCTACGAGTAACGGGTATAAATTGCGAGTTTGGTGTACAAGTCAGCAGAACTGTTTTCCAAGCGTAATAGATGGCTAAATGAGCCAACACTGGACGCCAACGAGGTCGTGTATGTTTATCTGGAATACCTATATAAAAAAGCTCTCTGCATGATATGTCATTGGCCTGGGACACATTTTGTCTGCCATTTGAGTGCTGCATCGGATTGCAACTTCTGGGCCATTATTAGCCGTCTGCACCGGACATGTCAGTCCGTTTCTGTCGCGACTCCATTTCCTACAAAAGGAAATTGACCTTTAATTGGCTTTTGTGGTTATTTTACTCAGTTGGCATGTTGAAAACGCTAATTGCATCTCAAACGAAAAGTCATTTCAGGGAAAGTATTCTAATTGATACAGTTGGTGCACGGGAACTTACGTAATTCACGTGTGTCTTTATAGGAATATCTATATAGTTTAATCTACATATGACCTAAACGACTTAAACGCCCAAGTGTACGTTTTAATACAATAACTGAATTGAACATATTTTACAGTAATTTATACGTAACTAATAAAAAGGGTATTTTATCATATCGCTCTCCAACGAATAATTCAAACTAATAGTAAAAATATTAACTCTAGACGCAAAAGAATTGGATGAATAACCTATATTTCGCTTCTTAATTCTTAATCAGCTTTCGTCGGCGGCCCGTATATATGCTACCCTGGAGTTCAAGGAACTGACTCTCAAAAGTTTGTCAAAAAGTTTGCTTTCGGCTGGAAAACCTGCACGCGGCATGAGGAGCTATCGACGGCAATCTAAGCTGGCATAAAAGCCAACGAGTGTGACCCAATTTTGCGCACTTTTTTTCCACTTTTTCCACATTTTGCAGCTGCACAGCTCAGCACAATGCCAGAGATTACACGAGTTCAAAATACTCCACTGCCAGATACAATGTGTATCTGTATCTGAGGCCATAAATGTATCTGTATCTGCGAGTGCGGGCGGCAGTGTAGGTGCATGTGTCATCTGTCCAAAGCGCCTTTTCGTTTAACACCGTGTTTGTAGTTCGTGTTTTCAATCTGTAGTTCGCATTGTGTGCAGCAAAGTGTATGCTTTCCATACGCTGCAGGTTCTAATGGACGTCATCGTTGCCTGTGCAAATACAAAGGCTGTCAAAACTAGTCGGCTAACAAATAAATAGGAGCACCGAAGTGGACAGGGAGCCATTTCCCAGTTTGACAGCAATTGACCAGGGGCAGTGGATTCATGGGGGGATTTATGACAGTGAGGAAGGCGCCTCTACACTGGGAAACTCAGGAAGAACTTGTCTAACAATTTTCGCAACGGGAAACTAAGATTGAGATACAGATACATACAGCATTTCAGATAATACCAAGGCCGAATAGAAATTAAATTTTTCGAGCTATATGAAAGCCAATGGCTTGTCTTGACCAAAGTAAGTTATATTTATTTAAATTTTAGTTTGTATAATTTACGGGTTTAATATAACTTTCTTTTATAGTATATGAATGAGAAGTCTAATAACGACAAAAACGTTCAATGAACGATAATCGGGTTCGAGTGACGGAAAATGTGACTTTGGGAAGTTAGTCTGCAGTAATAACCCGAAACACGAGAACGGCCAAAAAGCCCAGCTAACGGCAACGTTTTAATGCCATTTTATTCGAAGAAGAAACCAAAGGCAACAATGGCAAGGCCTCTGCCTCGTTTGGCAGCTCTGCCGGCACAAAAGAAAGTTAAACGAAGATAGTTATTTTCGTTTTCTTGGCTCAAAAGTTGCGATTACTTTACGTTATGTTAATTATATTTGCACAATGGAGCGGCCAGTCACAAAAAGGTAGAAAGGCAGGAAAGACGGTGGGCAGTGGCTGCATTTATTCAGCGATAACAGAAATGCAAATTACAAACTTTGGCAGCAGCTTCGAGATGCCAGCCCGAAATTCAGGCCACTTCCCATGAAAGTGCGGCAATCAAAATGTATTGACCCCTGTGCGATGAAGTAAACAAATAAATGGGCCCCAATTTATTGCCCGTGAGTCACAGTTGTTGATCTAATTGCTGTTAACAAGTGGCGACGACCAATCGTGGGCGTGGCATGTGGCGGGTTTAATTCGCTTGACCTCAAAACGCAACTTATTGTGCGAAATTTTCGTTCGAGCAATAGAAAGCGACAGGTTCAGGTTCTCCTACGACTCTCGAGTCTCTCTCTTTCTCTCTCTCTCTCTAAGGGGGCCATTCCCCCGTCGCTTTGCCCGAAAAAGAAGTGGGCCAAAAGCAGCTGGCCAAAAGACAGAGGAGAGGGGGCTTAAAGCCAGGTCAGGGATGCGAGCGGCGTCATTAACGTCACTTCTTTGGTGACACAATTTCGCCAAACACCAGAGATGCAGAACGAAAGGGGTAGACACCTGGCTGGCGAGAGAGTGGGGAGATATTCGCATTTGTCTATTGGAAAATGGAGCACATGAGCGTGTTTCGGCTATTCGGCTTTTGTGGATGCCGCGTGCGTTCTTTCTTTTTTATTATCATTTTTGTGGCTTTCGAGATGTGGCCAAACTAGTTTCCAAATCAGGTGAAAAATGTTTATGCGCCACTAATGAGCAGCGAGGATATGTGCAGCGGAGCGCAGGTATCAGTAAAATGGAGCAGCTCGAAAAGCGAGAGTGAAACGGTGGCGGAGAACATTAATAGGTCACTGGAAATAAAAACAGAAGCTGGTGGAGCTGGAGAGTATAGAGTGTAGCATGTATATATACAGCGATTAAGTATGCGCGCTAATTGCGAGCAATTTGCCACTTAGTTGGATGGCAAATAGCCAGCACTTAATTGCTGGCATAAATTATCGACCGGCGTATTGATATCCACGGGATATACTCTCCATAACTAGGTCACTCAAAGGTCAGCGATGGCATCGGCTTTTGCAAGACCTGCAAATTGGGGCATTCCAATTCAAAAGCTTTGGTTTCGGGCGTTTGCATTTAATATACATATCATTTGAATAGCTTTGCATTTCGCACTTTGGTCTGGGAATTTTCTCACACACATCTCGGTGGGGCAATCTATTTTATTGCGTCCACTCGGGGAAGGTCAAACGATTTGAGACCGCTTTTGCCATTTTTCAGCCACAAGCAACGGAGCTTTGTGGCCCTACTTTAAATTCAGGTTATTGGAAGGATACTTCAGGGTTATGTAAGGTTAATAATGGTTGAATAAGAGTGAATATGTATGTATAGTTTACCATTTATGTTCAGTTGTGCTGGTATATAACAGAGGAGTGGAACTCTATTCATTTATTCATAAACCATAAATGTTAAAGCTGGGCTGGTTCGCTATTTAATAGAAATATTATTTTTATTGCAATATCCCGCCCCGCCACCAACTCATTAAATTATTTTTATTTACGATTTCAGTAGATCACGAGGAAGTCTCACTAGGCACACTCATTTCATTTGTTTATTTGCCTATTGCATATACATTGCGTATCTACTTATGTTCATATTCGAATGTGAGATTGCAAAACAGCGGCCTCGGGGCATTTACAATGTGAGCGCTTGGGAATCGTCTTCTGGATGAGTAAATGCAGTCGAACCGCTCGAGATAACCCTTTGAAGGCAGACCAAACAAATGCGTAAACAAACAATGAGAGTTCGCCGCAACAAGCAGAACCAAAACAACAACAACAGCAACAACAGCCACTCAAGCCATCAATAAACTTTCAACAAGTCAATTTCCGTCGAGCAAGGTGCGGTCAGAGGCGTGGCCAAAGGAGAGGGGGTTGGATTTACCAACTTTATGAAGTGCAAAATGGCCTGAGCAATCACACCTGACCGAAAACCAAACCGAAGCTAGAAATCGATCGCCGGTGAGCAGCGCTGTCGGGGTTTCGAAAAGGAATAAAATTAGTCATAAGAATCGGGAAAAAACATAAGAGATAGTATAGTTAGTTTAGCTGAACGCCAAACTAGCATTTTTTTCGTCCATTTATGAATACAATCTGTGAATATCTGTTTATAAATCACTTCGTTGCATTCTAGATGATGAATCCTTAAGAATGCAAGTAACATGCCAACACTTAGTTTCATAAAGTGTAGGGCCTATTTCTGAAGCAATAGGATAAAGAATTCGTGGAAAATAAAGTCAGAATAACTAGAATGGAAGCTCTGATTGCGAGTGAGAAGTTTGGGAGTGGTTTGCTGATATGTAGAATGTGCATGGCCCAATGACTCACACGGTAAACAAATGAAGCTATATTACTAGCACCACCCATTCCACCGGACCGCTTCGAGGTGATCTTCTATTGCTCACCTTTGTCGCGATTCTGCTTGACCACGTCCCGTATCTGCAGCTCGATGATGCGGCGCAGGTACTGGTCGATGTGAGTCATCATCTCCATGGTGCGCATTTCTCCCATTCCAGCACTAACGGTGCTCGATAATACGAACAATGGTAATTGCACCTATGGGACTATGATGCGATAGTATCTGGCTATAAGTCGGAAGGCAGGCGGCGCGTTTTTAGCGGATTTGACCAATTAGCATTGGCAGTGCGCTGCCACTTTACAAAGGCAGGCCTGACACCGAGCGCGGCGATTTCAGCACTGAGTGCTGATACCCACGACCGTTCTTATCGGCCAATTAGACTTATCAGAAGCGGGAGAGTGGAGGAATTTGAGCGAGCAGATGGGGAACTTAAGACAGCTTTTGAGGGTGATGGAGTACTACTGCAAACGTTAAAAGTGTTTCATGTTATAACATACGCACGGAAAGGCGTCTAAGATATCATAGTATTATCGATCTAAGAACATGTGTAAGTTCAAAACAAGGTCTAGAAATAAAACCATTTTTATAACTGTTACTCTCAAAGGGTATAGAGCATACGTTGAATAACATGTAACAGATTTTCAAAAATAAAAAGTTGACTCTTTTTTTTTTAATCGCAACCACTTTCTTTGCACACCCTTTAGAATTTTGCAAAAACTTTTAGTTTAGAAGATATAAGCCCTTAAGGAATTATGCATTTTCCACCAATTAAAACTAAATATTTTCTAACAAAATCGTTTGCCCACCCTTTAAAAATTGTTTTTATCGTTTGCCCACCTTTTAGAATTTTGAAAAAACTTTTAAATATATATTTAAATATCTCCATATAAATCGACTGCATTCCAATTTTAATAACTCTGTGTTTGGTGTGCAAGGTTTTTTTTTACGGTTTCTTATCATTTTGTATCAAAGACGATTTGGGTCTTTGTCGCCTTTATGAGAGAGGAGCACAAACTTGGTGGCTTATTTATGAGAACCACTGCTGCCGACAGGTGTCCAAACATTAAAATTAAATTAAATAAACAAGAAGGGAGCAAAGAGAAAAAGATACGGGGAGATCACAACAACAGAACCCGGACCAAGTTGCATAAATCAGGCAGCCGATCGCGCCCATTATATAATGCCCAAATCGGATTCGGGTGCAACCGCCGCATTGAAGCGGAATCAAGTTTATTTTGGACAGGCCACTGGAACCTGAGCAGCGGCTGCCAGCGCTGAGATCATAAATAAAATTGTCAATGCTCCATTTGGAGTGAGTGCTCCAGATTCCGGCGGATTCCCTGCAGTTGCAGCTGCCGTGGAAACTAAAATATTTTATAAATGATGGGCATTGAGGCGATGGCGCAACACCCCTCCCACTTAATCAGAGTGCGTTAATTGGCAGACGGGAACCAAGTCCCGTGCCGGCGTGGAAATAGGATAGAACAACAAGCCGGAGACGGATGGCCATGTCAGGTGGAGCATACAGACAGGAACACAAACAAGTCAGGCAGTGGGCAAACAAACAGCGCAGGTGTCAACGCCCACAACTGGCAACAGGACTCACGAATGGGATACTTGGAGCCCGATGCTCCGAGCAGGAACTGGACTGTTGGAAAGGCTGCTGTCAATGCACTCAAATTAAATTACTCAGACCGGCGACGAGTTGGGGCCAAATTCCTAGGGACCGGCACAGTGGTTTGGACAAGGAAAGGATTTTGTGCAAATAGGGATAGTTGCATCAACGAAATCAGGGCTACTGGCCAACATGACCCAACTTGGATGTAATCACAACTAATTACCTCTTGGATTCTTTAAGTTAACTGAACAGACAATTTTTTTTTTTTGACACTTTAGACATTGTCTGCTTAAAACACGTTCGCTTTGAGCATGGTTTATTTCGAACTCTTGAAGAAAACATTTCGAAATGAGCCAAGAACCTTTGCAGAGGCCTCTTTTATTTAGGCGAAATGTGTATTAAACAAAGACTCTGCTATCAGAGCCAAGTGAACTGCGAATTTATGTTTATTGCGAATAAGTTCCATATAAAAATGCTTCGGCTTTCTGTTATCGGTGGTTGCGTAGGGAACTCAATGACAAATTTCGAGTATCTACATTCAGATCGAATCAAAGTAAGTGGGTCATAGCTCTTTCCGGGTTTCCCTCTGAATTCGGAACCAATGTGGATGTGGATGTGCTTCACGGATGACTGCGATTGGAGCAGACACCTGTCATGCGGTCTGCATGCCGCCGCTGAGTGATTCGGCTTTTGTCAGATCGGTTTTCACGCCCGCGGAGATGCCAACGGGCCAAGCGTTAAGCGATTTCCGTAGGAACCAGAACTTTAATTGGTAGCCATGTAGCTTGTTTGTGGAGCCATACTGCTCACTAGCTGCAATTGAACAATGAGTTTGTTTATTTATAGAGCTCACCATTCACTGATATCAATATATCGCGTTTTGAATGTCATTTATATGGAAACCCTCGCTGACTTACTGTTTCTTATCGAATGCGTATATATAAATACATACATATTTACACATGTACATAGGCAGCGCTTCTTATTTTCATATTCGCGGTCTGATGGGATTTACACTTTCTGACTTTGCGTTGCCTTTCAGCTCAATTAACTATCACGGAATCTACCTACGAACTTTCATGCATGCCCTCAAAAATGAATATAGAAAATGAATTATTTATTATTTAAAAAAAAAAATTGAAATACTTATCTTTTCAATTTTCGAAACAACTCATGAATTATTTTTAAATTTTAATGTTAAAAATGTTCCTCCATTAAAGGAGTCAGTGCTTCGAAAACTGTGAGTGGGTGGGATTTCACCGGGGGGTTGGTGGGTGGCAATGTCGCAGTGTTTGTCAGCGTGTGTGGGGTGTGGGATGTATGCGGGTGTCTGTGTGTTGGGGTGTCACATCTAAGAAAACGGAAGCCGGCGGCCCAAACAGAAGAGTGAAGAGCGAAAACAAAACCTCAACGGTGCAGAGGGGATGCATCTGCATTTGTTTTTGTTCATGCGTTTTCCAAAACAAAGAACGGCGATGGGGGGGTGGGAGGTGGGGTGAGGAATGGTGGAGGGGTGGGGCGAAGGGGCGGCCGAAGAGAGTGAGCGAGAGCATTACTCACCGTTGAGGTCCTTGGTTAATTGCGAGCGCGTCGACATTTTGTCTTCCGAAATGCGAAATTCTGCGGCGAAAGTTGGGTGAAAATGAAGTCAAACAGGAATGACCAGGAAAGAAGGGCCAACGAAATTGGCTCAAAGCGGCTGTTTTCGCTGTTATTGCTGCTGCTGTTGGTCTGTTGGTGGTGGTTCGATTTCAATCCTGACACGCCTTGCAGCCCGAAACTGGATTTTTGAGCTGCTCCCGCATTAACAACCGCGAATCGCACATTGCGCCTTTTTGCCCATCATTTCGTGTCAACTACTTAAATTTATTTTTTGGCCGACTCTTTGTTTTTCCAGGCGATTCTTATTCACATTATTTGCACACACACGCAGGATTTTCGTATCGGTTTTTCACGCGTTTCCACCCTCGTCGCGGGTTCGGAAAACGGAAAATTCACTGAGACGCCGCCGCACAGACAGCAGTTGGCTTTTCCTCTGACACTTGGACTTAAATCCTTTCGTCTTATTCGTGAATTTAGCACTTTTGCTCAGAGTTCACCAGCATATTTGTGTATATTCGTTTTTCATTTCACTTTGCCTTCGGCATTTCGGTGTTTCCTTTTCGGGAGCTCAAATAGCAATATCTGAGAGAATTACTTTTCGGACCGGCGCGCTTTTAATTTATAACTAACTAAGCCCGGCGAGGAAAGTTAGTCTGCGAAAATATCTAACAAATTAATAAATACACGATCCGCGCATCCAGCCAGTTTCAGTTTCAGTTTCGACTCAGTGTGACCAGAGTTGGGAGAAGACAATATATCTGGCCTACTGTGGCGTTTACTGCAGCCGTTTTTGGCATTCGCAGTTAACAGCAATGTATGCCGGGTGCTCTGATTTTTGGTGGCTAAAGCTTAGCTTGTAGAACAACAGATTGGTAATGATGGGGATCGTTGGTGATTCGCATTTTGTGATACAGTGAGAGGGAAATTGTGCTCAAGCCAACAGAATATTTCTGCACATTTTAATTAGAAATCCGTTTTAGCTTTTATCGTTAAATTCGAATACCGAAAATACCGAAACTACTACAGTACCATAAATCACGCTGCTATCCAACACTACGCAAGTGGTTTCCTGGTGAATGCCAAACAAACCGATTTCAATTGCCTAAACGATTTCAAGCCGCTTAAATGGCAAACGTGCGCTGTATATACAAGCTGATTCGCCTGCAGAAGCTTCGGCTGCCGCTCAGTAAGTAGTGTGAATTCCCCATTGCGCCTGTTAACCGCGAATTTACCGCGTGCGCTCGTTACGAAAGAGAGCCCGCAACCCGACAAACAGCTGTTCGATAGAGTTGTGCGTGCGTGCGAAAGAGAGGGTGTGAGAGAGAGAGTGAGTAGAGGGAAGTGTGAAATGCTGACTGCCAAAAACCGGCGGCCTTAGATTTCTCGACTATTTTCAACAAAATTGTCAAACACCAGTGAAAATATAAAACAAAATAAATAAAATGCAGGAACAGAAGATGGAGGTGGACGTGGGGGATCCGGTGAAGGCGACCAATTTGCTGCGGCTCATCAAGCAGCTGCTGCTGGAAAAAGCTTACGATGGCGTGCGGATGCTGTTCCAAAGTGCCCAGGAATCGGAGAGGAACACACGGTTGCTGCCCCATATAGCCATGGATCTCTACCATGACGTGTGTTTGGAAAACATCTCCGACGAGGTCAACTCCCAGGAGCCAGAGCTATTCAACTGCTCTGATGAGCTGCTCAAGCTTCTGGCCACGTACGCCCCACTGCAGGAGCTCATGCTGGAACTAATGGAGCGCTTGGAGGAGAGCAGCAGTATTAATGTGTTCGGCGCCTACTTACGGGCCCTACAAGTGGTGCTGCAACGACAGGGACGCGACAAACCGCAGGCCGTAGAGTGGAGCCTCCAAAGCGTCTTTACGCGGCTCAGGGAATTGCCCCTGCCACAATACCTCACCGAGGGCTATGACGAAGCCCAGGCGCGACTCATAGAGCAAAACGAGCAGGTGGAGAACCTTCTGGCTCACTACATTACCGTGGGACTCTTTCGGCAGCCGCTCCGCGATGAAATCCTGCAGGATGTTCGGACTTCCAGCCAAACTTTCCGGGATTGCGGCCTCAATCGGCGCAACATATTCACTTGCTTCTTCATCCAGCTGTTGGGCCGTCCTCTGGCCCTTCTGGAGATGAGTCACGTCAAGGAGGACCTTACGAGAACGTATGTGCAGCAGGTTACGGAGAGCCTGACTCAGGATGTCAGCCAGTGCCTGGGGGATCCCTTCTACCTGCTCAACCTCGTAGAACAGCGCGCCAGATGGCTCAGGAAACTAGATGCCTCGAAAGGTGTCTACGAGATGAGTTGCCGGAATGTCTTCCTCATCGAGGAGAAACTTCCGCTACACGCTGTAGCCATGTACTATCACTCGCTCTTCGTGGGTAACCAACTGCCCGCCAATGCACCGAGGATATATGCACCTCTATTCCTATTCGAAACGATTGTCTATCTGGCAGAAGTGCTTCTTAGGCAGCAGGAGCCTCCCCTACAGTATTGTGGTCTTCGATTAGTGGAGCATCTATTGAGTACCTTGCAGAACTCAGTTCCCACCAGCTCCCTGCAACTGGATGTCCACAAGCGCTTTTGCGAGGCCCTTTGCAAGATTGTGGGTTATTCACCACAGGTTTCACTTCGGCAGTTGGGACTTCATGTGCTTAGGCAATTTATTCTGGCCTTTGATGATCATGGAAAGTACCTCATCCTTAAAAATTTGCTGGGGACACTGCAGCACGACGGACTAATGGGCTATCTCGGAGGGATGTACAAGGATCTGGTGAACAAGGCGCTAGAGGAATCCGGACCCCTACCGGAAGTTTATAGCGGAAAGCTGTTCCGCGAAATGTTGCTGCTCTGCGTCTGTGTGCTGCCTCATGACGTAAAATCCGATCTTCTTCTGCACTCCGATCGCCTTTGTCATGCTCTGAATATCCTACGCTACTTTGCGGCGAGAGACAAAACAGATGTGACTGGCTTCTGGCAGGCACTGCCGGAAATCGAAAAGGGATTGCTAGATCCCTTAGAAAAAGCGCTTAACTTTTCGATGGCCCATTACAAGGCATACAAGGAGCGCGTTGAAAAGGGTCAGAGTGCTTCGGATGACGAGCTAATGCAGCGCCAACTCAACATGCTCGCCGTAAACATAAGCAACAGCGGAATGGCTGGTGGCGACGCGGAAAGCAAGCTGCCCGATATTGGACGCCAGGAAAAGCTCGATGTGCTGGCCAGCTCCATTACCAGTTTGGAAACACTGCAATCCTTATATCTGCGCGCCAGCGAGATCATCGAACAGTCCACTCGCCTGCGACGCATCGCAAATCCATCTAATGCTTAGCTTATATTTTGGCCACAATGAAAGCGAAATGATAACGTAAACTTTATGTGTAAACAGAACCGAAAACGAAATCGAAATCTAAACTGATCTATGTGGTTTGGGGGTTCTTGGTAGGGGCGATAATTAACTGACTAATTGACCCAGTAGTGGTGTGCTAATTAACTGGCTAGCGATGCGGGCTTTGCATTGCGAAATGCGTACTGAGATCTAGTTGCACATACACATAGGTGTGCGTACCTCACACCTGAGCTGTTATTGATTCACTCGCAGTGTTTTTCTAAATTGTATAGCCTCTTTAAATATGTTTTTGTATTCCATATACATAATTTAGCTAGGTAATAAAAGCCTTTTCCAAGTTTTACTGGTATTACTACAAAGGTTCGCCTTTTTGCAGATGCGACCAGCTCCCGCTTGGCTCCGCTGCAGCCGAGACCAATGACTTTTTGGATAGCAAGGAGTTATGGAAAGGATGAAAAAGCAGCCAATCTAGACGATTTTAGAGCCCGGGAGGATCAGCGCGAAAGGGAGAGGGATGCTGCTGATAAAGCGGCTGAAAAGGCTTCACAAAAAGAAGCAGGCGGAGGTGGTGGGCTGGGTGCAACAGGATCAGAATCTAGCGGACCAAAAGATGACGCGAAGCAAGCCAAGGTGGATGCCATAAGGACAAAGATCCTGGACGCCGCCCTGCAGCATGTGCCCACACAAGGATGGACCCGCCAGGCCATCATTCTGGGTGCCGAGGAAAGTGGCTATCCTAGCGTGGTGCACGGCATGTTCCCCGAGGGTGGCTTCGCGCTGGTCTCGCACTTCAACGGCAAGTGCAACGCCCAGCTGGTGGAGAGCTTGCAGCAAAGGACAGATGACGGCAAGCAGGAGGTGGAGGATCCTCTAGACTTTCTGGTGCAAGCAGTGCGCCAGCGTCTTGAGATGGTTGCCCCCTATAAGACGCATTGGCCCCAGGCGATGGCTCTCTTAGCCCAGCCGCAGCATGCGCCGACAGCCCTAGCCCAGGTGCTCACCCTGGTGGATGACATCTGCTACTACTCCGGAGACCGATCTGTGGATGTGAGTAACGCATAACCCGTATGTACAATGCCTGACCTAATCAATGAGCTTCCTCTAGTTTGGTTGGTACACGAGACGTGTGGGTCTGGCGACCATCATGAAGATGACCGAGTTGTACTTCCTGCAGGACAAGTCTCCAGGACATGCCCAGACCTGGGAGTTCCTGAAGAGCCGCATGGACGAGGCTGTGCAACTGCAAATGATGCTATCCCAAACAGAGGGTATGACGCACACGTTCCAACGCTCCTTTAACTCGGCGTTCATCACGGTAAGTTTCCAAACATTTATCGTATTTGCGATCCGCTAATTCTTCATTTCGATTTTAGGCGCGTAATATTCTCGGTCTGGGCTATAATCGTAACTAGCACGGAAGTAAAACCATCCCGGAATCCGAAGCCTTGAGTGCCACACGCAGTCCAAAGATTATTAATTCTAGTGGGAACGGTTCTAGCCCTTAAAGATCTACACCTATGTTTACCTTAGATCCATATGTATATATGTGCATATAAGTACACCCTATACAACCCAATGGCAGTTTTAAGCTTATTTGTATTTTCTGGGAAGTTTATTTTAAATATTTTGTTAGATTTTCGATTTGTCTCACTTTGCTCGTATTCGCAGCCTAAAACTGCAAATAAAAGGGAAACGGGGACGTGTCCACAATGTCTAAAGTTGGTGCTCGTTTATTTGCGTAGCCTATTAACATTTATAATTTTCTAAATGGTAGGCTTTGTCCAATCGCTCACTAAACGAGCGCATGACCTTCGCGCTTCAAGCTTGCAGTTATAACACTTAAGTGAATTTGCATAGATACGGCTCACGGAAATTGGATGTTTACTTAAGACTTATGTAAATATATTTAAGGTAAAACATGCTGATGCGCTTTTTTCTTTTCTTTATTTCACTTGGGGTAAATCATAGTTTTATGAAATTGGACACATTATTTAGGCCTTCTTTTAATGATGATAAGTTCATAAAATATACGATAAGAACAGTGGCTATCTTATTTGCTGTGGTCAGTTCAACAGCTCAACCAATGGATCGGACAACTGCTCCATTGAAAAAATGTTGGCTCAGCTGCCTTATTAATTGGTTGACTGACTTGAGTTGCATAAAGATTTTCTGTGTACCGGTGACAAGGCATAATGCTTGGTACTGTTTACCATGGAAGGCTTCCGTAAATGAACGATGTGTCGCTGTTACCCGGTCACCTTCTTAGTAAATTGTACAGGCTCAGTTGCTCATCCTGATTTTTACAGTAGTGGACCCGTCTTTCGGCAATCCGACCATTCGTCATCAATCGATGTGAGTCTGTGTGGCGAGGCATCCAGGTGGAGTTCTTTTGGGAATCGAAGGGGCTATGAATAGATTGCTTTGGTTTGGTGGAAATAGCTTTGCCGTCCATGGAATCTTCTTGTGCGTTCTTGGAAGGTGGATTTAAAATCCGTGTACTGATTGCTGGTTGCTTGATGTTGGTTTTCTGGGGGCATTTTATACTGCTTGGGATTAAATTTGTCTTCGATGTTGAAATGCATTTTTCACTTTTACTTCCAAAAGAGGGTGAATTTTTACCTATCACAGGCAAGGACTTTCTACTGAAATTTGAGATGTTTTTCAAATGGCTCGGCCCAACTGAAGACGGGGAAACTTCTTTGTTAAAAATGTGCGCTAATGATATCAAAATTGGACTTTTTGGTTCCGTCACTTCTGAGTAGAGATCGGATATACTTCTCACCATGCAGGGCACGGTTTTCTTCTTCCACTTGCCGAATAAATTATTGATTTCCAGTTCGCTGAGGGCGCCTAGGAGCTTTGGAATGGACACAAGATCGCTGTCTCCAAAGAGATTTCTTAACAATCTTACCAGTTCGTCTTGTTCCCCCAATAGGAGCAATACATCTCCAAGGTCCTCGCCGTTTCCGTACCACTTGTATTTGCGATTCAACGCCCTCAACCGAAGGATATAGTCCTGCATCATGTGGAGTAGCTTTCCAAGAGTTTCGGGAACCATAGGATCGGAGAGATAACCATTGCTATCAAAAAGTGCGCTAGCGGAGAACAAATCCTGATCTGGAAACCCACTTAGTGGCACTCTGTATCTCCTCCGTTTTCGGGATATCATCATCACTTTTCTATAGTTGGCATAAAGCAGGCGAAGCAAAATATAATGAGCAGCCTCTGGAGATCGATATAATCTATTCGCCAAGGCGTAAATGACCCGTCGATTGACCTCAAGCCAGCGAGGTGGCAAGCTGTCACAGGGATCAGGGGTTGGCTCCCGATCCTGACCCCTAATAAAAGGATTCTCGGTGAAGGGCCGACTGCCCAGTGGGCAGCAGCTGGAGATGGTGCGCACCGGACAGTGTGGACAGCTGTAGGGAATCGGTGGACATGGTGTCCGGCGGAGGCGACAACAGTGGATGCACATCGATCGAGGTGGTCAGAAGTAGAATTGAAACAGTGTAAGCAAGCCAGCTTGGACCGACTTTCAATTTGGAATTTTCAAAAATGATGCTGATTATTCTTTCTAAACTTAAGCCGCAAGAAGGCACAAACATTTTGAAATGGCGAGTCGAAGCCAAAAATTCGGGTTCTGCTAGAAGTTTAAGTCTATACATATCTAGATGGCTCTAAAAAAAATGCATTAAAAAAAGTTTTTTTTTCTTAAGCTATCTTTAATGTTTATTGCTATGTAAAGTTATCTGCCGCTTAGCATTGTCTGAAATGGAACTCGAATTTATAATGTATTGCACTCGTTCAGCATCCTCTTAAAGCAATGAAGATTAATTCAAAGGTTCTAGGTACAGCTCTTCCTCGCAGGGCAATTGTTCCACTTTACTAAATTGTAAGAAGTACAAATGTAAAGTGTATAATTGAGCTAAGGTGTATCTAGGAGTACTGACCTTTTTAGACTGTCACATGACTTTAATTTTGTCTCAGTTGCTGCTTGCAGTTGTTTCAACCTTTCTGGAACATCGTTAGTGGCCAAAATCATGACACCAAGTCTGTGCTTAAGATTGGAAAATGTTGGTCTGTGTGATGGCACGGAGCTCCAGCAACTTTCCATCAGAGAAAACCTGAGTTAAGCAAATATTTTATACAATTATGCACTACTTTAAGCACTTCTACCCACATTTCCTGCGTACATCCCTCCGGTCGCTTCATCCGATGACCTTGTCGTAGTAGCTGCAAGAGATCACTGGGAGACACCGATGGATACGGCATTCCACCGAGCGTAGTGATCTCATAGAGCAGAACACCAAAGGACCATCTAGGTGGGAAGCATATCAGCTAAGAAATCGGATCAACCAAAAAATATATACTTACACATCGCTCTGGCTGGTGTACACCTGATGGGTGAGGGACTCCAGCGCGAGCCACTTGATGGGCAGCTTGCCACTTCCTCCGGACTTTCGGTATACGTTCTCATGATAAACATCTCGACTCAGCCTTAAAACAATACAAAATAACTTCACGAATCACTGAAGTCGCAGATAAACCCACCCAAAATCTGCTATCTTGATGCTGCGATCTACGGAGATTAGAACATTCCGGGCAGCCAGATCCCGATGCACTACTTTGTTTTGGGCCAGAAATTCCTAAAATGCCAAATGACACCTGTTACACATTTAAAATACATTTAGGAATCAAACAGGAGTAAGCTACCATTCCCACCGCCACCTGTTGGGCGATGTCCAGCAAATCTGCGTATTTCAATGGTATTCTGGGTTTGGTATCCGATGAATCGAGGCAATCAAAGTATTCCTTGTTCTCAAAGATTCGTTTCAACTCCTGCTTCGTGCCTTCCTTGACCTCCGGCCTTAGCTTCTGCTGTGACTGGACCGTTGGAGCTTCTGCGGCTTCGGGAATATCACTGCCACCGATGTTTTCAATATCCTCCAGGCCATACCCCTTGTTTTCGGCGGCATTGGTGATTTGAGAGAGGGTGTAGGTCTCACATCGACTTGAATGTGTCCGATCCAAATCACTCTCCTCTTCCACAGTGGACAGTATCGAATTGTTGATATCCTCTATGCGATCATGGATGGAATTACGAGGAAATCGGTGAAACCGTCGGTTGTCCACGTTGTGCTGAAGGTTCTTCTTAAGACCTATTGCGTTTTGTTCCTGCCTGAACTTCCACTCATCACTAAGTAATATATTTAAGGATCATTAGTTGTCTAATATGTATAAAAACAGTTTACCGTAAAAAGTTCTGCAGGCTTCCAAGGCTGCAGTATTCAATTAGCAGCATCATCTGATTGCTAAAACGAGTGGAGTATCCCACGATACCCACAATATTTGGGTGCTTGCCCACGGCCTTGAGCATCTGAATTTCGCACTTGAACGCATATACGTCCTCTTCGTTTGGTTCATCTGTGGGTACGGAAATAAACAATCCATTAAAGGATTCATTCAAGAACTTCAATACAAAAGGGTCTACCTTTCAGCAACTTGACGGCCACTTGGCGTTTCTTGTACACTCCACGTCGCACCAAGCCAAAGGCTCCCTCGCCGAGGACATCCTGGAGGAGCACGGCGTGAGGCTCCACCTCTAACTCGTCCATTACTTCCAGGCTTTCGTTGGCCGAGAGGGTGACCAGCAGGCCACTGCTGTCCATCAGGGAGAGGTGAAATTCACTGGCCTTCGCGTCCTTAGCCTCCATTTGCAGCGCCTTAACCTCCGATCGATTCCGTCTGCAGAAGGTCAGGGAGCACAGCATCAAAATGCAGCAAATTGGCACGATAATGAAGAGTACCAGCTTGACCATGTTGCCCTCTGATCGAAAGGAAGAACGGAAATGGATGCCTAAATATTTCATTTTTTGTCAGCGTACATACCACTCAGCAACACACCTCTAGGAACCTTGTCCAGGGTCAAGCCGGATACGTTTTTTCCGCCTGCCGACTGGGCCACCAAATGTACTTCGAAATGGGAGCCCAGTACTGTGATCTTGGGTACATAGAAGTGGCTTCTGTTTTGGTCAAGTGTATAGTTGAGCTCCGTACCTCCTTTAAACAGATCAAATATGTGCAGTGTATAGTTATCCGGCAGGTAACTGGGTCGTGACCAGGTGATGTTCAGAGCCAAGGTATTTGGCAGATAGTGCTTTTGCGTCACAGTAAGATTCTCGGGCTTATGGGGAGCTATCAAAGGGTGGAACAATGTTATTAATATTATAAAGGACTGTCGAGAAACCTACGGCAGAGTGTGTAGTTATAAGGGTACCAATCCAAGCAGCTTGGAGCTACGATTGGCAGCCACTGCAGATCGCTCTCCAGACGATTCATTATGTTCACCGTTCTAACGCCTACATGATACTGTTTGTCAAACTCCAAGTTGTCCACCGTGTGCCGGTACAGCTTTTTTCGCTGCAGGAAAAGATTAGGTTTTCTATACCTTTGCAGGGGCGCCATGGCGTACTTACATCCCGGAACTGCACCTCCCGTGGCTCGTCCATATTCACGCTGTTGGTAGAATACGACACCATGTCGAAGTAGCAGTTGCTCTCTGGAATATGAAAGTAGAGGATAGTTCGTGGGTTTGCTCAACTGATGGAACTATTCACCCGCCGATGGCTTCCACTCAATCTCGGCAGCAATGTGACGCAGGTCATCTGGCTGGGGTACAAACCGCAGCAGATTCACCGCTCCCATTTTGCTGGGCTGATAGCCTCGGATGAGGGTGGCGAAGGTCTGGTCCTTCGCTATCAGCGAGTAGCTGCCATCTCCATGCATTGCCAGGGCGGTGATATTGTGGCTGGAGTTGGACTCCAATCCCGGCAGGATGAGAAAGTTATCATCAGACTAAAACCGAAGAGAATAGAGGAGCGTTCCAGTCAGTAAATCGAACTTATTATTAGGCATTGATTAGTTGAATTTTCTTTAGATAAATAAAGAATAAGTAGATTGAATCTATTGTCTGACCAGGTATAGCGTAGTCTCTTTGTTTTTGTCCTTGACAGCATCCAACCTGATTATGTAAGTGGCATTTGGAGCCGGCTCGTTTCCCCTGCTGTGCTGCACCCAATCTATTTGGAGAACGATTTCGGACTCCGTGCGGCACAGCATGTTCAGCTGGTAGTTATCCTGCACCTTGCGTAGGGTCCCGGGAAATGTCCCATTAATCCTGCAGTCCTTGAAGCAGCTTCGGAAATCCTGCCAAGGGAAGAAACATGCGATATTGGTTATGGAGTGTTTGAACTTTTCAAGTGGGTGCGTTGTTTTCTATCAGTGTGGGTTTTTTTTAAGTTGCGGTTCAATCAGAACCGTTTTATTACTGCATTGCAGAATAATAAACTTACCATCTGGCCTTTTTCCAGGCAATTTTGGGTGCACGCGGTGACGTTGAGGAGTGTCTTATCGTGGGAGATTTTGTCCATGAGCAACATTTCACCTTGATTGCTTCCCACGAAAAACCAGAAGATAAATGCGTACTTCGCATAGAAAATCAGCATTTTCCTTGTTCTGCTTCCAAAGAACCTTCTTTAGTTCTTCGTTGTGTGTGTGTTGAAAAGAATGTGTATTTCTAAAAAAGCGACTTTAAGTTTATTGCACTTTTGCAACGCACTTTGATACGAGCATTCGGTGATCCCTAAGTTTTTAACACTCAATAGCACACACAGAAGTTTCAAATACTTGTGTGGTTTCTAGAGCCCAGTTTTTGAGATCAGTGCCGCCCTTCTCGGATTGTCTTGCTGAACTGAGGATCTGCGAAGCGGAGGCCCAAAATGCGATGGTGGAAAGCGACGAAGACGAAGAAGGAATGATGAGAGGCGGCGGACTCGCTGAATATATTTTGCGCTATTTTGTTTTGATTTGTGTTTCACCTCTTCACTGCATCGTACTTTACTGGATCGTGTTGGATGGGATTGGACTAGGGTTCATTTGAAATGCAAAATTTTGATGGCTACTCCGTCACAGTAGCGCCAGGGCGGCTTGGGCAATCGCTCGGCATTCCCTTGGGCGAATGGTAAGCATAGAACCTTGAATTCGATTCCTCTTCCAACTTCTCATTAGTGGTACCGCAAATAATGTATTTCAAGCTGCAATAATCTGTTGCGCCAAAAGAGTGTGCACTGCAATAAGCCGATAACACAAAATGCAGTGCTGCCCGGTTCCATCACTAAGACCCGTCCATATTGGGCGGCAATATTCGAACTTAAGCAAATCAACTATGCAAATTTCGCTCACATTGTAGCTTTTGCATAAGCACGCTTTCCCTGGTTCCATTTCAATTGTAACAGAGCTGCCTGTACATGTATTTTCTTATACAGACTTCTACGCACATGACCTCAGCTTCTGATTCAGGTTATTCACACAGAGAACGCTCGATTACGTCGGTGACTCAATTGTTGCAAGTATTCGAGTAGTCAAAACACTCACATGGGAATCTCGAGCATTGCTCTCTGACTTTTCAGTGCCACTCGCCCGTTTAGTTAAATATTGCACGCTCGCGTCGTCGGTTCTGCTCCTAAAACGCTCCATTACGTGTGTAAACATTTGCTATGCGCTCTCCCCCTAAATAATAATAATAATACAGAACGTCTTGTTTAGCCTGTGAATACGAGTAATTCCCGGCCCGGTTAGTTTAATCCCCATTGAATTAAAGTGAGGAGGTTGTCGTACAAGCCGTTTCGTTCTCTTCTGAAGGCCATTAAACCAGTTGCAATTAAGATTTGAAAACAGTAATATATATTATACATATGATATCGCAAGTATTGGGCAAATGTAAAAGCCGGCTGTTGTTAGCAATGATAAGATCATATCATATAAGATCATATCGCCATTCTAGCCAGACGTCCATATAGAGCAAGTGATTATCTTGATTACTCGAATTTTTAAGCACCCCAAGCGAATAGCCATTAAATCGGAGGTATTTTTTAACAACTGATACCGATAGCCACGAACTTGCGCCATCGGCGGATACTGATAAGGATAAGAAATGGTAACTAAGCATTGGACATTTTTCAGTCGCTGGAGGACCGTGCTACCAAGTAGTTCGACTTTTCGAGTTCGATCGCATTGAAACCATGAAAATCGAGTGGGCTCCTGTTGGCGTACCCATGGAACGGCGTCGCCAGACGTTCGCCATGGCCTTCCTAATCCTCACCTTTATGATACTCTCCTTTGGATCTTATTTTTTTGTTGCAGCCGTGCTGGTAAATATCATTAAGTAGTGTATTAATATCTTCAAAAGTAACGCATTATCTTCCAGTTCTATGGTAGCCTTTGGTGGCGCACCTTAATGGTCATCTACTTGGTCTACGTCTATGCGAATCACAGGAGAACTCACTCCATTATGGATGGCAATGGGTAGGCGCCAATAAGACTCTATAAGAACATTAAAAGCTAAAATAATCCATTATAGCTGGAAGATTAGCCGCAATAATTGGCTGTTTCGACACTATCGGGATTACTTTCCCGTGCAGCTGGTCAAAACCGCAGAGCTGCCTCCGAACAAGAACTACATTTTGGCCAGTTTCCCGCACGGTATTTTAGGGTAAGCTCATTGACTGATAGTCAATCTTATCGATGGTTGCTTAGGTGACGAAACATTTATGTACCTACTTATGCACATATTGAAACTCTGATAGGACAGGCATTTCCATCAACATGGGTCTCGACATCTCCAAGTGGCTGAAACTGTTCCCGCAGGTAAGGCCCAAGGTGGCCACTTTGGATCAAAACTTCCTGACGCCCGTTGTGCGTGGTCTTCTGAGATCTTGGGGCCTGGTATCGGTTTCCAAGGATGCTTTAGTATACCTGCTCACCAAATCAAACGATCCCAAGCACAAGGACAATCGGGATGGGTTCACCTCCAATGCGGTGGCTATTCTGGTGGGTGGTGCCCAGGAGGCACTGGACTCGCACCCTGGCAAATACATATTGACCCTAAAGAACCGCAAGGGATTCGTTAAAATGGCCATTAGAACAGGGTAGGTAGGTTCGGATATAACTAAAAGTAAGATTTAATAGTTTTCTTGCATCACTTTAGGTCTTCGATTGTGCCCACGTTTTCATTTGGGGAGGTGGACATTCTGGATCAGGTGGCTAATCCACCGAACTCTCCGGTTCGTCGGTTCCAAGATTTTGTAAAGAGGATTACGGGGATATCTCCGTTGATTCCCGTTGGGCGGGGCATCTTTAATTACTCCTTTGGTTTTCTGCCCAACCGCCGACGCATTGTCCAAGTTGGTGAGTCCCCAGCTCGTTCAAATGTCTCATACTTCCGAGACTTAAATAATGCTTTAAATATTTCAGTTGGCGCCCCAATCGATGTGGTTCAAAGCGATCAACCAGAAGCAGCCTATGTGGATAAAATACACAACCAAGTTATTGCTGATCTGGAGAAGATGTTTGCCAAGTACAAAGATCAGTACATACCGAACTCCAAGCAGGACAAGCTGATTATTCACTAGTTGAAAAGTGATTGTCTAGACAATGTGATCAATAAGTGCTTTATAAGCATTTAATAGAACAAAATTACTTATTTTATGAGGGTTTTTTAATTTGCAATAAAAGCTTTTTAAATCGACGTGCAGTGATCGTAATTTTGAATAAGGAACTATCACCAGCCAGCTATCGAAATTATTTATTTATCGATACTAAAAAGCCGTGTTGATCAACGATCAGTACACTTTGGCGTTTAATTTAAAAAAACACTGAGTTTAGAATTTTCAAAAAGGTCTTTACAGCGCAAATGTATAGACACAGCTTTATGATTAAATTCTTGTAGTACCTGTTAATCCAGTTTTACAGATTTTTAAGCCTTCAGCCTTCAGTTCAGAAGGCAATTATTTCATTATACTAGTGTTAGTAATCCGATAATCGCTTTTCGTTGCATGCAGTATAAAAATAAGCGATCTTATCACTTAACTAACTTATAAGTTAGTTTGAAGAAATACGACCCAGAGGATGAAGTGCTAATTGAATCATACTCTCTTCAAAACGGGTAATCTCATAGGAATTGCCGCATACCTTTGCACCCAGGCGGCGATTGCATGCCGACTTAATAATCTTCATCACTCCAATCGCGAATTAACATCAGACCACCCACACAAGGAACTGCTGGTTAGTTAGTTTGTGATTAGCAGGTAATGCGGGCGCCCTGCATGAAGCCGAATACCGATAAGGATAAGTATAAGTCTAATACAGGGCCATTTGACCGTCGCTGGCTTCCATATCAATCAGTCGTGGGAGAACCGTCGAAAGAGCAGCTGGTGGAATTTTTTGACATTTTGGGGACACAGCAGAGATGAAAATCGAATGGGCACCGCTTCGAGTTCCTCTGGAACGTCGAATGCAGATACTGGTCACGGCCTTCTTCACCGCCATGCTTCTGATTCTATTATCTGTTTCCTTCCTTTTAGTAGCCGGATCACTGGTAAAATAAAATCATTTAGTTATTTTCATGAGTATTACAGAACATAAGTTTCCTTTCAGATCTATGGAGGCGTTTTGGTGCGCAGCTTGATGGTAACATACTTGGCCTATGTCTTTGTGCATCACAAGAAAACACAATCTGTGGTGGATGGCAATGGGTAAGTAGAATACAAATGAAGGTCTCTGTAATTTTATATCGCTGTGTACCTCGCTCAGCTGGATGATAGCCCGCACAAACCCTTTACATCGTCACTATCGCGATTACTTTCCCGTGGAGCTGGTGAAAACAGCCGAACTGCCAGCTACTAAGAACTACATCTTGGCCAGCTTTCCCCACGGAATTCTGGGGTAAGCACTTTGACAGATAGCCAATCTAATCGTTCAAATATAAATAGACACTGATTTGTATTGTAGAACAGGCATTGGCATTAACATGGGCTTGGAAATCTCAAAGTGGCTGGAGCTATTCCCCCAAGTGCGACCCAAACTGGGCACTCTTGATCAGCATTTCCACGTTCCCTTCATGCGTGAGGTGCTCCGCTGCTGGGGTCTGGTGTCAGTGTCCAAGGAGGCGCTGATCCGTATGCTCAGCAAATCAAATGATCCTAAGCACAAGGATAACCAGGATGGTTTTACATCCAACGCAGTGGCCATACTGGTTGGAGGGGCCCAGGAAGCCATGGACTCTCATCCTGGGCAGTACATTTTAACCCTGAAGAATAGAAAGGGCTTCGTGAAAATGGCCATTCGAACGGGGTAAGTAATGCGTTGAGCATAATTGGAAATTCTATTTACACATCCTGATTTCAGTTCATCGATTGTTCCTTCATTTTCCTTCGGAGAGGTAGACATCTTCGATCAGGTGGCGAATCCACCCAGTTCCCTGCTCCGCCGGTTTCAGGACTTTGTAAAAAAACTGACCGGTGTTTCTCCGCTGATTCCTGTGGGTCGCGGATTCTTCAACTACACATTTGGCTTCTTGCCGTTCCGACGACGCATTGTCCAAGTTGGTAAGTAATATTTTGATTATTTTTGAAAGATAACTGGTAATAATATTTAAACGCCCAGTTGGTGCTCCAATCGATGTTGTGAAGAGCGACCAACCAGACTCGCAGTATGTGGACGAAGTGCATGGACAGGTCATTGAGGCCGTGGAGAAGTTATTCAATCAGTACAAAGACAAATATTTGGAGAATTCGAAGAATGCAACTCTAGTTGTGCACTAGTTTTAAGGTGTTGTTTTATTGTGGATAGAGTAGTACTATTCCATCCACTGCTTCAAATCATTTTTATACAAATATTCCAGGTTTTGAATGTAAGGCCCTTTTCAAGAAAGCAATACAGTGTATTGAAATAAAGACGAGCTTATTCATTTTATTGAAAATGGTTATCTCATTGCAGGTTGATTACACATTTAAATAAAAGTAAATAAAGACATGTGCACGCTCATCGTAATTACAATATCGTTTCAGTTCAATGTAACAATGCCTGCGTGAGTCAGCACTATGTGAATGAAGCACTCGGCTGATAAGGCGACACAGATCTCCAGTAAAACTACGACCAAATCGGGTGGATTCCTTATCGAAGAACGCACTATTGGGGCACGCACAGTGGTATGAGTGCTTTGACTGTTGCGAAGCAGCGCTAAAACGTGTGCCTAGGCATTAGGTTCTTCGAGTAAAGGTCAAGAATCGATGGTGATAGGAATGACTGTTGCCGGCACACCCATATAAACATTAGAGTAGTATGGGATTCCAAGATATGATTCAGCTCCCGTCAATTAAAAACAAGCAGTTAAGATCGAACCAATATTTACAGCCACTTAAGATCCCTTATCAGACTGATTTGACTATAATTTGGCAAATAAATCTGTGTATAACTAGCTACTTTTCGGGTATCTGAATAGTGACCCAATCTTAGTTTTTGCCCACCTAGTGTGTACTATTTAAGTGTCTAGTGTCTGGATTTAAGCAATTATCAATGGCTTATCACTTAAGTGTGGTTCTCAAACTGTTAACGACTCTTAGGGATTGCTCCAAAGAGGCGGGGCGTCATTGATAAGGATAAGTACCCCAAGTTACACCCTGGAAATTGTGTGTGCTGATACCCGATCGCTCAGTCGCTGGAAACTCGTCGAAATAGTCGCTTGTGCCGAAGATCGGTTGAATCGAACATGAAGATCGAATGGGCTCCTCTCCGAGTTCCGCTGGAACGGCGGCTCCAGACCCTGGTTACAGCGTTCTTCACCTACACCTTCTTCACGCTGCCCATCTCATCGTGTCTCGCGGTTGCTATCCTGCTGGTAATCCTTCTGTGCAAATTGCATATTAGTTGATTCAATAAGCCTAACTCGCAGATGGAACTCTGTGTGTGGAAATTAGAGGGACTAGCTTGAGTTAAAAAATAAGATAGTTCTAGCAGAGTTCCCTAAAACTATAAGTGATTTACTCTCAGATTAAATATACCTACTGAAGGATACGAATTTCATGGCAGCATACATTTCGAATTCTAATTACAACTACTTATACTGTATTTAACGAAGCACTAAAGATGTTATGTTTACTTTTATATTCCCAAGTATTACGGCGAAATGTTTGTGCGTAGTCTACTTCTTATCTATTTTGTAAAAATTTATTTGGATTATAAAAGAAATTACGGCATTATGGAAGGTAATGGGTAAGTGCTGAGTGTGGCGAATCCCGACTGCTGAAGAGATAATAGCCCTACTAATTTTCCCCATTTCCCAGCTGGCTCTTCTACCGCAGTAATAGGAGATATCGAAACTACTTCCCCGTCGAACTGGTGAAAACCGCTGAGCTGCCTCCCAACAAAAACTATATCGTAGCAAGCTTTCCACACGGAATACTTGGGTAAATTCTGAGCAAGAGATTACCATACCTTATACAATTTTTGATGGACCTCCTAGAACTGGAACTTGTATTAACATGAGCCTGGACATCGGGAACTGGCTATCGCTTTTTCCCCAAGTTCGACCCAAGATCGCCACCCTTGATCATCATTTTAAGACGCCATTTCTGCGGGACATATTGAGCTGGTGGGGCATGGTATCGGTTTCCAAGGAGTCGCTGGCCTATATACTTAGCAAGTCAAATGATCCCCAACACAAGGATAACCAGGATGGTTTCACATCCAATGCGGTGGCCGTACTGGTTGGCGGTGCCAAGGAAGCCATGGACTCGCATCCGGGACAGTACATTTTGACCCTCAAGAACAGGATGGGATTCGTCAAAATGGCCACTCGAACTGGGTTAGTGAGGAGCTCATAAATTGTTAGGATGGTTTGGTACATTCCTTTGCTTGTAGTTCGTCGATTGTGCCCTCGTTGTCCTTTGGCGAAGTGGACATATTTGACCAGGTGGCAAATCCTCCGGATTCCGCGCTCCGTCGCTTCCAGAATGTGGTCAAGAAATTCACAGGCATTTCACCGCTTCTTCCGAAAGGCCGTGGTATCTTCAACTACAACTATGGCATACTGCCCCACCGCCGACGTATTATCCAAGTTGGTGAGTGCCAAACACTTTCCGTTTACTTATAGTTTATAGCGCCAATAACATCCGCACTACTCTAGTTGGTTCCCCCATCGATGTGGCAAAATGCGATACTCCTGATCCCGAATATGTGGACAAGATCCATGGGCAGGTGATGAGCGCGCTGGAGAAGATGTTTGATGAATACAAAGAGAAGTACGCTCCAAACTCAAGGCAGACCAAACTGATAATACAGTGACTCAGTAAAATACTTCAGACTGTGATTTTTAATAGTATTTAGGAAACTTCTTAAACGCAACACAGTTTTAGACTATTGTAAAGAAAGAGCATGTTTTGTTTTTTCCTTTTATTAGTTACCAATTAAATTTGTTACCTTGTATGTACTTATATATACAAAAAGAACAAGGAGCTGGATTCTCGAATTTTGGAAAAACTTAACTTAATTTCGCATTTTGTGCCACGACGATCATTCTTAATCTCGTTTCCGAATTAACAACTATAAGGAATTGGTGCTACGCTAGAAAGAATCGATCGCGAAATTCCTTTCGAAGGTACAATTTCATTAATTTAGCAACAAATCAGTTTTCATCGATATTTTATTAGTTTTCTTTTGGTTTGGTTTAGATTTCGAATTTTATAGCTAAAGCAATAGCAATATTAGAAGGGAAACTTGGGGGAAAGATTAAGATTCAATGAGATTACTAGTTACTTGTGGATGGCTTTAAGATTTACCTACAAATATTCAAATATTACGAAAAGTATTCGTCTAAATATATACTTTTTAGAAAGGAACACTTGGCATAACTTGGATTCTCGGTTTGGGACTCTCTTTAGTAACATTTCGTTTTAGAATTTTCAATAACAGTTGAGTAAGCCGCAGGATGGGCCACCATATCTAGGTGAATCCCTATTGTTGTACTCCTGTAAGGTGGTTCTCATGCAAGCATAACTTTTGAGTACACTATTTCGCGTAATTGCCGTGATTCTGATTATTGTAGAGCTGGGAACTTAGCTTCCCCCTAGCACTCTGGTTATTTTTCCTAAATTCTGCTGGTGAGGCAATACAAAATATGTAATTGGCATAATTGTCGGACGAACTGCCTACGACATATAGCACATATGTAGGTGCCTATAAGAGCATGTCCAAAAACTATCTCACTTTGGTGTTTCGCTATAACTCTACTTGATTTCTCATTTTAGGTACTAGCCAGGCTGCCGATTGTGGTTCGAGGAAAGCGCATTTGTCGTTTATCTAAATTTCATTTCGTTCTTAATTTTTGGTTTTGGGTATTCTCTTTGTTTTCGGTTTGGTTTTTAGTTTTAAATCAATCCCTGAGTGCATTTTACTTTGCATGTAATTGCGTAGTTGCTAAATCAACTGCTGGTGTTGGCTGTGGCTGTCTTTTGGCTCTTCAACTGGTGGTGCGCAGTGGTTTGAGTGTGACTCTGGTTTCTGATTACTGCCAGCGAGTGCCATAATTGAATCGACTAATTACAATACCTATATATGTATCTCACAATTACAAATATATACGTATAGCAGTGGCGTGCTATTGGCTTTGATTCTGGGGCTTTGTTTCTTTGAGCGCAAACGGTGCATGGAAGATAAAGGGACGTGTCTCGAGTTGGAAATCTCCTGCGCCTAAACATATCATATCAAAGTTGAACATTTAACATACAGTATTCAGTATTCAGTATACAGTATACAGTATACAGTATTCATTACTTGTTATTCGTTAGGTTCTTTATTGGTGTTTTGATTGCTGGGAGGGCCTTACGGTGAGCTCTAGTAAGTATCTACAAAAGGTTCTGCAGGCACCAGCTGCAATTTTCAGCTTCTCAGAGCTTCAAAATATATGCTTCTCTGCGAGTCGAGTTCTCCTCCGTGGTTGGTTTGGTTTCGTTTAATTTATTAATTGTGTATATTTAGTATATGTATAAATACAATTGAATTATAGTACGTATGTGTGTATATGTATATCGGGGGATCAAACTGCATACGCGTTAGCTCTATTATTAATACATTAATAATACAATTTGTAATTGCAAAGATAACTAACAATATGTTATGTATACTAATTCATATATACTTTTCCCTTCCGTAATCAAGTATCAAGTACAATTTATCAATTTCATATTTAGAATAATCTTGTTTATCCGTACATGCAGGTTCACTAATCAAATTTTATTTTGTTCAGCATTGCTAACGTTTTTGGTTTCTCTTCGTATCTTATCCCACTAACGACGAGTCCTCGTCATCCACCCATCGATTTCCTACCAATATCTCAACTTTTCAACTATTTATAGCGAAATAACAAGGTTTTGTTTTGCCGATGCCAACTAATCAACTAATTTCCATGCAATTCATAAGAATGTTTTACACAATTATCTGGTTTTTGGGGCTGCCGATTTATCTTTTAGCTAATTGGTTTTGGGCTACCGGGCGACTCGGCCACTCCCATAAAAGTATGCTACACAATGTTCAACAAAACTTGCGTCAAGTCAATCGATAAACGACAACATCGAAAGTTATGCGCAAGTAAACAAATTTTACTTATCACGAAAATAAAATACGTTCTATAAAATCTATAAAAACTTCACAAATGTATCTGTGTATCTATATATATGTATGTATATGCTATGGTGGCTGCCAGCTGTCCTAGACAGCAACGATGGCCGCCATCTACGAGGCAGTCGGCACAGGATTGAAGTAATGCAGGCCATTGGTCTGTAGAAAGGTACAAAACATATATTGTAATCGCATACACATAAGGTTACTGCCTTCAATCCGACTTACCGCCATGTCGTACTCGGTGATGTAGGCGGGAATTTCCAGCTGATCCTTTGTAATGGCCGAGTACAGGTGCTCCACACCCGGAAGCGAGTGCACTTTGGCCTTGATGGCCGGTGCCATGAACGTGGTGAACCACCAGGTCATCATCTTAGTCCAGAAAGTGGGGTGCACGATGTAGAAGGCCTTCAGATTCTTCTTGTACCTATCCGAATATAAGTAGAATTTAACACAATTCCTTTTGCGAGAGGTCTCGAGATAGGAGCTCACTTGTAAGGCAACACACTGTAGACCTCACGCAGCCAGTGCAGCGATGGATAGTTGTTCGTGGATGTCAGCGTGTGGAAGTACGAGATGACATAGTCTCCTTTAACGATGGGATCCAGTAGCTTAATCAGATATAGCAAGGCCTGCAGGGCAAAAGTGTTAGTACTTGGCAATGTGCATATCTGCTTCAAAACACTTTTACCTTTTCAAGGTCAATGTTCTGGGCGGGGAACCATTTGCCGCAGAACACAATCACAGGCCGACCCAGGCGGTCCACGCCGCTCTGGTAAAGGCAGCCGATGCCGGACACTTCCGTCAAATCCTCGACTTGGGCGCGACGCAGGAGGCGCTCGTATCTGGAAGAAAACATAACTCAGCGGTTAATACCATATGGATATGGAAGGTCCCAAGAACTAATGATTCAGGTGATTAGCTAAGTATTACTTTAATCATTACACGTTAAACAAAAAGTTCAATGGTTTACCGAGTAGTGGTGCAAATTCTACGTATGTACACATAACAATATTTATATATCTCAGACATTTGATATCATCCACCTAAGATCGATTGCAAAATGGATTACACGCACGACTGCTTGTTGTTAAGATTGCTTTCGTTTTGTTTACTTTCTGGCATTTGACTTCTCGAGTACTAAGTTTTTATAACGATTATGTGAAACGCACATTGATTGGGTTGTTTGGCTAGGGCAGTTCGATCGATTATTATGTGGAGTCACGCAATTCCAGGCCATATAAGCTTATAAATATCATGACAGTCACCAGAAGCTATTGTAGAGTTGCCTTGGCCGACTGCTTGAAATTCATTTCGCTAAAAACAAAGCCGCTGAACATCATGTTTATCCGCCTGGCGAATTATTAATGCGAAAGGCGTGCTAGAGTCATGATTAAGATGGCTTGCTTTCATTAGGTTTTGGCAAATATTTGCGAGATAAAAGTACGAAATTAAAAGGGGCATAGGCGGGGGAAATGGGTCACCCAATTCGGACCGAATTTAATGTGCATTCCATGGGCCAGGTAATGAGTGTGCACTTTGCTATTAAGTATGAGTCATACAACTGCCTCAGAATCGATGTATCTAAATATATATGTATGTAGACCATTCGCGTACTCAAAGGTGTGCAAAATTTGTGTTAAAGTGATTAACAGCTTTCGACGCCACACGCCGAAATACAAACTTTCGAGCTGGCTAATTGAATGCCTCAGCCTCCGCCTCCGCCAAATGGGGACTAACATGAGTCAATTTCAGCTGACTTAATGCTGTGAATTAATCGGGCTGAGATGTGATGTTTTGCAACCTCATGTCGCAGTAAACTCCGGTAGCAGCAACCGATAAGCCGTTTACGACTGCGGAGAGATGACCAGATAATGGGCCAGATAGTGCTCAAATGTGACGCATTGTGACGCAGTGCTAGGCAACTCAATCTCGATCATAACCTCATAATCGGTGTTTGCCCAGCTAAAGATACAAATACAGCTTCAGCTGCGGATGTGGATGCTGGTAGATTTGGTGGGTGTTGCCCCCTGAATGTGATTATCGTGCGAAATATACAATGAATATTAAAGCGCAATGCTAATCCGCAGAATAAATCTCACACTTTAACAAGTCAGTGCCGCAGAAAAGTAATAACATTATTATTAGATCACATTTCGTGCCATCACACACATCGCATGTGTGTACTCGCTGGCACGTACGGAGAAACAAGGCCGAAAGGTTCTGGGGTTCTGATTAGGTTCACTTGCGGTGGGCGAACGGGTGAAGGTTGCATGGGTGGTGCAACAGCCAGTCAGGGCCGAGCTGCACGGCAAACTAAAGGATGCCCGAGTCTAAAAATAGACTTTGTGGCAACTGCAGAGGGAAGAGTGCAGCTGTAACTAATTAACTGGTGCAACTGGAACCTATTCAACTGGAAAACTACATAGATTTTCATATTTGGTATAGGGAACCTGCTTCGTTTTATGAGATCAATTAATTTCCCACTCCCGGTAATTCAGTCTTTATAGGCATAAAAACGAAGCCAATTTATCAAAACATGTACATATTTCTGATCTTCATGCCATTAAATGATTAATTTTGATCATAACATTAAATATTTTCATTTAGATTTAGACTCCTAGCTTTATGTATCTGACAGTTATTGAATCGAACTGGAGCAGTAAGGCCGAAGTGCACTCCTATCCACCGCTGACGTCATTAAATCCTTGCCAAGGAGCAGTTGCTTACGGCCAGGAGGCGCGGGTGGGGCTGTTGATAGCCCGTTCGACTCCGTGACTGACACATCGCAATACCCTGAACCCCTCCACGCCGACTGGCGAGGCCCTTACCTTTCCTCCGGCGACTCCATGAGCTCATCGGGGAGGACGTCGTTCATGTCGCCCGTGGTTTCTTGCATGGGACTGGAGCCCAGGTCAATCGACGTCATGCCTTCTAGCATTGTCATAGTTCACTGTGCTTCGGATGGGCTTTATTTGTGGATGTAGTTGTAGTTGTTGCTGGTTTCGCTGGTGGGTGGCACTACTAGCTGTTCCCTTTGAGTTCGTCGTTCGCCTCTCGCGCACAATTACGGTATATCGATTTGAAGTCAAAATAGAAATTGGGTTTTTCAACGATTAACTGTACGTTTTGATTTGCTGGCTGCTGTTTTCGAACCGATTTAGCATTCAATTGACGCAAAATGGACTGTTTTTTCCTTTCGCCAAATACTTATAAATAGTTCAGGGTGTTTTTCTCCGTTAAATAATACGTATGTGCGGGCAGCGAAGTGGCCAGACTTTTGCGTTGGTCGGAAGCGGCTCGTGGAAATGCGAAAATAGAAATAGTTTTTGCCTTATACTTTCAGCTCTTAGGTCGATGCGATTTTATGGATTTATCACCGATTCCTATATAGAATTGGCGCCCTCACGGATATATATCTCAGTGCACGTCCGTTCGCCGCGAGTAGAGCTTTTCGAATGAGCGAGTTGGCGGCGAGTGGGGCTGCTCTTGAATCTTTTTCGCCGCCACAGCAGCCGCGAAGGAGCGTGGGAAAGGCAGCGGTGGAGAGAGAGAGAAAGACGCAGTGGCGACGTCGCCGCAAGCTTTTGCTCCCGCTCTCTCCCACGCGCTGATGCTGCACAGAAAGAAAAGCTTACACGACTTGCTGAATCATATTACTTTGAAATAGCATTTTAATCGGGATTGCATTACAAATCCAAACCAAATGAACCCCTGTGTGAATTGCGCTGAACATAAAATACCGTAAGTATAATCGTAAATTTCAAATATCTTCAAAAAATTTTTCCCACACAATCAAACGTTTGACTTGCGCATTTGATATCAAGCTGGCTTTTCTACCAGTGTACGCTGCTCGGGAGAGAGTTGGAACGTTCTCAATTTTGGAGTGTGCGCCCTTTTCGCCTCTCCATGGCAAGCAGTTACAACAAAATTGCCCAGAAGAGCAGAAACCGTTAGAATCAGGGCTGCACCAACAACAACCCAAGGACATCATGCTAGCGGCTTTATTTGCACTAATGTCAGTCGGGCTAAAACAAAACTGTCCAAAAATGAAATCAGTTCAAATGTTTGCGTTGTCAGTTGGCAGCTAAATGCGCAAAAAACGAACACACGAATGCTATTTCGGTTCATCCACCGACCACCCACCGCCCACTGCCCACCACTCACCCACACTTGCACATTCAGTGGGAAGTAGAGGCGTATGCGTGCAATGTGCAACATTTCCAACGGAATGGATTGTTGAAACAAAGCGGTTAGCATAAACAACAGTACTCTTGACTCATGGATGTGCGTAAACAATCGTACAACTGTACATGGAGAAATAATAAGATCAAAACCATTTCAACATGTTCGATTTATGGGATCATTACTCAAATAAAAATAAAAAATAATATAATGTGCTTAAACATTATAGAAAAAATCATTTTCAAATCGACCTCAAATTTAAATTAGAGATTGTACTTTCCAAAATGCAATAATAACTGTATAGCTGAATGATAACTTATTGCTAATAAGGCTTAAGTATTATAAATTAGTTTCATATATCATCTAGCTAATTTCATATTTGCATGTTTACGTCTAAGTGAGACTCGATGACCTCAGAATGAGCTAAAAAAATGAACTGCGAATAAAAAACCATAATCAATAATTAGATACCCCATAGCTAAACAACAGGGCTTTAATAAAATAATTAGTTGTATGAAAGTAATACAAAAAATAAATCATATTTTCTGCATGTGCCGGAATGACCTCAGACTGAATTAAATTGAACGCGCAAGAGAAGAGGCGCCTGCACAGTGGGGTGCATTCCCCCCGCACGCACACAAAAAAGGCGAGTGACAACGGAAAACTGGTCCAGGAAGCGGCGTCCAGTTGTCACTACCCATGAATGCTACTGAAATCGGTTGAATAAATTAAGTTGCCTGAGAGATGTTGCATTTAAATGTATACAAAATGTGTGCACGGCATTTGTGCGGTTTCATTCAATGAACTGCAACGGTTCGATATTTTGATTATATAGCCACCGGCCGATCCGGTTACCAGCAAACTCACGAGATTCCCACTTCGATCGAGCTGTCACTCAAATTGTTTTAATTAGGGTAGTCGACAATATTTGGAACAAGTATGCATCAAGTTAACGAGTGATTCGAATGGTTAACATTTACATTTATTTTCATATTCATATTTATTTCTATATTTTATTCATCTCTTCATTATTTTATATCTTCTTCGAATTTCATGCATATTTATTTTAAAAGTGTATCCCTAAAACGTTATATTTTGTTTCAAAAGCTTAGTTCCAAGTGAGCACAAATTATCTCCGCTAATAAGACCATTTATAAATATTCATAAATATTTACCTCTAATCTTTTTTACGAATAAAACGGCAAAATAAATATTTTTAATGCGATAAGAGTGACTTTGGGGGATATCCTATATGATATTTCAAAGAATAAATATGAAATATAAGGCCTGAGTTTATTAGAAAATATGATGCAGTTGTTTCAAGTGTCACAACAAAAAATAGTGAACTCTTTTTTTAGACCTCTCACAGAGTTGTAAGTATTCATTTCAGGCGGTTGTGAAGATTTCACGCAAACTATGACGCCACAGTGCTTAATATTCCTACGTCACAGTTGGCGTCACAAGAAGAAGGTCACAAAACACTTGGCCAGTCCAATTAGTATTGTGCAGGACGATGGGCAAGCTCTTTCCGCTCTCCACTCAATTCAATTTTAGCCAGAAACTGAGCAGAGCTACCGGATTGCGTGCCAGGGACCTCTAAAATTTCGACAAGCGGCGGAATTTACATAGGGGAAAGGCATTTGCTAGACGGTTAAGATATTTCCGGCATGCTCCTGTAATAAAAAAGCTAGAGGAAGGCTCGCTGACGAGGTGTTTATTGGAGGAGCACGAACGGGAGGGCCATTCGTGGGCCAGCTTGTACTAACGCGTGCCACTCACACACACCAGGAAATTAGGTGACGCAGTGCGTCAAATGGTATCATAAACGATCAAGTGATAAACTAGTTAGACTTGGGAGAAATAGGAAGATATGCGTATGTATATAATCAAGGGATCAGTAAATCAAACTCGAATAAACTCCACTTAACGTCAAGGAATTCAATTCTTTCTATGGATGTTGCTTTCTAATCAGAATATTCTATTTTAATCTACATTTAATTGTATATACCCAATAATACCCAAAGTCTGCGGTACAGAAAAATGTACTTATAAAATTCAAATGATTCACCATTAAAGGTATTTTTAAAAAATTTCACTTCTAGTAATGTTTGCCTATAGCTTGTTTACTTTCTCGATTAAATGCTAATGAGAATGTGAGTAAACAGAACTTTCTGTGCTAACATTTTAAAGCGATATTTGCCAAAAATAACATAATATTCTACGTAGTATGCTGGAGAAGAGCTATTATTAAGCAAGTCGCCACATTTAAAACGAGAAAGTTAAACACAAATTATCTATCTAAACTGTCGTTTGGTGGCAGGAGAATTAATGACTTACCTTTCCTGGTGCTCAATGCCCTCTACTCCCTCGGAAATGACATTCTCGTAAACTCCAGTGCGTGGGCGATCACTGAGCAGGTGCTGCCGGTCCAGATCGCGCTGTTTTGGGAATGGAAATCATCAATGAATTAGCAAATCAACGTCGGTTCGGGTTCTTAAATGCGACTCACCTGAAGCTGAGCCTGCAATCCGCTGCTGTACGAGTTCAGGCTGAGGCCGTTCATGTCCCGAGCTCCGTACTCCAGATCCGAGCTATTGCCCTCCATGTCGTGTGGACTCACGTCTGAATCGTCGTCGGCTGAAGGAGATAAAATATGGTTAATACTATCATTTATTCATATCTATTAATAAGCATGCTTGCACGTATATTATATTATAATGTTTTCTTTCTTCGTGATTAGATCGAGAAGACGGTTCAAAAGTTGATGTACGCAATATTTGACGCTATCTTTATCGAACTGAAACTAGGAACATAGGGAGTTTTCTTTGTATTTCATTTGTGGTGTTGTGGCTTATGGTCTTTACACGAGAACTCAAACGAGTTGTTTATCATTCTGCGCTGGATTTCGGCTTGGATATGGATTTTGATTATCCCCGCTGAGCAAACGCTTTCTGTAATCTGCGAACTTCAGCGCTGCGAAATGTGAGTTCAACTGAATGCCAGCTCTGGGCGGTTGAGGCGGCACAGCAGCGGAGCGGATAAACGCAAGAGCGTTGAGCAAAACTGGATGCTGCCCCTGCTCTCCCCCTCCCCCTAAGCTCTCGCTTTGCATCGCTCTCGGCAGCTAAATGATAATGCTGATAACACGGCTGAGACGACATGATTTAGGCCCGGAACGGAACTTGGCCAGGCCAAAACACTTGAGTGACACTCCTCATGATAAGCGCGGCCAGAGTAAGTTAACTAACTTTGGCTGATAAGCCAACTTAGGACGAATGCGAACGAATGTTCGCTTACATGTTCAAATAAGAAGATGTAGTCCAAGATTAACTAATCAACATTTTGCGGGATTTCAGGGGGTTATTAGGTAAGATCTGATTATGCATTTTAGTAATGGTATATTATTTTGATTACTATATAAATTAAAAGGAACCCAATCTCCAAATTTGATTGGAACTTTTTGTAAGTCAGTAACAGATATGCAATATACTGATTTCTCAATTCTCAATATTTATTCCAAACATTAGTTTCAAGTAATACAAATTGGATCAGACAATATAGTAAACAAATTATTATATTTGTAAACATCACCAAAAATAAATGTGCCAAGGTCAAATCTAATTAAAGCGAAATTCATTTCTTAGAAGCATTCGTTTAAAATGACAGTTGTTACACATTAATTTAAACAATTATTGAAAAATGGTTACCAGCAAACCACAATCCAAATGAAGTGTATTCTTTCCCTAAAAAATGCACTTGTAGAATAACAATAGAATTTACACGTTCACAAATATAAATGTATCCGAAAAGTATGCAACGGAATATATTCCGATTCTTAGCACTTAGCTTCTTGTCACTTAGCACAGTAACTAGCTAAAGATACTTTTTACTCTTGCCTGGATTTATGGCACATATTCAAAGTAAGCCTCGTAAGTCTCTGCGTGGAAACACTTACAAACACGTTGGATGGTTTTCAGGTTTGGCGTTATGAGTAGGGTGGCCCAATTACCGAAAACTGGCGACTTTTGCCTAACCAATCGAATGCAACTATTGCCAAGTGACCCGCACTCGACCGACTTTGCAACGCAAATGAATCCATAGAAGTCGAACGGCCAGTCATTTTAGCAGACCAGCGAATTTCTCGTATATTGCGCTAGTATTTCACGCGTTTTTCAGTTGTTTCATTGCTGTGTTCCTATCTTATCGACAGGCAACAAAGGAACTTTATACCTCATGTAGAATCATTGCCATGATGATAGCCGTCTTTATCATCGACAGCCGATTGATAAGCCGCCAGTGGCGAAGCAGTGACGAAAGCAACAATCGCACAGTTAAATGGGCTATGTGATCTATAAAAATGATCTTAACTACAAGATACACTACTATTTTGATAGGAAAAACACTCTGCGCGTTTTATACTTTCAGTTCTATAACAAAATATATATGTTTTATAATGACACATCTGGGATCAAAGGCCCAAGTTACTCATATGTGCTATTGTGTTACTCACCTAAGCGATGACGCATGTGGACACTGTGCTGCGGATTGCGGATGATCCGTATCTGGCGATCGGGGTCCGGATGTTGTGGCTCCCCGAACTCGCCGCCAATGTCCTTGGGCAGCTGCCACAGGGCACTGCGCTCCTCCAGCTGATCCCTGGGGAAGTACAGTGGAGCCAGGACCTCGTAGGTGCCGCGCTCGCTGCTGCCCACGCACAATATCACAACCTGGAGGGTGCACTTGTCCAGATAGCGACGGATGGTACCTGCAGATGGGTTTATAAATTTTGATCAGTTTGAGACCTGGGTGAAGTAAATACTTCATTAGGTACTAACGCAGAGCAATGTGGGCTGCCACATCCGCGGGAAAGCTTTTCTGGTGGGCACTGATGTTGCACAGGGCGATGGTGTGCAGGTTCAGTTCCTTCGCCTTGCACAGGACGTTTCTGTAAAGAGGAAACCGCATATTAAATTACCACTGAAGTTTATTTATAATTAAATATACTTATTCTAATATGCCGTTGAGTAAATACTTTGTCCTCTTCATTACAATAAGTGAAAGCTTACAATTTCTGTATTAAATATTTGCTCTATTAGCGCGAAAGTTTGTGGGTTTTATGATTTTCTTAAAGTATCGTAGAACGATTAGTCATACAAAACTGACAAATTAACTTGCTAATGTAATTACACAGTCGCTTTTGCACTATCAATGATTAATTTCCTACATTTTAGAATAGCTTATGATTGAATCCTAATTAAAATTTTAATGTAATCTCTTGCTAACTCAATTAACTAAATAAATATATGTGTTAAGTATAAAATAACCTGTAGCAGCAATGCAGCGTGTTCTCGGCCGCAGTCTTGAACTTTTCCCTGTAGGCAGGTGCCACTGTATGCAGCACGTACTTGGCGGGCAGATTGTATCCACGCGTGATGCGCACATCCCCAGTGCGGCATTCTAAGTGGGAGATATTTCAGATATTATATGGCATTGGATGCGTGCTGCAGACCCAACTTACCTTTAACCGTAGTGCTCAGCTCCTCGCGCAGCTGGTTACCAGCCACTGCGAAGATGCGCTCCGATATGCTATTGCTTTCAGTCAGAGTCTCGTCGCTGGTGTTTGTGATGGCGTCCACTTCCAGAGTGGTCATGTCACCATCCCTGGGAAAGCAAAGGACAAACGTTTTAAAGAATTTATGAAAGAATTTTAGAAATTGCTGATATTGCAGTGAAACTGATGTAACATAATCGGTATAAGTAAAGTCTGATGACATTAACATCTTTATATATAACATCAAGCCATTCATCATGATTTTTCAAAATAAAATCTCAGACGGGTCTAGATTTGGTCAGGCCTGCTATCATTTAGTAGGTACTAACCAGATTACAAAGCGATTGTTGACATCTTTGCACAGTGGAAAGGGACTGCGATTGTGCCGGGGTCCGCCCAGATTGGAGTAGTCCGTGATCGGCAGCCGTGTGTCTGTTTTCTGTGAGCCACCCCAGGTGGCCAGGTTATCCAATTTGACGGGCTAGAGGTGTGAATATTGAGAGCCGCTGTTCAAGGCATTTACTTTGGATCACTTACACATGAGCTTGAGCTGGATTCGAATGCCTTAAAGTCCACATTTGAGTTCGTGTCGAGACGCATTGCTCTGGAATAAAGAAACCAAAAGCTGTAGTTAGTAATTCGACCATCAATCAGTTTTCAACTGGCTAAATTTAGTTCTCCCCAACGTAACCTGTTCTCCGCCGTTCCCATTTCGGTCGGTGAATTTGTTTACAATCAACTCGCTGTCCGGCTTTAGCCAGTTCCATCTTGTGTGCGTGGGTATGGTGCTTATAAAGCTATCTGGGCGCCCAGAACTCCGCGGATGATTCACCAATTGTGCCGAGCAACACCTCGCATTCTCCCAAAACCCATTTTGCTACCCCTGAGAGGGAGGGCACTGAATGAGATCTATAAATATTTGCGTTCTTATTGTCATTGTTAGTTGTCATCACGTCGACGGAAGATCTTAATTCGCGGGTAAACACAAAAACTTGGAAAAGCTGAAAATGTATTCCGTGGAGGGAGCGAGATAGGGCTGCAGTAGTGCCAGAGCTCTAATATGTTTTCCAAAGTGAGAAGCTATTCAAGATATAGTAAGCCTGGTTTCTATTGACAATAAATATTGATAAATTATTCGAGGAATATTTAAATAAGATATTTGGTGTGCATTTCAACGATATTCTAAGCAGGCACTCTACGGTTTTTGCCAATTTTTATTTGATAGCACATCGGAGGCAGTCGCTGCCCATCTCTGACTAAATGTCGTAATGCAAGGACGGCTGCAGTGAAAGCCCCCCATCCCCCCTTCTACTTCTCACCTGCTGCATGTGCGTCACGAGCCAAGTGAATGGTGAAAACAACAGCAAAAACAAAAACGGCAAAAGCAGCAACTAAAACGCTGGCGAATGCAAACTGCAGCTGCGCTCTTAATTGCCATATCAAAACGCTTCAGGGCGGACCGACTGCCACGCCCACCAGTTGAGCCCGTCGAACTTTGCCCTTTCCTCCCAGGCTCCCAGGTGCACAGAACAGAACAGCACAGATGAGGACCCTTCTCCAAACGCACGCCCAGGTGGGGGATGTGACCCAAATTGGCCCTCTAGCGGCTATATATAGCGCCGCCCAGATCGCGTCTATTGTCTTTTTGATGTGTGTCGAGTGCTACTATCGTCACACAATGCAAAACTTTCCACAGCCACTAGCACTTGGGTAAACATCGTCGATTTCAAGGAAATATCTGTTATCATGAATGGATGACGGATTTCTAGAATTAAATACTGATCTCAACGTCCCACGAAGAAGATAAACTAATTTTGGATAACTAATACGTCGAGGCTTTTAAATCAGGCTTTCCTCTTTGAAACAATTCTCTTCGCTCATTTAGTTAATAGGAAATGTGTCCTGATATTTGTGCAATATTCGAATAGTAATAAGCAAGCCAGCTTTTTGCACTCAAATTCAGTGGGTTACTTTTAAGAAGTTGTAGATACATATTTCCTATATATTACTTATACGCTATTATAACTCTTCATCATCATCGTTATTGGATTGCAAACTGCCTTACGAATCTATTATACCCCTAAAACCCAGATTGAGCAGCACCTGTCCAATCTAAATTGGCATCTTAAACCCACACCATTAAAGGGGAAGAATCTTAAGCCAGATAAGAAGGTTGGTAAACAAAGAAGAGATACTGCTGTGGCTTCCATACTGCCGGATGGGTTCCATTGGGGGTGTTCCTTAAATGGAAGCACCAGAACGCCATTCTAATTGCCGGATCATCCGGCAAATAGCAATTAGCCACACATTCAAATGTCTCTAATGGGCAACCGAAGATCTGAGAGGCAGGGAAAGTGATAGAGCTTACGTGATCGTTTGTTGTTCATATGGTTGCATAAGATTTTCCCTCCTATTTGTTTCGTTTCTGGGAGAGGAACACCCTGTATACAAGTCCGACTGGTCTAACCAGCAATCAGAATTGACAAATATTTTACAGCTTGTTTGCTTATGGTCGTTTCTGTTGTTTTTGCTCTAAGGTATAATGGCCAACAGAAATACGTAAATTACGTCTCAGCTCAGTTGGCTTTTGATTAGCTCCGCAGGTCAACCACCCACTTCCTCCCCGTCTCGCTTGTGAAGAATGCAAACAAACAAAGTGCTACAAAGTTGACATGTATAGATAGTAGTGACGAAATAGCTCCGAATTTGGTCATCCCCGGGTTTTCTTATTGTGCTGGCTTGCTCATTAAATAAATACTTATAACGTGGCGATATTGAGGTATTTCATAAGAACGTAATAATGAGCTCATTCAAAAAGTCATACGCCATAATTTTATACTTAAATATATTGGCTGAGCTTAGGATTAAATACTTTTTGAACTATGCTAACTAGGCAATTCAACAAAGTGCCATATCCCACTTCCGGTTTACACTTGGAACGCTTAAATCAGAACCAATGACTTCCCAGGCTGGCACTTTTGAATTGTTTTTCCCGTCTGCTGCCAAGAGATACGTTTTAAGCTGCAGCATGTGGTTGCCAGTGGCGGACTGGGTTCTGGCCGATAACTGGCTTTGCAGTTATTCCTTGTATTGCATTCAGCTTGAGCTATCACTGCCAAGCCACCCACACCACCCACCAACCACCACCCACTGGCTAAAGTCCAATGAGACTCCCAAGTTTTCCTTCGCTTCGCCTCGCCTTGATTTGTCTTGCCAGTTTGCGTGCCCGAGTCAATTACATTATTTCAACTGTGCTGCATGACATGAGTTCCAGCTCCCTGCTCCACCTGCTTGTCGCAGAAGTGGGTTCAGGGGGAACTGTGCACAGTTGCAGGAGGAGGCAAACAACTTAAATGTAAATATCGCAGGGGCAAGGGTCATCCGCGTATATTGGTTCAATGATACGAAAATCTGTGAAGGTTATTGTCTTTGCATGGAAAAATTGCAAAAAATTGGTAAGGCAATAAAGAATACAGGAGACAAGCAAATTGCCTTCCAGATAGACGACAGTTTAAGATCAATAAGAGGTAAAACCTACATTATACAACTTGTTTACTATTGAAATGCAGTATGTTTTGCCACCAGCGCAGTATAGTACTTACATATGCATGGGTACATGTGGCACTATTGATTGCATAGTACATACATACTATATATTGTGTTAGATAAAAGCAATTAAATGGAATGGCTATACCTACAAACAGCACCTTTATATACACAGGATTGGAATTCAGTATATCTGCCCCGCTCTCCAGGGTACTTTCCAGTCGGACACCGAAAAATCATAGAATAAATGCGAAGGGGGAGTCGCCACCCGCTCCAATTTGGGCCAAAAAGTGCTGGTAGCAACTTTGTTTACGCTGCACGCTCAATCCGCCAAACTGTTGCATAATAAATGCGAAATTGTCGCCCACATGCCAAGGCCTTCGCTGAGCCGGGCAGGTTCCCAAAAACAAGGCAGAAACAGCCGAAAATACATACAAAATACTTGGCTTCAGTTGGCGTTGGGGGCATGTAAAACTACAGGAGCCCCAGTAGCATTGGCACTACATCGCCGGAGCGCCGGAGTGGGCAACGTATCCAACTGGGCTGCGCTTGGCACGGACCGAAACCGAACATGCAGAGTATGTATACGCCGTGTGTGCGCTCCGTACGGGCTGCACGAGGTTGTTGGCATTGTCCTTTGCCTTCTGATCTCTGGCCCGGAGAACAAGCCGAACGAGGTCCCCAATCCCAGAGGCAGCAAACAGTGCCAGGCGGGAAGCGTTCCGCTTTCCGATTTGTGTATCTTGCAGTCAGCGTCGCCCAAATATTTGCTGTTTATATTTATTTCGGATGCGTCATAGGCGAGGTCTAACCTCGAGCTATAGCTTCCCAATCATTGGCTATTAGATTGGGCGACTCTGGGCCAAGTTCCACCTGACGTCAGCGGGATTAATTTCCCTCGGCCATTGTTGAGCGCAAATTGCAGCAATTTTCTCGGCATTATCTTCGACTAAATTGTGTCGAATTGTCGCGCAGCTCCAAGTAATAATTATAATATGCAGTAGTCAGCTGCGCTCTTCTTCCGACGAAACAGCAAAGCGAATGCATTTATATAATGGACGGTATTAAGTGAATGGCCAAATGCCCTGACAAAGGTCTCATTCAGCGATTGTTGTTCTGGTCGTGCCTGGCCAGCTCCAATGACCCCAATAAGCTGGCCGACTACCCGAACAATAACTCCAGCTTGATGCGGCCTGGTTTGGGGGAAATTACATTTCTATTAGGGAAATTCCACACACAACTGTGTGCTTATGTGTACACACATTGTGCGGCGGCAAATGCTAAAACGCTTATTAATAATTGTCGGTTTTTATCAAGCGGGCACGCACAGTGGAGCAAGATATGTGCATACGGGATACGGATTATGGCAAAACTGCAATGCATCTATCTATCAAGTTTCCTACTTCTTTTGGGATTCTTAAATCGCATCCTGCATCATAAAGGGGAAATCCCTATCATGACAGATCTATGCTATATAGCTACAATGACCCAATATTTTAAGCCTCTTTAAGCTGATTATGTTTAACAACTTAATATTCTTATGTAACTGGCAACCCAGCTATTAGATAATATCGCTCAGTGCTTTAAAGCAAAAGATTGTTAAGTAAACACACAGAACAGGCACAATAGCTGGCCGTAAATATTTAAGAGCCCATTTGAAACTTTAGGACCGACTTTGCCTAGTTTCTGGGATTTTGACTAAGCCCGCGAGCGATTATATGGCCATGGCGACTGCCCCGGGCCATTTCAATATCGCCTGATAATTGGGCTGTGCTGGCAATTAACTGCGACCCCGAGGGATCCAGTGGGCCATGCAGCTGGTTTCGATGATGACTTGAGCGGCTGACAGGCGGGAAACCCGTCGCAACTGCACTCATATTTGATATTCAGCACAGCAATCCATGGAGGAGGAAAAGCCAGTTTTTGGCGTCCGGTCAAATGCCTCGCCACTCGCTTAGTTATGTATTTTCGCATAAATTTCTAATGCATTCGCAATTGATGTTGCAGCACGTACAAAGTTGTGGAGCGGCGGGTGGGAAAATGGTTGGGAAATGCTCGGAAAACGGGGGGCGTTCGTTAGGGTGGCCCCAGGTATGTAAGTGTTCTTGGTGAATAAACCTGTCACTGAATGAACTTAACGGAGCTCGCTACTAAACCGAAATCATAAATAATTAGTGGTATGGCCGAGAAGTGGAAGTTGCACAAGCTCGGCTCTTGAAGGTTATTTCACTTTTTTGTTTCTTATTTTGTGAGTGTGTGCGCGTGTCTCTTCGTAATTGACTCTGTATTTGTGTTTATATTCACCCTCTCGTTACAAAAAAAATGCTTTTTGCTTGCCACAGAAATAAAATCAAAATGCTGTTTATTGTATAATCGAGACCTTGTTTTTGCCTGCTTCCTTTTGTTTCTATTCGTTAATTCAGTGATTATTATTTCTCTTTTTCGGAAAATGCACACACAACTTTTTCGAAACGAAAACACCAAAAGACAACACACACACACACTCACACGCGGATGCGTGGGCAAACACTCACAGATACTGCGCACACACACACACGCAGATACTCCGTTTACCGTTAAGCGGACGAGGGGCGGTGGGAGTGAGATAAAGGAAAACGCGCTAGTTGGTCGACGGTGGTAGGCGCGGCGGTTATTCAGGTAACTCTCAGTGAGAATGTGTGTGTGTGACGGTGTGTTCGCCTGAGTGTGCTTGCCTGGCTGCGCCTGTGTGCGTGTGTGTATATTTGCAATCCAAAGTTTACGGGCTTTACGCACTCTGTTCGTCGATCAATGAATCAAACTCCAACTCCAGGTAGCAGCTTTTATCACTCCTCCTCTCGCACGTTTCGCTCAGTGTTCTCTGCGTTCGATTTCAGCTCCTGTGTGTGTTAGTGTGCCGTGTACGTGTGTGTTTTTGGTGTGTTGCAAGCTTCAGTTTCTCGGTTCAAATCACTTCTTCTTCTCTTTCTCGGCCACCGTTCGCCTGAAATCCGCGTTCGACACTGAAGTTGGAGAAAGCTTTCGGCCCAGCTTTAAACTTTTGACTGCTCCGAGCAGTGGGACCAGATGAAGTTAACTTGATGGTGCTAATTTAGCCTGCAATATTTTTAAGTAATAGCAAAGCTAACTGTTATGAAAAATTAAGCAAACATGTTTAAAATATATTTGTTTTTCGCTCTCACATTTTTTGGGATTAACATTACGAACATTTCTTCGTTTGCGCCAAAATTATTCTTAGTAGCTCTTCTGAAAAGGGTTAAAATAAAATAAACACAATTTACAAGCTAAACATAGCTTTTCAATTGAAAGAAAATTAAATGTTTATTTTTAACAATACCTTTTTTACAATTTTATTTTATTTCAATAGGATTCAACAAATCACTAGGCTAGTTCTACTTAATACCACTATGTTAAATAAATGTAGATATAGCCACCTCCAAAAGCTGGCTGCTATATAGCTCAAAACTCTCCAAAAGTAATCCGCGCGAATATTTGATTTTTGATAACTTCAATACGTATACTTGATGTTTAATAACTTGGACGCGGACACCTGCTTTTTGATATCATCAGTGCCCATTTAAGAAAATAGTTATTTATTAATGTGTATTTTTGACACTTCATTGCTTTACCTTTCTAGGTGCGAGTAAATCCAATTAGACGGGCTTAAAGAGCAAGATATGCTTAATACCCATTGCTAGGAATTCTTTATTAGCTAGGCAAGTACTCTTTAAGTCATTGGCTCATCTGCATGGACGTATTGTCTATTTTCGACTCACTTAGTATCTTCTCAGGCACGCGAAAAACTCTTTGGGCCATTAAAAAGTTAATCAAAATGCATAAATCACCAATATACACATTCCGTCTACAAAGTCGCTGCCGCATGGCTATCCATTCACCTGCGGCCAATGTGTATTTGTCATATTTTTCCACTTTTCAACAACTTCATAGACCCGCTCCGGGTCATATAACATGGACGCTAGAGACGCTACACGAGTGCAATTGGTAGAAAACTTATACAATTACCCGAAAAACACATGCGAATTAAATTTTACAAAAAAGTGAAACCAGCAAAAGAAGCGAAAGCCAGCCGGCTGCAGATGAAAATGAAGATGAAGTTGTCGAGGTTGAGGCTGTCTTAAGTAGGAGTCGGAGTCGTAGTCGTAGTCGTAGTCGGGATCCCGTCCCACTCCCAAGATGCATTGCGGCGGGTCCCCAGCTCCGCTCGCTCGTAATCGGCAGATGTTAGCCATAAAATTGGAAAGGAGGAAACAAACAGTTGACCATTTTATTCCATTCCATTGGCCAACTGGTTATGGATATGGATGGCGAATCTGCCAACGAACTTCTCGTGCTCCAGCCAGCCCCAGGTTCCAAGTCCCATGTCCAAAACCGAGAGTGATAAATGCTCAAACGGATTTATATTTTTGTTTTTTGTATATTTTTTTGTATTTTTCGTCGGTTTTATACTTTTTAGGTATTTTTCTTTGTTTTTATTGAAATTCCTTAGATCGCAAGAAGCGCACAGAAGTAATATGTATGGTAATTGTTGTATATGGTATAGATATAGATACATTATTATTATTATCTTTTATATATATAATGTAATATGTAAGTAATATTTATATATTGTTTGTGTGTGGTGTATGTGTGTGTGTGTTGTCTGCTTGTGGGGTATATGTGTGCTGGTATAATAATTAGATATACATAATTAAGTATATATATTATATACAAATCTCAATGGATTCTTGATTGATTTGCTTGAATTTACAATTATATCTGGTATCTGTATCCGTATCTGGTATCTTTATCTTTATCTGTATATGTAGATGTATAAATTTAATATTACACGCTAGAGATATTTCAAAATATGTCCTCTTCTCTACAGGCTTATCCAACTAACATACAGCTAAGTAATATATATGTGTATATATCTATATATTGTATTTTATTTTATTGTATTGTGTGTAAAAACACAATCCGCCCAGCCCAGGCTTTAGCTAAAGGACCCAAATATGAAATAAACCTCTTCATTGCAGTTGGCAAAACCAAAGAATTCCGACAGAACAGATCGTCCTTCTGTTTCTGTTTCTGTTTTTTTTTTAGTTTTCTGTTGTTTTTGGTTTAGATTTTGATTCAGTTGTAGAGTTCGGTTTCAGTTTCAGTATCAGGTTAACTCGTTTTAAAGTTTGCACTAAGTAAAATGTTTTGCAGATTGCAAATTGGAATACGTTGGCTTTGGACCTTGTCGAATATGCATATAGATAATCTGGATATATACACATACATACAGCGTACATCGTACATTATGTCACAATGTTTAAACTAAAGTTAATACATAAATTCAAAACACAAGTTCAAGGTTAACATTATACAAAAGTGTGTAGTTGGTAGACAATTCTCAAAGTTATCAAAGAATGCACACGGAGAGGAAACATCGTAAACTAACCATCATCCATCGTCATCCACGTCCACTCATCTTCGACTCGTTTTTTTTTTTTGTGGACCATTTGTCTTTCATTTGTTGTGGATATAAATATATATTTATGGTTGCATATAAGTATATATTTCTTAGTCGCTTGTGGTATTTTGTTGCAATTGCAAAAAGAGAATTACACATTAATCTAACATTTCTTAATGCTTTTCGAAGAATATTAATATTTGTTGTCTAGAGCATATCTATATGATGTCTATATCAGTTAAACATTCATAAATTATCACCCAGCTGGATTTAACAATTCACTCAATCAATCAATCATTCACATACATATGTTGCTGTTGTCAGGACACACCGAAAATATTCTACAAAATATGACATTTCTCATTGTTTCGTTCAGAGATTTTGTTTTACACTTTCTACACATTCTACTTTTCTACTTTAAAATTTATTTCGTTTAACTTTGCTTTGTGGATTGAATTTCATTGAGCAACTTCTGGTACACCAGACAAATATATATCCTCTACACTTGCGAATCCTCGTCCACATATTAATTTGACTAATATTTACATATCATCGCTTTAAATTATCATTTCAGCCTGCAATTAGATTGTTGCTTGGAATTTCTAGACTGGAACCCAAAACGCCGCCTTCGTCTGTTGCACTTGGCATACAAAAAGGTCAATTCGAAATTAACGTGCTATATGCATGCCGTATTTTCTGATCATTTTTATAGGTTTTGTGTGTGTCTGTTTATTAAAAAATACAATGATAGGTGTGGGGGATATGTGGGTCGGCAAATCCAAAATTACATTACAAGTTTGGGCTTTTGGGTAGGTGGTTTATTACAAATAATGAATGTTGGAAAAGATGAAAACGACTTTCGACCGAACAGATTAAATTTTGGCTTTACATTATTTTTTTTTTTGTATTTTTTTTTTTCACTTTCTATAGGTTTTACAAATTAAAATTTAGTTTTCGTAAGCAAAGAAGATTACACAATTAACGTAAATATTGCGAGTACGATGTAAAAGGATTCATATAGCCAAATTAATGATGATACGCAATCGTTTTCGTCCTTTTTGTGGGTCAGTGATTTAGGTGGTGTCCCTGTTCAACATCTAACAGCGGCTGAAGTTCAGTCTGCGGTTCAAACTCTCGGGATAGTTACATTATTAAAGTAGGAGCGCGTGTGTGCCAAGTGTCGTGGAAAGGCTTTTCAGTCGCCGGACACATTAAATTAGAGATATATAGAAAAGGAACAGTTAAATAGACCTCTGATCATACAGTTAACGAAGAAAGTAGCCAACCGAATGTATGAATTATGAATCAACAGTAATCGTTAAGTGCCAAGGGGCACGGCCAGCAAGCATGAAGCGTTTCCCACATCTTATTCTCCACCACCTAGACAAACTGATGATTGTGATGCTGCTCCTGCTGTTCGGTAACATTGAGGTAGGAATCCTCGCCCAGCAGGAACATACTGGGCGCCGAGCCGTCGTGCGGATAGAAGTAGGCAAACTGTCCGCTGTACGTGCCCGCCGCCGATCGTCCGCCGTTCTCCAGTTGGTTGTAAACGGGCAGTCCGTTGATCTGCTGAGGTGTCAGCACCAAGCTGCCCTTAACTCCTCCTCCGCCTCCGGCTCCTCCATGTGCTGCACATGCTTCTGTTGATGCTGATGCCTTTTGCTTGGTCCTGCTGCTCTTCTTTGTTGTCCTTGTCATGGTTGCTGTGGCCGCCGTCCCGTTGCAATTGCTTTCTGCTTCTGTTGCTGTCTGCTGCTTACTCTGAGTCTTGGCCTTGTTCTTCTTTTTCCTGCTGCTGCTGATGGTCGTGGATCTGATCTGGTTTTGGACTTGGGTTCTGGGTGCTGTTGGTGACGGTGATGATGGTGGTTGAGATGGTGGTGCTATCGGTGCTGTTTCTAGTAATGGTTCAGTTTCAGTTTCAGCCAAAAGCGTCGCTCCCAATGCATTCTCTGACCACTGTTGCTGTTGGAACTGTTGCTGCTCGTGCTGGTGCTGCTGCTCCTGCTCCTGCTCCTGCCGTCCTAATCACGTGCTCAGCCAGGTGGAGTTGCACGTGCAGATGGTGCTGGGGATCACAGGTGCATAGTAGACGCCGTTGGCATAGATGAGTCCCGGCGGACCGGCCTGTATCTGTATGGTCTGTGGTGCCGCTGACGCCGTCTGATCTGTGCTGCTCGTGCAGCACACGGCGGCTGGGGCGGCCTGTTGCACATAAATGGTCTGCGCCTGACCCGTGGGCGACGCCTGCGGTACAAGGGTCAGGGTTGCTGCCTGCTGGGGCTGCTGCTGTTGCGTCTGTGTCTGCTGCTGCTGTTGCTGCTGCGCTGGGTCCAGGAACTGATGCTGACGTTGCTGCTGCTGCTGTTGCTGCTGGTGCTGCTGATTTTGCTGATGCTGCTGCTGCTGTTGCTGTTGCTGCTGCTGCTGGTACTTCTCTTGGGCCTGCTGCTGCTGCTGTTTCTCTTGCTTGTTGAAGAGCACCTGAGCGGCCAACGACTGGATGAGATGGAGCGACTGGCGCCGCTCGTGGCCCATCAGACAGACCGTCGACATCTCGACCACCTCCCGTAAATGCATCAGGTACTGATACTGCAGCGGTTCCTCATCGACGCCCCAGAAATGGTTACGCAAGTAGGCCTCCAGTTTGGTAGTCTGCGTATTGATGTCCGGGAAATCGATGAAGAAGCGCGAGCACATGTAGCGCTCAAGGGTCTTGATGAGCTGCGAGTCGACGGCCTTGTAGTTGCGCACCAATAGATTGCAGTACTTGAGCAGGCCGCCGCCTCGTATCTCCTCCGGCTGACGCGTTGAGATCAGTTTCTTTTGCAAGTGGTAGAGTGCCTCCTGGAAGTCGCCGTAAACCGACTCGCCGACCACCGTTGGATAGAAGTTCTCCGAGATGGGCAGAGCGGCGCAGTCGTAGAAGAGCAGTAGAGAGTCCAGCACAATCTGGAACGAGTCCACCGAGAACTCGAACTGGCGTCTCATCGTGTCCACGAACTTTAGCTCGACGTTCTTGTGGCCCGGCGAGTTGCCCAGCGAAATGAGCGACCAGCGATCGCCGTCATTGTTATTGTTCACCTTCACCATCTTGCCCACGTAGGCCTCCTTCAGGGAGCACGTGTAGATGCGGCGCTTGCAGACGCCCTCGGGCATCAGGTCCAGCAGGGTGTTGAGCACCGCCACCTTGACACGGTCAAAGACGCGTGGCGAACTCAGCTCGATGGCGAATATCAGGTCCAGGTCATTGTACGGCTGATCCTCGCTGGCTAAAACATGACTAGCTGCCCCGCCGTTGAGACGGATGTCCTTAACTAACACCCCGGCGCCGCCGGCGTTCACCTCCGCCTCGAGCTTGCGGCGCACCAGGTTGACCAGATCCTTGAGCGTTACCTCCAGCGTGGGAAAGTTTCCGCGTCCGTGGATGGCCACCTTCTCGTCCATGACGTCGTGCAGCTTGCTCACCTGCTCGAATGAAAGCACGGCCAGCCGCTGCGTCCCCCCGGTGTCCACGCTCTCCAGCGATCCGTGGTCCGAGGTCGAGGCGATCGATGACCCAGAACTGGGAGACGGCGGCGGAGTCTCGGTGCCGCCGTCCGAGTGGAATCCATCGTCGATCTGATAGACGTCCATTCTGTTGCTGCGCTGCTGATGATACAACGGTTCGGCTCCGTCTAGTGTCCCGCACTGCAATCAAAGGAAGAGAGTCCAGGGTTAGTGGAACGTCAAGGGAATCTTAGGCTTAACTACTAACAATATTCTATTACTATGGCTTTGATTGCTACTGGTTCGTATTCTCCACTGATCTAAACTACCATCGTTATTGTAATTGTGGCGTATGTGGTTGGCTTGCTTTCGGTGTTTTCAACAAACCGAATTTTGTATTAGGAATTTTGGGTGGATGTGGAAATGTCGAGGTCTAACGAATGAGTACTGGATAAAAAGCAAATGTTTGATTACATTTCGAGAGCCACGTTGTTGGATTTCAGCAGTGAAAATTCGTAAAATCCCTTTTGGAAATAGAAATATCCAAATATTACAAATAAATTTCGAATGTTGTTCAGCTCGCAAGACCCACACATTGTTTTTAGTTATAGTTTTCAGCTGCCTTCGTATTAATTTGTTTGCATTGCAGAGGGAGCGGGCACATACATATGTATGTATACAACTTATACATTGTATGTATTCCTGTTCTATTCCATTATCTCGGCGCTCTGGCTCTTTCGATTGTTTTCATGTCGTTGTATCATCGTGATATTGTCGCCGCTGTTATTTATTTATTTATTTTGCCAGTTTATCTGGCCAATGCCAAACGCCGCCCGGGGCTTCTTCTTTTAATTAATTAATTTGCTTTAAATTCGCTAAATTCGAATGTTGCTATGTGCTTCAGCTTCAGCGGCCTACGCGCCGAACACTAAATGCCGAGCTATTTATTGCTCATTTTATTTCACTTTTCGCTCGCTCGTTCTCGCCCAAACGAGAAGCCACCAGAGTTTTGGCATCACATCGAATGGGATCGAATCGGATCTACATAACCCAGTCAGTCGAAAGTTCCGCGTTGTTATCGAGGCCCCCAAAATTCCCTCCCTTTTCGTTATCCCACTCCCCGACTTTGCGCCTTCTGTTTTGTGCCACTGTTGTGTAGGGAATGGCTATTATATCGTTTAGCTCTATCTCCTGCATGAATTTTATCTGCGTGTGCGTGCCTGTGTGTGTGTATGTGTGTGTGGGTTTGGATTCTCTTTTTATCATTTTGTTTGTGCGTTCACAAAAAAAATTATTTTCTGGCATAACCGACCGGCGACCGCACAAAATATATATTATATACAAATATAAATATGGGAGGAGGCGGGCGAACAGCACAGAGCGCCGATTAGCGAGGTGGGGTGATGAACGAGTGGGGGAATCGTAATTGGAATTGTAATAGCTTGCCTCCAATGATTCACACTGCGATCGCCCAGTTCCGAAGACAAGTCGCATGCAAATCTATCCGCATCTTCACATCCCAATGATATCATACAACTTTGGGCACAGGATTATTATTATTTGCAAGATTTGGTTTCTGCGGCTGAAGCAATTACTTTAACGCATAGTATCGCTCTTAGATAAGAACGTTTCGTTTCTGGCGAAAGCTGGTAAAATTGTAGTTTTCTTTGCAAAGATATTGAACTCAAAGATATTTGAGTACTCAAAGTTACGTATTTGAGTATTTCTTTAGCTGTTTTTGGGAAACTTCGCGCCACTTTGTGGAGTGCGACTTCGGGCGTATTAATTTGTGCTCAGGTTTCGTGTGAATTGGGTAATATAACTAAATTTTTTTCGGGTCCCCGGGGTCGGTGCGATTTTGCTTTGGATCTTTGCATCTTGAGAACTGCCGCGTGGCTGAGTTCACACTTTACATGTCTGAGAATGGAAGACGCGAGGGGAGGGGCGGCGGAAAAACATGGTATTGTTATTCACTCAGTTCCAGTTAAGTTAGCCTTCTTGTTGTTTTTGCCCAGTCGGACAATTAGTTATTTATTAATTGCCATTGACGTCGCGCACAAGCGCAAATTGCCGCTGTCATGTATTTATTGTAATTTTTAAACTGCATTTTCATGAGACGGCAATCGATTTGAGGAGAATTCGCCCTTGAGGAATTGCAGGCAGGAACTTCAATTCGGCTGCGACATTCAGTTGCTCCCCCCTTTGATTTAATCAACACTTTTGCGCTAGTTAGTGGTTAGACGTCGTGTGAAATCAAATCAAATTTTTTATTTTCCTGTTAATTACTTTCTATAGTTTTCGACTGCCTCTGGTGCTTTCGACGCACAGTAAGCACATACTGCCTACTCTTATTTTATTTACAAGTAATAAAAGTATGTGATGTAATAAGTCATCCATGAAAGCAATTTGATAATTCATTGTAGCATTCAGCCTAGGTATTCACCTTTCTAAGCTAGTTCACACTGTTCCTTGTGAATCACACCTCAATTTCACAATTTCGAATACATTATCCACCTAATTTTCACCGATTTGCGTACGATTCGTAAATGCACAATTCGAAATGCATTATCTTTGGCTTTATCATTATCATAACGGAGTTTCGGTTGCAGTGCAGGTGCTTCACTCAGACATGCAAACAGGTGCAATAGTTTCTGCGCGAGTGCTCGTGAGTGTGTTTGTGTGTGTGAGTGTGTTTGCGAGTGTGTTTTTTTGTGTGTGTTGGCCTAGACTGGTCTCAAATAAAAGTGAAAATCGTTGTTTTTTGCCCTCCTTCTCTCTCCTCTTTCGCGGCTAAGGAAAGCAGCAAATCGCCCAACAATGGCAGAAAGTCTATTATAGAAAAAATAAATGACGAGAAAAACACGAAAAATCAAAGCCTGCACACACGAAAAAACGATATACTGATTTTAATTGCATACATAAATAAATTTCAATATTATTTGAATCAAGAATTATGGATATTTGATGCAGTATAGAATGTAATCGCTCCAATTAGTTTCAATATTTTTCGTTATTTTCAATATAAATATTGGAACCATTTTCACTATCAAGTTTATTTATTTTTAAATTTCATCACATACGCGTACTTATTTTCTAGTGTGTCATTTTCTTTTTTGACATACCTAGTGTAAACTGAGGCTTAAACAAATATGGACTCCGTGTGGATTTTGTTTTAGCACTGCATCACCACCGTCCAAGAAAGAGAAAAACAAGCGGAGGAAGTGGAGGAAGCGGAGGAGGCGGTGGGTGGCGGATTGGGGTGGGTGGTGCCCACAATTGGCGCCTACTGAAGGCGACTAAGCGACTCCGACTGTTTTCGACGCGATTCGATTTAATTCGCGTGTTTAAATGTGAATTAAATACAATCTGCTTGCGAACGGCACACACACTCTTGTTATTTCTTTTCCTTTCTGCACTGTACACTTTTTATTTCGTATGATTTTTAATTTAAATTTCGGCTCTCACACTCTCGATTGCTTCTAATTTTTCTATTTCGCGCAGAGAAGAACGACCGTTGAGTTGTACGTTCGAAAACCAAATGAATTGACGTCGACGCTGCCGCCTGCTCTGAAAAGTAACTCCAATCTGAATCGCGAACAAGAAACTATATAGAGAGCGAAACGCGAGTGGTAAAAGCTCTCTCCCACTCGCTCGCTCTCTCGGCTGACGTCACGAGACGCTTGAGTGGAATGCAGTTTGAGTGAGTTTAATGCTTTTGGGGCTTTTTTAGAAGGGCACACACACACACAACTACAACATTGGGTTAGTCGGTCGATCTCGCTCCCCCTCCAACACACTCTCTTCCCCACTCTTTCTTTCCAATGCACTGCAAGATGCGGGTGTTGCTCGCTCAGCTGATAAAGCGAAGAAGAAGAAGCGGGTCTCTAGGTGAGGACTGTCTGTGTGTATGTGAGTGTGTGTGCGTGTTAGCCGCTTTTAGTCATATTTGCAATGCATTTTTCGATTTCATTATTGGGCTTAGCGCTAGGATGAATACCTATAGTTTCAAGAAATTGTATATTAAATCAAGACTGAATATGATCGCAGAATTGTTTAGTATTGTTATAAATAAAGTTATAAAGTAAATTTCTTTGAGTGGACCCAGAGTAAAAATTAAAAACCAAAGAACAAAACAACAAACCAAGAACCATTTTCAGATAAGCCGAAAATAGCGGTCCCCTAGCGATAAGGCGGAATTCTCCTGCGTCCCATGAGAATTTGGAATTAGTATTATGTATGGTAATTGGGAGACAACGATAGCCAAAAATAAACACAAATGTGAATAATCATTTTGTACCGACATATATAAAGCCTAGCAACCGTAATCTCATGATATATGTACTATATAGAATATTTACCTGATAAATACTTATTATACAGACGTAAAGGAATAAATTCCGTTTCGACTGCTTATTAATATCGAGTAATGAGATGAGCACAACAATTCGATGCCATAATATATGCAGAACACTTAATTATAATTTAGCTTCATTAGCCTGACCGTTATTCCGCGTAGAATAACTGTCGGCCGGCTCAAAGTTATAATTTAACCAACATTTTGCAACGCTTTTTGTGATTTGCTGTTTTTGTATTTCTCTTGTCTTTTTTGAAAGGTTGTTTTCAGATATCGCTTGATTAATGCCTATACGCTCGTGATGGAAGCCTGAAAAAGCACAGTAACATTGAGATTGAGGCAAGCGTTAATGTATCTTGCAGATACGAAACCATCTTGCACTGCAGCGCCAGCACACGAGAAATATAATATAAAACGCTGGGAGCTGAGGTCGCAGTGGAGCCAAGCTTGTTGCCATTATGAATGCTATTGTTGTTGCCAGTTACTTGTTTGCTGTTAGTTGTTAGCCGTATACCCTGCACCGTACGCCGCAGCATACCGTATACCGTATCTGTATCTGTATCTGCGGCCGATGGATGAGGTCTTGGTGCGACGCGGTCGCTTGTTTGGCAAGACGCAGACTCATTCATGGCGACCCTGACCCAATAAGCCGTGTCCATTGCAAATGTATCTGTATCTCACGCTTGGCTTTGGATTCCTTGAGTTCCGCCATTCCATTCAGACCATTCAACACAGGGCTTGGCCAAAAGGCCAAAACGAAAGTGTGGCGGCCAAATTCTAGCTATCACCCCCATCCATGCCCATCGATCCACAAATGCAAGTCGCGGCTAATTGTTATGCCAGGCGG